TTGTACTCGGACCCTTCATGGAGTGTTCGAGCTTGACGCCCCCCCCCCCCCCCCCCCAGAACTGGGCGACAGCACACTGCCAGTTTCAACCGTCTCATCTCGGACTCCTCTTCCGGCTTCTTCGCCCCACATAGCCCCTCCTTCATCCCTCTGCCATTGCCCTTTGGAAATCACTGACACGCTGTGACAGCTCACCCTTGCATGAATACTGCAGCTGACTCAAAGAAACTTCACTCTTGTCCGAGCTCTGTAGAATTCCAGGTACATTTGTGCAATATTCAACGTTTGCTAATTACCGTAGGAGTAATCAACATGGTCTACCGCCTATGTCGCTACTTGAACCGATGAATATTGCACAAAGTGTAGAATAGCTATAAAGAGAACAAATTCCGCTGTCATCGCCACACTACAACAAAGTCATGAAGGTTTACCAAAATCGATTTTCTTGTCACAATCATCAGTGGAAAGCCGTGACTGAAGAATAACCATGCCAAATCAATAATTTATATACATTCAATAATGTGTTACGAGAACAAAACAAAGTGCTAAAAATAGAATGAGGGAAGGTGAGACAATAGAAGTAAAGTTAAAGCTAAGTGCAACAGGGGTGAGGAACTAATTGCAACGCTAGAACTGTGTAGTGAGACAAACAATCATGCTGTGCACCTACGAAAACAATCTTAACGCAACTACATGTTTCTTCTGCTTACAAAGATCAGGCTTATGCAAACGAATACAAACAGCCTCAAGTACTTTCAACTGACTAGCGTACCGTGCACGACAAAGAACAGAAAAACTAAAATCATCATACACCTGCAGACACTTAGGGTGAGACAACAGATGAAGAAAAACGGCAGACTTCTTACGATCTAAATCACCATCCGATTCCTCGTCTCCACCAACCGCAACCTCGTCCCCCGTCTCATCTTCCAACTCGTCATCAGTGTCGTCCTCCGTGTCATTCTCCTCATCACCACTGATCGGTCCCAGGCTCGCTTCACGTTGCTGAACCTCTGTTCGTTGACTCCTCCTTTGATCTTGATGGTAATTTGTTACCATTGTTGTTGTTGTCATTGTTGTTGTTCCTGTTGTTGCTAAATCTTCTGTTCCCAGTGTCTTCGCCGGTGCTTGACATCCAGTACTGTAATAATTCATTGAATAATTAGCCGTTGATCGTCTAGGTCTTTGAATGTTGATCGTGTTGTTTTCTCTGTTGAATTCCGTTTCCTTCAGCCTTCTTTCTTCTTGTTCATGTTCAGTGTTCATGTTCAGTGTTCAGTGTTCAGTTCTTGTTCATGTTCAGTGTTCAGTTCTTCCAAACTGGCTGAGGAACTGGACTTCCTAAAGTCAGTTTTTCTAAAGAACGGGTATCCCGACGATCTCTTGAAGGAGCTCATGACCGAAAGGCTGCATAGAAAGGAAATACGTTTTGGCCCGGACAAATGTCCCACGTATCTTTCTCTCCCTTGTCGGGTAACCTCTCATTAGAGAGGTTAAGTTTCACGTAAAAGTCTTACGTCCGTGAACTTTTACGTCAAAAAGTGAAAAAACTCACGTAAAATTTGACGTGTTTTACGTGAGTTGACTGTCCCGCACGTAAGTTCATGACGTGAGTTTTTGGAAGTTTCGCTTGGTTATCCCGACCGAATTTGTGTGAGTTTCCGGAATTTTATCGAGATTTATCAAGTTTGTTGGAAGATTTGATATTTGTGCGAACTAAACCCGAATCCTGCCAGGCAAAATTTCAAGTCACGTCGCACGTGTAACTTAACCTCTAAAAATTACACGTAACGTGAGATTTGCACCGCGTTTTGAAAAAGGGCAAAAAACGTGTAACTTAACCTCTCTATTATCCATGAGTCGCGTGGTCCGCAAAATTGTACAACAAACGTAGATCTACTACGCGGTACATTTTGTACCCGTTTTCACAACTGTACGTGCGTTCACGGTGAGGAAGGATGTCCTACCAACCCAACTCGCATCTAAATTGGTATACCAATTTGAGTGCCGACAATGCGGTAGTCGGTACGTTGGTAGGACTCTTCAACATCTGAACGCACGTATCAAGCAGCACGTCCCACTGCACATGCTGACTGGCTCGGCACGGGCACTGCGACCCAAACGCGGCAGGCCACCTAAGAACCCTCGATCAGAGCCATCGTTAGCACAATTGCCATCGAAGGCAATAGTGCCTCCATTACCCGTATCGAGAACCGTGGAGATGGATAATGTGCACATTGTCACTAACGTTATAACACAATGCACCATAACAACACAAGAAAGTACACCACAACAACATCCAGCTCAAGACCAAAGTGGACGCTGCGGCGAGGTGATCATGGTGATGTCCCCATCGCCATCGTTGCCGTTGCCTCCCCCAGAACCGCCACCTGCATCTGCCATCGGCAGTGCTGGGGCTGAGTCTGTGGTGTCGCTGGCACGGGCAAATATGGATGAGGTAAGCACTGAACATGAACAAGAAGAAAGAAGGCTGAAGGAAACGGAATTCAACAGAGAAAACAACACGATCAACATTCAAAGACCTAGACGATCAACGGCTAATTATTCAATGAATTATTACAGTACTGGATGTCAAGCACCGGCGAAGACACTGGGAACAGAAGATTTAGCAACAACAGGAACAACAACAATGACAACAACAACAATGGTAACAAATTACCATCAAGATCAAAGGAGGAGTCAACGAACAGAGGTTCAGCAACGTGAAGCGAGCCTGGGACCGATCAGTGGTGATGAGGAGAATGACACGGAGGACGACACTGATGACGAGTTGGAAGATGAGACGGGGGACGAGGTTGCGGTTGGTGGAGACGAGGAATCGGATGGTGATTTAGATCGTAAGAAGTCTGCCGTTTTTCTTCATCTGTTGTCTCACCCTAAGTGTCTGCAGGTGTATGATGATTTTAGTTTTTCTGTTCTTTGTCGTGCACGGTACGCTAGTCAGTTGAAAGTACTTGAGGCTGTTTGTATTCGTTTGCATAAGCCTGATCTTTGTAAGCAGAGCACTATTGGAACACCACAAGGCGACAGTCTCAGCCCAGTTCTCTTCATCTGCTATCTGGAGGCTGCACTACAGGAATGCAGAACTCGTCTCGCGCCCCGCCCTGCTGGCGACGCAAGTCTACCACCAGAGACGGGTTATGCAGATGACATCTCCTATTATTCAACCTGCAGGCTGTGGCTTGAGAATGCTCTGCCTGTAATAGCAGACACACTGCACGATTGGTCATTAAAAGTAAATCCAGATAAAACAGAGTGGATCCGTGTGTCACCTGATTCCGAGAGCTGGCGGACATCTAGGCAGCTTGGCTCCTTGATGGGGGAGGAAGAGGATGTTCGGCGCAGGATGGAACTTGCCTCTCGCGTGTTTGGCCAGCTGTACGCCCTATGGCTGCGTAGAGATAAAGTAGCGGAGAAGACACGCTTACGCCTGTACAACGCTATCGTACTGCCGACATTCCTGTACAATTGCGAGACCTGGGGATTATCGTCAACAGCAATGGCCAAGGCAGACGCATTCCACCGGCGTCAAATGCGATCACTCCTTGGAATACGATACCCAGACACAATTTCAAACGACGACCTATACCGCAGAACCAAGAGCAACCCTATATCAGACACAGTTGCATGTAGGCGACTACGAATGACCGGTCATGTGCTACGGATGGACACGGACACGCCACCGCAAGTAGCCATGAGCGGCTATTTTGACAAGGGCAACAAAGCACCTCGTGGACGGCCAAGGTTGACACTGGCCACAAGTCTGGTTGCTCAGCTGAATAAGCTGGGTGTGCCAATGAAGACCATGGAAGACCTTTCCAGGTGCCGACAGCAAGCAGCAGACAAGACAGACTGGAGGAAACTGTGCAGCTCGACACCCGGCGAGAAATCGGTATCAGCAGCTACTACACCTAGCTGATGATGCTCACAAGACAGAAGCGGAAAAAACACTGAATTTCTTTATTTAGTGCTCTACTACGCGAAATGTGCTATTATTATTATTATTATTGTAAGCAGAAGAAACATGTAGTTGCGTTAAGATTGTTTTCGTAGGTGCACAGCATGATTGTTTGTCTCACTACACAGTTCTAGCGTTGCAATTAGTTCCTCACCCCTGTTGCACTTAGCTTTAACTTTACTTCTATTGTCTCACCTTCCCTCATTCTATTTTTAGCACTTTGTTTTGTTCTCGTAACACATTATTGAATGTATATAAATTATTGATTTGGCATGGTTATTCTTCAGTCACGGCTTTCCACTGATGATTGTGACAAGAAAATCGATTTTGGTAAACCTTCATGACTTTGTTGTAGTGTGGCGATGACAGCGGAATTTGTTCTCTTTATAGCTATTATAAAATTGTTGTCTCCGCGTCGATTATTTACAAAGTGTAGAATCTGCTGGAATTCTACAGAACACAGACAATGGTTACCATGGTTACAGTCCCATGTAAGAGGAAGGTGCCTGAACTGGCAGAGTGATGCATGGGATCATAATAGCGTGTCAGCTCAAACCTTGTATAGAATAGATCCATGCGGATGTATCCGTCCTGTGGCAGTTCAAGGGTTATTCAGTGCATCTGCATGATTTCAAAGTGTATGAACATCGGAGCATCACAACTCTAATGCCTAACTACAGTATCGCCACCAGCATCTGGACATTGAAACCGGTATCGCAGGTCCTCTTGTCGCCAAAAGGGGGGATATCGCTACTTCGAAGTACAGTGTAGTACTGTACATGGACTCTAGATCTACCCTGGTTATGGACTTCTCCGGGACATCGTAGCGACAAGTATCCAGACTTCACCCGAGTCCAATGCCATGGTCTGCAAGCCCAACCCAGTACCCACAGACAGACAGAGTGCCATACATGTGTACTGTCAGCATACCTGTGGACTGTGGTGTTTACAATGGTTTCGCCGATCCGAGACCAATGGAGACGGAGATACGGAAAAAAAACATTTTGGGCGGTGTATTGATTCAGATCATTTAGGGACAGACAAGAAGCAGAACGCTTGTTGTTGCCTCTGGTCCGGAGAGCAACACGTTGTGTTTACTGAGTGTACCCTATGTGTTGTAAGTTAGTTAGGCTAGTCGAGTTCCAGTGGACAGACGAGTCATTCGGAGGCGTTCTGCAGGAGCGCCGCGCTGAGTGCAGGCGTGGTGTCGCCTTGCCCGCGCGCTCGGCTAGACTCTAGACGCGAGGAGGCGGTAGGTGTGTGTGTGCGCGCGTGTAGAGGAGGTGACTAGTATGGCGGAAGCAGGCTATGAACAGCAGCGTAAGAAGCTGACCGGCGAGCGAGAGAACATCCAGAAGAAGACGTTCACGAAATGGATCAACTCGTTCCTGAAAGGGGTAAGTGTGCCTGTAGATTGCGGCTCCTACTGCAGCATGCTATGCACGTGAATGAGTGAGCCGGGTCCGTTCTAATGCCCGTCACTGCAACAGACACGTATCGTTGTGTAGTTGATATCACCATTGTAAACTGTAGCGAAATGCAAGAGCACACAGCCACTACTCGGAAGTGTACATACACGCACCACTCCGGCCATCGGACACTTGTCTTCACCACCATGATCCCAGTAATAATATTATTGTACTTCGTTGCTGCATGGAATTTGAATGGGTTTTGCGAAGCGGTGAGTAGATCATTGATGATGTCCTCCTGCGAAAACATTTGGAGAAAAGAGGTTTGCGTGGTGATGTAGCCAAGGACTACGTGTGTGTTAACGTATGGGTTAGACGTTGGTAAAGATGACAAGGCTACAATGGAGTTTCAAAGTTCTCAAAGAAAATGAATATTGAGTGCCTCCTGGTTAAAACATCCTGTATGGGATGCCTTGACTCGCGGCTGCCGGCCATAGTCTGTGACGGGTCCCACTGCTGAGTGCCTCACATCAGGAACTGTTTGGTACTGACATACTGACATTCAGTGTCTGCTCTAGGATTTCAAATCAACGTGCTCTAGGATTTCAAACCAAACGGGTACACGTGTACCCGGCACAACTCTTGCAACCGGTTCAGAGCCGGGTACATTCAAGTGCGGCTATCATACATCAGGGAGTCTTAGGACTTCCTGATTGAGTACCATGGCAACCGGGTCACAAGTGTGACCCGGTTCCAAGCGGGTCCAAGTACCCCCCCCCCCCCCCCACCGGGTCCCTGACCCGGCTGACCCGGCTCTGGAGCAGACACTGACATTGTTGAGCTCATGGCCAATGGGTAGATCTATTGCAAGTAGTTAGCGTTGACATACATGTACATGTAGATCACACATAGACTAGGCTAGCCTTGCCGAGCTTGAGCCAATCGGACCAGGAGCATCATCCAGAACGCCGCATACCTTCTTTACAGGGACGCCGGTTTCCATGGTTGCATCTAGCCTAGGCAAACGTTTATCTACCCTCCCAGGACTGAGTGAATAGTCCCAGGACCCTCCAGCTGCTCCAATGCTAGGGTACATCATGGCTGTACCATTTCGCCATGTTGACGTACACGCATGATGTATTAGTGCTGATTCTATCACTCGGAAACAAAATACGCCGCGTTGTCTCGAGGCTACTGGCACACTGCGTACTAGGACTGGCACACTTTCAGGCCGATGATCATCACCAGGGCACGTAGCCTAGTCCAGGGGGTTTCATAGACCGGGTGTATTAGTTGTCCTCTCTGCACGCAACGACGTACTCAATGTCCCAAAGGCAAAGGGCGGAGATTCCTTACTTGTAGACCGGGTCTAAGCAACTCCCTGGTCTGGTATGATGGCCTATTCATTCAGACTGCACCACACAGTGAGCAGGCCCGGCGGAACCGGTCCGGTTGGTCAGGCCATGGCCGGACCAACTTTTTAGCCATCAATGTGTGTTTACTGCTGAGGAGGCCATGTGTATACCCTACATATCATACACAAACTGTATGAAAGTCATGTGTATACCCGCCATATCATACACAATGCATGAAAGACAAGCTTATGGCAGGACCAAGAGTATTATAACCCCCCCCCCCCCCAAGAGTGTGCAACTCCTGATACCCTTTCTATGGGGTACGCCGACGGCGAAAACTCACATCACGTGGTGCAGTTTCGCAGTTGTAGGTTTCCAGCCAGTGTTTAGCGAGCAGCGGAGTAATAAAAAAAGCACTCTCTGGCAGAAACTCACTGCGTGTATGCAAATCTCCAGCATGATCATGGCAGATAATCGGATTGCGCGCACGCTATCCTCCATTTGTACGTAGTACAAACTTGCCTGAGACACGTGATGTGAGTTTTCGCCGTCGGAGACCCCATATGCAGAGTTGCACACTCTTGGGGGGTTATAATTATACTCTTGGCAGGACCAATCACAAACTGCTTCCGCCGGTCCTGGTGAGACAGCTGTTGAGATGCATGATGGAATTGGACTGTTGGTCATACATGTACTGCTCAGTACTGCTACATACCATGTATACCCGGCTACATATCCACCTCATACTCTTAGTCATACTTAGCTCACAGCCTGCAAATTGCATGGACAGACTCAGTGGTCAGTAGCAAAAACATGGAGTATACAGGCAACGTTATGTGTAACATTATAATGAGTAACATGACATGCTGCATCATTGTATACTAACATACATTGTACTTGTTGCAAACAGCTTGCTGCCTACAGCACTGGGTAGTTGCAAAGGCCAATTTTCTGACTTCAGTTTGGTTTGTACATTCAGACTTTCAGTACATTCTACACACTGAACTTATCTGATATAATGATAGCAAGAGTGCAATCATTATTCTTGATGATAGTGCAGTGATGCGGATCCATTCAGGTGAAAAACAAACCAGACCTGGTAGAAATCCCTAGGCTAAAGGCCCTAGACTAGGGTATAATAATTATATTATTTATAGGTGGAGGGGTTACTTTACCGGTTAGTTGGAAACTCTTCACTTCACCACTGTGCCTGCAAGGGTGGTGAGACTCAGAGTGGATGTCCGACCGAGCTGTTCCAGGTTGGCCATTGTATTGCAGCTGTGGTCGGATGGCTCCAGGCTTCCTGCAGAATTAAAGAAAAAACTCAGTGGCATGCTCTGGCCGCGAGCCGAGGCTTCGTGATTCGGTCTTCTTTGGCGGGTATGACTATCATGACTATGAGTCTCACATTCACCAAGTGAAACTGAGGCCAGTGATCCCTTTGGGTAATCCTGAAATAAAGATTATTATTATCTAGTGAGATGAGGGGAAGCACCATGCATGCATGCTGCACACCTGTGTGACCAGGTGACAGCGAGCGTTGACGAGGGACAATTACAAGCCAGATGATCGCAAAGACGAAGAGGGAGTCCAGCAGGACCAGCACGGAAGAGGATGACCCTGGCCTGGCGCATGGCCCGCTGAAGAAAGAGTCTTGGCGGCGCCGTACCCAAGCCAGACCTCGCGGATAGATCACGTGCACGTGCACAAGACACCACGAGGCCGGGAAGCAGTTTCATGAATTCAGCTGCTTTCAAACTTTTCCAGAAGACAACCGAAAGTCTGCAAAGACTCGAGTGAGATGGGGTTCATGTTTGCTCTACTAAAAGCAATCACATCTTCACGTCTTACTTACGCCCAAGCAACCTGACGAGATATCTCTCAAATAATGTGCGTCTTACGAGGAATGAATTTGTCCGAGAAAGCCTTGGCTGATGATCGTCGGCATGCAGAACGTTTTCGAAATGGGGACTTCTTTACCTAGCTGTGCGTGGTTTGCTATCTTTACCTTTACGAAAGAAGGTAAGAGTTTCCGCGAACTCGGCAGTTTGGTAGTAGTGATGTATGCTCCGAGAACGAGAATTCTGGATGTCTTGCTTGAAGAATGTAGGTTATACTTGCGTGTGCGAAAAATTAGGAGAAGCGATTCAGTCAGCCTTTTTTGTTTTGCTATAATTATGCGCTTGGTATTTGTAAAAATCAAATCTTCATTCTCGGCTGCTGAAATGTCATGCTGAGAGCGACAGGGTGTGAAGGAGGTGGCAGAGCAACGGGCACGAATGTGTGTTAGAATGACACATTTAGCAGTAGCTAGCTGGGATGATAGACTGCTGGTAGAATATTTAGCATGCATGTATCACCCCTTCAAATTCTATGTTGATCATGGAAAGCCACTTTTACGGGCAAAGAATGGATCCAATTGTGATACACGGAGCAGAGAGCGATGCAATGAAGCAACTCAAGAAGTTACACGAACACAAGTAAAATTAATAAGAATTCAAGAGAGGTGAATGCAACGCAAAAGAAGAAAGAGAACTAAAATATAAACTCAAAACCTCAAAAAATAATTAATAAAAGAAAGAAAATGCCATGTTGATGATGACGATCATCATCATCAAAAGTCAGTAGTGACTTGACTGGGCCCTCCCAGTCAAGGACCCATACGTGCATGGACCACGAGGCGCCTACCCAGGCGCGCGCCCCGTATGGGTTCCTGGGTGCCCAGAACCCCCCTTTTTTTCGCTCAAAATGCAGGATTTTGCTTCATTTTTTGAAAAAATTCCCGGGGAAGCCCCCCCCCCCGGAACCCCCCACTTGAAGGGCACCGGCGCACGCGCCTGCTACCCGCCATACCTTGTACTTTGCTATGGTCCACTTTGACGTAGAAGTCGTACACTAGTTTGTTGACTTTCGACGTCATCACCTTCAGGCTCTAGGCCCTGTTGGCTCATTCATTGGTGAGATTTCTCTTCGGAAATGTACCGAATCCGTTGAAGCTTTCATGCATGTACGTAACTCTCTCGACGTAACTCTGTGGAAGGGCGCCCGCATACATGGTCTTCATACGCTTTTTTTTTTAAATGTGAAGCGCCACATCCCTATTGCTGAAATTTAATGTTTCATTCTGTGTGTGCGTCTCTCTGTTTTTCCAGTCGAATGTCCACGTGCACGACCTGTTCTCTGACCTGAGCGATGGCCGTATTCTCATTCGCTTCCTGGAGATCATCTCCAGCGAGAAGCTGGGTCCAGTTGGTGAGTACTTCATGGGCGTCACAGGGCAGTGGGGAGTGGTAGGACCGGGGGGGATCTCAGTTGGTGAGTACTTCAGGGGCGTCGCAGGGCAGTGGGGAGTGGTAGAACCGGGTCTGGGTGTCCCGGGGGGGGGGGGGGGGGGGGGGATCTCAGTTGTTCAGTAACTCGCGCTGTGCATATGGAAAGATGGCGTCTTTTTACGCACTTTTTTTCGAAAAAGGTTTCGATGGTGATCCGCGTACGCGTCATGCTGCGACCGTACTTGCGATCGTGTTTTGTGGCGTTTTTTGAAGAATGTTCTTTTTCTTGTAGGCTCTTTCGAAGCTAGCTCGCTTCATTTTCAGCTTTGTTTTTGAGCTTTGGAAGGCAAGTTCCCCAGAAGTATGTCTGTGAAGTGCTCTATTCATTGGTTCGATTTTGTAGAAGTGACTTGCCTGTCCCACCTGCCACCCGCTCTTGAAAGAGCGCCCCAGTTCCACCTTAGACAATTATTTATTTTAGAATCAGAATGATTACCGTATTTCCCCGATTATAGGTCGTACTCGATTATAAGTCGCTCCCCCATTCTCAGGTTTGAGCAATATTGTTTTGATATATTAACTTCAGTAGTAAGTCATGCTCGATTGTAAGTCGCACCCCCTTTTTCAGCCTTGATTTTTTGTGTAAAAAGGTGCGACCTATAATCGGGGAAATACGGTATGCGATTGGGTTACGATTGCGTTCTCGCCAAGTGGCGATGATGGCGTCAATACCGTAAAATCCCGCCAGAGCGCCCCTACCTCCTCCGCTAGCTAGCTGATTTCTTGCGCTTGGCAGCTGGCACGATCAGCTTGTTGTGGGTTGGCAGCGCTGTCGTCAGGTACTGGGCCACAAGAGTCCGGAGACGATCAACATCCTTGTTGGTATTCTGCAGTGTTGCTCGAAGCAGGTTAAACTTGTGGTGGATTGACTCACCGCCTTGCTCTCCGAGAGCACCAAGTGCCATGCCGAATCTCTGAACACAAGGAACGAGGTGACACTCAAGCAGATGCAACTTGGGAGTGACAGGACACTTGTGCCGCACAACAACCTCTGACCGCACGTTCGCCATGAAGGATATGATCTCCTTCAAGCTCTTGATCATATCGTCGTCTGCAGTGATAGTCGATGCGAATATGGCTCTGCAACTAGCGTACTTGCCAAAGAGAGACGCATACCGAGCGGAGCATTCTTCAGCAGCTTTCAGTAGTTGATGCTGTGCCTGCGTGGGAGCAAAGGAGGCACCATCCGGATTTACAACAGAGGCAACCACTGTCAACGGAGCAGACACAATCTGTTGTGTCACTGATGGCTGTAGTGCTTTGTTGATATGGTTGCCAACGAAAGCACCCGAGTGATAGGCCTGCCGATCTATCCTGTGCTTCACCAATACTGGCTCGAATGATGAAGCACAAGGGCCATTCTTAACCTTTGCATTTATAAGACGTTCCTCCAAACTAGATATTCGCACATTCATGTCGTTGAGCTGCTGCTGCTGCGCTGCCCAGTGCTGTTGTAGCTGAGCAGCTAGTCCTGTGTGCTGTGCTTCTGCTACATGATTAGCTTGCATGGCCTGAGCTGCATTTAGCCCTGCCCATTGTAGCTGTGGCTGTGCGACGTAAAGCTGCTGCTCTTGCTGTGCCTTCTCTGCTAAGAGTACCCACAACTCTCTTTGCATCTTAGCTGCATCGTTGAATGTGGAGCTCGAAGATGTGTCTGTGTTTTCTCTGGCTAGCATCAGGTCAATCTCCTCTGCATCTCGGACCATAGCCTCAAAAAGCAAGGGAAAGATTCCCAGGTCGAGGTGCAGGATGGGGACACATACATCATCCAGTTCAATTGGCAGGATCTGTGGGCGAATAATGTTATTGAACTGTTTGGCATTCTGCAGCCTTGAGCCAGATTCCACAAAACGATCCAAGTCCTCTTTCAGCATGTCGAGCGTTCTGTCGGGGAAGAGGGTGTCAGGGGATGGTTGCATGTCTTTCTTTGTTGCCAGACAGAACAGACAAGGCCTGACTCCACTTGCTCCAGACAAGCCATACAATTTCATCATAAAATCGTAGTCCCCGAAGAGGCAAACTTTGATTTTCTTTCCCTTCCAGGAACAGCTGCGGAATCTGTCGACTTGCTCTGCATACGGTTGAAACACCGTGGCTAGGTTTGACGGAGAGTCCTTCGCAGCAAAAACCAAGAAAGGAACTGTGTTGCTAAGGGAGTTGGGGTGGAGGACATTCACAAGCTGGAAGCAAAGCTTGAAGGAATGCCCTCCATGGTCTCCACCTATCTTCACCCAAAGCTCATCTTCTGGGCAGGTACCTTCCCAGACAAGTGTGCCAGCTGCCTCATTCAGCTCGACAAAGTGAAGAACCAGCTCCACCAGATTGTCAAAGCAGACAACAGGGTTCATGATAACAGTGCCAGAACTGTCCAAAAGGGGAACTTCCTTGGCGACAAGGGGAAACGGCAGCTCCTCGGACAACTGCATCCGCATCTCCCTTTCCGACTCCAGCGACAGTCCACACAATCTCAAATATCGGCGAAGCTTGCGCAGCCCATTCCAGGGTAGCTGGAGGTCAGACTTGATGGCCAGACCGATGCCCTTCTGGAGCCCCTCCGGTAGCAAACCGGCCTCACGGAGAAGGTCTTCCCGTTGGCTTCGGCGAAGGGACTGCAGAGCGTGAACGCTCTGCGCTTCCTTGCCTTTAGCTACTCCGCATGCTGCCTGCTGGATGCCATTGAGTAGGCTCTCTCTTCGCCGCAGCGTGGACGATGAGGCATCTGAAGATGACACCCTTGCCACAGGAACCCTGTGCCACAGTGATGTGCTGCCACGCGTCCGCTGCTCAAGTCGGCCATCCTCCGCTCGAGCTTCAACTAGCCTGTTAAGGAGCTTGGAAGCAACATCACCTTGCAAAAGGTCATGTGGTGCAGCCAACACACTTGCCACGGTGGAGGAAGGCGTCAAGTAGCGCTTGGGTGGCGGGTGTTTGGCGAATGGACACTCGGCAACATGGCTCTGCAAAGATGCTAATGTGACTCTGGCTGGACAACCCTCGAGCGCTGATTCACCAGCATTGTCACAGGACAGGACAAGTTCAGACAACGTCATCCGAGCAAAAGGATTTACAGACTGGAATGACGACAAGAGAACAACCTTTTTACAGGAGTGGCAGGACGAAGAGGTTTCCAGCCAGCCCACAATACATTCAGCGCAAACTAATTTACTGCAGCAGGGAGATTGCACAGCACGATTTGCAACAAGACCGCAAATGTGGCAAATGAGTGCGCTCGGCACAAACGTGAAGCGGTCCGGCGACAGAGGCAAACAAGAAACATAGTTTTCAGTGACCAGAGAGGCGACCTTCTCTTGGTCAATGTCAACAGCATTGGTGCAAGTAGACACAGCCCGGGTACAGGTGACATCACTGTCACCATGTGTCATGCGTGCACCGCGAATCGTTTTCGTTGCCTTCTTTTGCCGTCCAACTTTTCTGCTTGCAGCAATGCGAGTGCAGGTGGTACATTTGCTGTCTGTATGTGCAGACCATTCGTGAACAGTTGGCAAACTTTGCCCACAGCCACCTGCATTGCATGAGCCTTTCTTCAGGGTCGAATGCAAAAAATCAAAACACGATTTGCAAAATTGATTGGGATGCACTCCCTCTTGATCCTCTTCAACTTTAACGTTGAACGCACGGAATATATCGAGGGAGTGTTCCTTGACGGTGTAAGTAGGAGCACTCCATGACTTGTGGCCTTTGCGATTTGTGGGTAATTTGCAGCCACCCAAATAACACAGGGAATTTACATGCTCCACATGAAATGCATGATCAAAAGTAGAACTCATCGTAACACTCTCCAGAACCTATGCACACAAATTTGAAAAAATTCAAAAACAACAGAAAGTACTTTTGAATAAGCGGCCAAGAACATGGATCTGCCCATTAGAACACGACGAGCTTTTCTCAGCGTGGAGACGAAGGATGATCCTACCTTCAAAAACCTGCCAAAGCAGCGGCGTTTGCTCCGGTAGGGTGTGCAGGCGTCTCCAAAATCACGTCGAATTGTTACTCAGCTGTCACTACGTAGCACTGATCAAGAACGAACTCAGCAAAGAAACAGCTGAATCGGGAAAGAAGCAGTTTTTCGGCTCGTCTGCATCAAGGTACCGTTATCCTGCATGCATAGGACTACATGCACAGATTCTTGTTGTTCTGTGCAGCTCAGAAAGGTCTCGACACCGACAGATATCAGTGGTTGCGTCAAGTGTATTTGAGAATTTTTTTGAATTTGAGTGAGGGGTTTCCCCACGTTCACAGCCTTGCCGTCTGTACTCATACCCGTACTTCCATGCGCGGATTCATGTACGCTGAGACAGCCGTGTTCAGGGGCGTCAGAGGGCAGTGGGGAGTGGTAGGACTGGGGGTGTGGGGAGGTGTCCCCCGGGGGAAAAAATCTGATTTCTCGGTCAACAGGGCACGTTTTAGCGCTCCACAGGCGCTCTGGGCGGTCCATCCTGGATGAGAAGTGGTGCGACCATGGTCGTACTGGTTGTACCGTGTGTGATACCCCTGTACTGCGTTGTGAAGGGTGAAGGCCAAGCCGTCCTGGCCCTGTGCTGGCTATGGAGGATGTGTGTGTGTGTGTGTGTAATGATGTGAGACTCCGCGAATCATGGGATGGGTTGTATGATAGGCCAAGTAAACTTATCAAGGTGTGTGTGTGTGTTTGTGTGTGTGTGTGTGTGTGTTGTGTGTGTGTGTTGTGTGTGTGCATTTGTGTGTGTGTAATGTATATCCATGTGTTATTAGCACGCGGACGTCTACGAATTCACAAGCTGGAGAATGTCAACAGGGCGTTGGATTTTCTCAAAAGCAAGAAGGTAACTGTTACTAGGGACCTTTCGCATTTGCTACGAATCGAATGTGAAACGAAAGTTTGATTCGGCTCGTAATCGTTTTGTTGAAAACAGAATTCAGGTTTCGCAAGTCGTAATGCAAATGTGCATGGCAACTACGAATACGGCCGGTAGCGTGGCGTACGGGTGTGTTCGCGCACACGTGCATGGATCATGGAATCAAGGGAAAAAATGTGTACCTGGCAAAACATGTGTACCTTGCAAAAAAATGTGTACCTGACGGATTCGGAGCATGCCACGAATGAAGAGGCTTCCATTCGTGAAAACGAGCTCTCTGCGGCGACTCTGACGAATCCTCGAACCCAGGTGACGAATCAACATTCGTTTCGTATCCGTACGCGTGGTGCGAAAGGTCCCTATTATCTCTGACGTTCAACTAAACTCAGATACTGTCTGTCAGTGTAGGAACATCGGGCACTAAAGCACAGATTGCAGAATATATATCCAGGCTAGAAAGTCACTAAAATTTAAGAATGTGCCAGGCTAGATGCAAACATTTGGTACTGTCACAATGTGCAAACACAAAATGAGAACGAATACTAGTATGCTGGAATGTCGAAAAATGGGAATGTCCTAGCCTGAAGGGAGACCCTCTCTCTCTCCCTCCCCTCCCTACCTCCCCGTTCTTTTGGTACCTGATGCTACTGTAGTCTTTACACCTTTTGTGCGCTACCGTATTCACGCACATAGAGCATAATAGGGCACACACTGTTTCGAATACAAGGGCATCTCCACATACAAAGGCATGAGCTGAGAGCCGAGAGTGTATTGAAAGACCCGAGTACTCATGTTGAAAGACATGCCCTTGTATCCATAACATTAAATTTTGTTTCCAGGCGAAGTGGAATTTTTTTCGCATATACAGTCAACTTCGCTAATAACGACTGCGGATATAACGACAATTCGCGAATAACGACAACATTTCCATGCCCAGAGCAAAGTCCCTTCCAACTGTAATACATAATGAGACTTCGGGTATAACGACACTTCGCGAATAAGGACACTTTTTTGATGCCCCGCCGAGAATCGTTATAAGCGAAGTTGACTGTAAGGGTATGTGCTTGTATGTGAGTGAGTACGGTATGAACGTCATCATTTCGTGAAAATGGTTGACTACCCGTGTCTTGTCTTTAGCCCTTTCCCCGTTGTAGCCACTCTAGGCATATAGCAGTCTGACTGTAGCTGTTTCACATCATGTCCCTCCCTCCCCCCCCCCCCCACCCCAATGAATAAGCCCATTGCACATTGCCAAATATGGAAGGTATGAGTAATGCATGTGAGTACACTGGGATCAGGGATGCACTGTTCAACACCCCAGACGACCATGCCCAGGTGGCTGTGTGGGGTGTTCGCGGTACAAATTATGTCATTGCCCAGTGGGCTTATACTCACGTGGCCTTGCGTTGGTTTCGCACTCTCTTATAAACATCTAGGTCAAGCTGGAGAGTATCGGTGCGGAGGACATTGTTGACGGCAATGCACGTCTCACGCTCGGTCTCATGTGGACCATGATCCTGCGCTTTGATATTCAGGACGTCTACTTGGAGGTATGGTGAATAGCTGTTCTGTGTACTGAGCTTGAGACTCACCATCGCAACCACATTGCATTATTGACCAGCACATAACATGGTGCACGCAAGCACCACAAGGGACTTGCAGGGACTTTGATGGCAATGCTGGTGAACATTTCACCCTCCAGACTATGCACAGAGTTGAGCATGCATCTCTGAATCTCTAGCCCAGTTGTGTACGCGCAATGCTCGGAATAGCAGCAGGCGTTCCGTCTCTCCTCTCTGCTGCATGGTGTGCATGTGTGCGCGTGCTTATTCGTGACCGGATCAGTGGCTCATTGGGTGATGTGCTTTTCCCATGACATGCCTCTCTGCCCATGTATGTTGTTACCCCTGTGATTCTTACTGCTGCTACTGCTGCTGCTGCTGCTGCTGCTGCTGCTGCTGCTGCTGATACTGCTGCTGCTGCTGCTGCTGCTGCTGCTACTGCTGCCGCTGCTGCTACTGCTACTGCTGCCGCCGCTGCTGCTACTGCTACTGCTGGTGGTGGTGGTGCTGCTGCTGCTACTACTACTGCTGCTACTGCTGCTGCTACTACTGCTACTGCTGCTGCTGCTGCTGCTGCTACTGCTGCTGCTGCTGCTGCTGCTGCTGCTACGGCTGCTGCTGTTGCTGCTACTACTGCTGCTGCTGCTGCTACTGCTACTGCTGCTGCTGCTGCTACTGTTGCTGCTACTGCTACTGCTGCTGCTGCTACTGCTGCTGCTGCTGCTACTGCTGCTGCTGCTGCTGCTGCTACTGCTGCTGCTGCTGCTGCTGCTGATGCTGCTGCTACTGCTGCTGGTGCTGTGGCTGCTATTTTCATGACTATTGTCACCGTTTCTGCTTCTGTTTGTTGTCTGTGGCTGGGTTTGTTTCCCGTAGGATGAATCACCAGATCGGCGCTCCGCCAAGGAAGGTTTGCTTGTGTGGTGCCAGCGCATGACGCAAGGGTAAGAGAAGCCGCCAGCCATTGTCTTCTGACGTGTTTGCAGTACTGTGGGGTAGCGCCGAAGAACGGAGTCGAGGAACGACCAGGCTAGAATTTCACCAAGTATAGCATACCAATGTGTACACGGTGACTGTGCCATTTTGTCGCACTCGCTGACTGTATATGATCTGGTTACGTTGGTGGACAGTTAGTCATAACTCGTAGCATTTTGTCCTTTCTTTTTATCCACGGTGACTCAACTGTGCATAGACCGTAATACATGAAAATAAGAACGGTCTAGGCCAGGAGGCTGACCCCCCCCCCCCAGTTCTTCGGCGACCGACAGTACTGTATGCACGAGGGCAGTGTGCGAGTACTGGCTGCACTTGGCACTCCACTTGTTTGCCGGAATGGCCCGTATCGAATGCCTTCTAAACCAAACACTTGGAGCAGCCTACTGAACAAAGAGTGCTATGCATGAGGGAGTTTGGTGCTGCTGAAGTAAATTCTATAGATTTTTTCTTTCTCCTTCTGGTTTTTGGTCAGAATGGTCAGTCTTGTCCCATCGGTTCCGTACACAGTGAAACCTGTCTTAGGCAACCGCTCAAACGACCTTCAAAATGTGGTCGCTGTGTACAGGTGGTCTCCTTATCCAGGGTCATTTGACTGAAAACAACATCCCTTGGTTTGAGTTATTGTGGTACTCTGAGGCAGGTGGTTGCTTGTCAGAGCGGTCACCTTGACAGGTTAGAGGCAGGTGGTTGCTTGTCAGAGCGGTCACCTTGACAGGTTAGAGGCAGGTGGTTGCTTGTCAGAGTGGTCACCTTGACAGGTTTTACTGTACAGTGAAACCTGTCAAGGTGACCGCTCAAGGGACCTTCGAAACATGGTCTTTGTTACCAGGTGGTCTCCTTATCCAGGGTCGTTTGACTGGTAATAGCGTCCCTTGGTTCCTGGTTTCAGTGGTCTTCTGGGACAGGTGGTTGTCTTGTCAGGTTTTACTTTAGTTGTGAATTTAAGTTCTCTGTGTTTTGACTTGTCGGCTGCTCTTTTCCAGGTACCCGGGTGTGCGTGTCGACAATTTTACCACCAGCTGGCGAGATGGCCTGGCCTTCAATGCGATCATCCACCGACACAGGTACGAGTGCGGCTTTGGTTGTTTTGGTTGAAGATTTGAAACACGTTTTGTGAGACACGACTTTAGCTTTGTCGGGTGAAAACTTAGCAGTGTGCATGGTAGCGTGGCCGAGTGGTCTAAGGCGCTGGATTAAGGCTCCAGTCTCTCCGGAGGCGTGGGTTCGAATCCCACCGCTGCCAGACCTTCATTTTTTTACTTCTGTTTCTTTACACTATTTCGATTCAGTCACTGACAATTTGATGGAAGATTACTCCAGAGGCATTTCTGGTCGTAGGTAGCGTGGCCGAGTGGTCTAAGGCGCTGGATTTAGGCTCCAGTCTCCCCGGAGGCGTGGGTTCGAATCCCACCGCTGCCAAGTGATTCTTTTTCTTTCCTTGAAGATTTGTTTTTTTGTTCAAGAGAACTTGTCGATAATTGGAATCCATCCAAGTTTCCATAGTGTAGCGGTTATCACGTTCGCCTAACACGCGAAAGGTCCCCGGTTCGATCCCGGGTGGAAACAGTAACTGTCCTTTTTTTGCACCCAGTTCATGATTTTTTCCCCGAAAGGGGAATTGTGGGGGTGAGAAAAGTAAGGCGATGCAATTGTATAATCCCTTTTCTATCTGGCAGCTGGGTGGCGCGAGGCCTTCAATATGATCATCAGGTAGCTTCATCCATGCACTGCGGAAAGTGACAATCATACTTTCCCTGTTGTTTGAGACTAGATTTTCCTATGGAACTGGAGTTCGTGAGCCCAACATTTAGGGACCATGTCTGAACCTAAACGATCCAGTAAATACTGGTGGGTGGATGCGAGAGATAGCTGATTTTGATTGCATGAGTATAGGACAAGTGGTCCAGAAGAAAAGAAAAAAATCACGGTTCGCTTGAGAGTCGGTTAGACTGAGTTTTCAGCATCCGTAGGAAAAGCAATGCCACCGCCCTGGAAAGATCGAAAGCGCGGATGCAGCTCCTAAAGCGGTGGTCCAGAAAGGTTACATGACAAGGCAGTGCAGAAGCCACCAACCACTGACCCTTAGCCACAGTGAGCTGCGCGTTCTTGGCTATGGACTCTTTGTGTTCGGGGTGCGGATGCGAGAGATCTCTAACTCTGGTTACATGAGTAAAAGACCTGGTCCAGACAATTAACAGGATAAAGCTAGTGTGCCACACATACTGACTGGTCTGTAAGCTCAGTGAGTTTGCATGGTCTTGGTTGTGAACTCTCCATATGGGCTAGCTACAGGATCATTTTCATTTTAGGAGACCACCTGTGGCACGAGGACCATGTTTTGAAGGTCCCTTGAGCGGTCGTTTTAGACAGGGTTCACTGTCTGTTGCTGCAATGCTCAAAAGTCAACTGATCTTTTAAAAGAGTAAGCTCCCAAAAGTGTGCAACTCTGTATACAGGCCCATTCATGTATGCGACAAGCCTCTGTGTCAGCCTAATAAAGATATTATTATTATTACAGGGTCTCCGATGGCGAAAACTCACACCGCCCGATTGGACTACTTGAAGTAGACTTTTGGGTTTGTTGATTGAAATATAAGGCATGTGTTATTGTCATAGGTAGCGTGGCCGATTGGTCTAAGGCGCTGGATTAAGGCTCCAGTCTCTCCGGAGGCGTGGGTTCGAATCCCACCGCTGCCAACCAACCTTTTTTTCTTTGTTTTCAATGCGTTCTGGTGAACATAGCAATATTGTGGGAGGAAAGTAGATAAGCAAGTTTCCATAGTGTAGCGGTTATCACGTTCGCCTAACACGCGAAAGGTCCCCGGTTCGATCCCGGGTGGAAACAGCCAATTTTTTTTACCATACCGGTATTCGAGTAGATCTATCACCAACGTGGATGAGTTCAATGCCCTTGATTTCTTTGGCGTCCCGGAATGTTTCCTGAGCGTCATCGACGGCGCCTTCAACCTTCGATAGATTGAACATGGACCTGCGCTAGGGGTGAAACGATTAGTTCGAATATTCGAGTATTCGTTCGAAAATTTCAAACGAGCGAGTATTCGAAATTTTGCACTCGATCGTTTTTTTTGTTTTTTTTTGTTTTTGTTTTTTTTAGTATTGGCATTCTATTTTTCAAAAACTTTTGTTGTACCGCTCGTCCACTGGTATACATGTGTAATGCATGCCTTTGAGTCAGTATTTTATGACTTGGACGATGCAATCACCATGGCAAGTAACGTCAGTTAATTGTATTGTATTTATTTAAAAGGATTCTCCAAAAGCAAATGGATGCTTATCACGGAAGTCTCCCACATAAATATTGCAAGAAAAATGGGGAAATGGGGGAGAGGAGAGTGGAAGATGAAGCATGGGAAGAAGGGAAACAAGTACCTAAATATCGAGGTATAAAAGCAGGAAAGAAATCGACGAGGGAAGAAATCACCTCTGCAGATAATAGCAGGACATTTAGATGAAAAAAAACCCAGCAAGGATTAATTTCAAGGAAAAAAAATTTCTCAAACGGAAAAGTTCGGAATTCCAGTCAGAGAATATCTATGCTGTGAGTAATGAGCCTTTAGAGCAATGCGAAAATTGGCAGAGGACTGAACGCAGCGGATGTGTTCTGGAAGTTTGTTCCATTCCACAGATAAACTGAAGAGAGGGGATTTTTTTTAACGTTCTGAGATATGAAAGTACTGATGAAAATCGTTACTTTACACTCTGTACAAGACGTTGGCGACTTTTGTTTTATGTTCACAGATAATTTCTTCCCGAATTTGTGGAGAACTCACAAATCTAGCCCTTTTGAATTTTGATAAAATACTCGAAATAATCGGATACTCGATCGAATATTATGAACGAGTGATCGATTGGTCAAAATAGATACTCGTTTCACCCCTAACCTGCGCCCATCATCCCAACATCTCAGCAGCCTGCCAGTATCCCGGCTTGATGGTGAGCCGCATGGAGGTTCTCTGATGCTGCTTACGACGCCGGCAAGGAAACAGCTTGTGAAAACTGCTTCTTTATGCCATCTGCCTCTCTTGAAGCAGCCGTGACAATGTCTAACTCGCCCTGCTGCTAGTGACCGTACTCGAAAACTTTCTCGATTGCTCTCATAGCCTTTCTCATCGGCCTCTCGCCGACAACCAACGCATCTTTGATTTCCTGCTTTGTTGCCTTGGCTTCGTCATCTGTTAGTCCGGAGAATATTCGTATTGCGGACGTACATTCAGCCTTTGCTGATGACTTGTCTAAACGGACGATGACGACGGACGAACTTCTTGAAGACGGACAAAACTGTGACGATAGGACGACTGGAGATGACATCGAAAACTGGGAGCGAAGGCCACGCAGGACGAATCCAGAAGTTTACGTTTACAACAAATTCCCATCACCGCTGCCACCAATGTTGTAACTGCCTTTTCTCCACCTGCTCCCAGTCCCGTGCCATCTCCACACTTATACAAAGGGACGACGATAACTACATTTGAAAGACAGTTTATTGCAAGACGACTACGGAAACACAACTAGACATGACGAACTCAAGACGAAGACTGCTTTTCACACCACAGCAAGACGCGCATGCACCAACACGACGTACACACGACGTACACAAAATAACGTACTACAACACACTGACAACTCCATGGTTTTAGGTTTTCTTCTTCTCAGGAATACACAACTACTGCACTAGATCATATTGTAACCAACCTTTGTAACCAAGAAACGGAACTTCTTGTTTCTATTTCAACTCGTCAAGGTACGCTCTCAACTAGACTGACCAAAAACTCAAACCTTATCCAAAAGTACAACAACCTAAACGCGTTCCAAAGCAACAGCTCAACTTGTGATCGCATGCTAACCCCCAGTTTCCAGTGAGTGACAGCACCTCATCACCTTCTACCGTTCTACTTCCGCTTTCCAGACAACCGAAGCCAAGAAGGGTGACACTAAAAGTAAAAGACAGCATGTGTAGACACTTGGCGCGCACACCAGGTGTGGATAGCCAGCACGCACAGAACTGACGAGACCTAGCGTGTGCATTGAAACAGAAACAGAGCATGCAGAAGTGCACAGCACGAAACGCACACAAAAGAAACCCATAAATCGTAATGATCTCGAAAGCCAGAGTACTAGTCTGAACATGCACGTGTTTGTGTGTGTGTGTGCGTGCGTGCGTGCGTGCGTGCGTGTGTGCGTGCGTGTGTGTGTGTGTGTGTGTGTGTGTGTGTGTGTGTGCGCGCGTGCGTGTGCGAGCGTGTGTGTGCGCGCATGCGTGCGTTTGTGTAAATTGTTTTCCTTGCTTAGACCCGATCTTTTTGAGTTCAATGATCTGAAGTCATCTCAGGCCGACAAGAATCTTCGCAATGCGTTTGACGTTGCATCCAATGAACTTGGAATTGCACGCCTTCTTGATCCGGAAGGTGAGTTGTACAACAGTGGCCTCTGCGGGGATTTGATTCGGTTTGTTTCAATTCCGGAGTCTCGAGTAAGTTTCTCTCTTTTGAAGTAGTGCCAGTGAACGTGCAAGCAAGCAATCGGCAAAGTGATAACCAATGATATGTATTGTTGTCATTGCATTATGTGAACGCTGGTTATTCATCGAGCGTGTGTGTTTGTGTGTGTGTGCGTATGGGTGCTTGCGCATGCTTGTGTGTCTTCCTGTTTTCCTGTCCATTCTCCCACCTTACACCCGGGGATCGCTGCTTCTACTACCCCCGTCCTCCCGATCATCATGATCATGACCCTCAACCTGCATCACCCACTCTAGATGTCAACATCATTCGTCCGGACGACAAATCAATCATGACACAGCTGGTCGCCTACTACAAGTACTTCACTCGCATGAAGAGCGAGGAGACCAGTCAGAAACGTATCATCAAGGTATATCACTAGTCGGTGTGTTAACACATAGGGTTGGCTTGCCACAGATATTTCTGAAGGCTGTCTTGTCATTATAATTGTAATATTGCACAATTGTCTGAGGATTGCCTTAGCCTTGCTATGTGCATGAAACGCAGCGTTACAAGAATGACCTAGCCGGTTGTCTCTGCTCTCTTCTGCCTTTGTGGTAATGCTCCATCCCGTTGTGGTGTTGAGCACTCTAGGCAATCTGGGAACTCTCGCTATTGTAATTATAATTTAGTACATGCTGTTTTTGTCAACTCTCTACTGTAGTTAATCCATTGTCCTTGCTCCTTTGCTTTTGCCTGTATTTTGCCTGACGAGAAGGCTTGAAAGGGTACTCATGAAGATTTCAAAACGTCGAACCTGAACTGTGTCCTGTTTCTAAGTTTGTACATGTATTGTATTAGTACTCAATCTGCGGACAGAACTGTTTCTTTGTGGACTCATCAGCGCAGCACAGAAAAAATGAGGCCAAACCTGATAGCAATGGAAAATATTCAAAATAAATTTCCCAAAGCCAGATTTAAACCAGGCCCGAACGTACCTTGCCAGAGTGCTCAAACTGACGAGTCAGTGAGCTCTGCATAACGCAAACAACAAAGGCACTACCCCACACGAGTGTATTAGTGTTGTGTCCGTGACAAACTGTGTTCTTCTTCATGTTTTGCTCTGAAGATGGTGGGTATGATTCAAGAAGGTGAAGACTTGGAGCGGGACTTTGATGTCATGATGGATGACCTGATGGCGTGGATGAAAGCCAAGATTGCTGAGTTGACACAGCGCAATCTGCCCAATACACTGGAAGGCATTCAGCAGCTGATGACTGCTTTCACACGGTATCGCACCGAGGAGAAACCTCCAAAGTAAGTGCAGCCACTGCGGCCTGTGTGGCGAGTACGTGTACGTGTGTGTGTGTGTGTGTGTGTGTTTGCATGTGTGTGTGCGTGCGTGTATGTGCATGCAGGGGTGGGGGGAGGGCTATCCGGCTGTCTGTAATGAATTCATGTTGACCGGGCTTTGGAGATCTTTCTTCTGCTGTCTATTTTCAAGACAGTTCTTTCTACTGCCATCAGCTTTTTGAGTTCATTTCTTGTCCCCCCCTGCACACATACATATCATCCGTACAAATCCATTGCTTTCAGTCGGTATGTACTTCACCATGCCATGCCTTCATCATCGCCTCCGATGATGAATCTGTCTGAACCTGTATCAGGGCCGTAGCTGGTCCCCCTTTTAGGGGGGTGCACGGCCGCATAAGTAACAGCCCCCGTGCCCCATGCGAGCTATGCACCTGTGTCTGATATTGTTCTTGTTGTGGCTATCACTGCTGCTGCTGCTGCTGCTTCTCCTTCTGTTGTGGCTTCTGCTATTATTTTTCTGCTGCTGGTTCTGCTACTGCCGGTTGTTTTTGTTCGGCTGTTGTTCTTGTCTGTCAGGTACGTGGAGCGCAGCAACATTGAGCTGCAGCTGTTTGATGTTCAGTCGCAACGTCGTGCTACCAAGCGTAAGATGTTCATGCCGCCGGAAGGCCGCATGATGCTCGATCTGAACAGTGTGTGGGCAAAGCTGGAGCAGGTGGAGCACGAACGTGAGATGGTGCTGCGTGACGAGCTCATGCGCCAGGAGAAACTGGAGCAGCTCGCCGCCAAGTTTGTCCGAAAGGTGAGTGCAGCTGACAGGGTTTCAGAGTGTGGGGGGAGAGGCATGTGGAGGCCTTGTGTGTGTGTGTGTGTGTTTTATTGTTTAATCTCGTGGTAGGGATGTGCCACTATTCTAACATGCAGATGACAGAGCTCTTTGCTGGTGGTCAGAAGCCTAACGTCCATTGCATAGCGTGTAGGCTGTGCGAGCTGTCATGCTGGAGCCTCAATCCATGTTTGCATTCGCATTCATGGTCAATTGGGCCGTCGTTTGTCGTCGTCATCTTTGCTGTACTGCTGTTTTGTTGTTGTGTTGCTGCTGCTGTTGTTGTTGTGGTCGTTGGGGTTGTTGTCGTGTTGCTGTTGTCGCTGTCGTTGTTGTTGCCGTGTATGCATTGTCTGCTGCAGGTGACGCTACGTCAAGGCTGGCTTCACGACATGGAGCAGGTGCTGGAGGACATGGGCCGCAAGGTGGAGATGAGCAGCGTGGATGCCTCGCTGAAGCGCTATGAAGCCATCAGTGCTGGCATCATGGCCGGGGTGAGTCCAGTTTTATTCATTTATTTATTCACTGTCTGCACTTCATAGCACATAATAGCCAAGACAAGGAAGTGAGGGTGAATCCAACCACGGACCGAGAGCAAGATGCAATTAAAGAAAGAAAGAAAAGAGACAGGTACTACACTGCTCTGCATTTTTCTTGTCCTGCACTTTGCCAATATGATAACGCTCTCCATAATCGCAGAATGAAGAACGAAATGCCAAATATTCGAACATTTTAGAACAATGCTAGGCTGCGCCTTGAGCCCCTGCGTTCTTCGGTGCCCAATCTTACTACATACACTCCTGTGACTGTGCATGTGACTGTGCATGGTACATGGTGTTTGTGACTGTATGTGGTACATGGTGTGTGTGTGTGTGTGTGTGTGTGTGTGTGTGTGTGTGTGGGACTGTGCATGTGTCCAGGAGGGTCGCATTATCACACTCATGGACATGGCGGAGGAGCTGGTGTCGGAACGCTATCACGACTCCAGCACTATCCAACAATGGTCAGAGTTCTGTGTGTTGCGTGTGCGTGCGTGCGTGTGTGTGTGTGTGTGTCCATGATCTGCAAAATAGAAAAAATCCAAACTAGACGCCGTGCCGAGCAATAGTAACCATGGCAACGCAAACAAAAAGTACAAATTAAATAAATTGAAAAGTGCCAGACAGTCCTCACTATGAACTGTTAGAACGAATACATGGGCATGTATGTTGTACAAACAAAAATTGTTCAAGCAATGACGCGCTTGTGCCACTATAGGCTATAGTATAGCAAGCCACAACAAGCATTCATGGGCGCGTGACATAGTGAGTGCGTTCGATTATGCCCGCGAATCGATTCATGAATACAGTCAACTTCGCCAATAACGACTGCGGGTATAACGACAATTCGCGAATAACGACATAATTTTCATGCCCGGAGCAGAGTCCCATCCACCTGTGACACATATAATGAGACTTCGGATATAACGACACTTCGCGAATAAGGACACTTTTCTGATGCCCCGCCGAGTGTCGTTATAAGCGAAGTTGACTGTAGATTCATGAATCGATACGCGCTATTCACATCACCCCATGTAAATAGGGTGAATGGATTCCGAATCGATTCCAGGGCTCATGACATGAAAATCGAACGACTTGAATGCACTTGAATCGATTCATGAATCGATTCAAGTGCATAATCGAACGCAGCCACTGGATGACGACGCTGGTCACTGGACCGTTGAATTGAACAGGTTGCAGTGGTAGACGTGGAGGTTTGCCAGTCGGCACTGCAGAAAAGATGCGTCCGCTGTTGGCACTGCGGGCAGGGAAGATGCGTCTGCTGTTGTTGCAGACTGAGAAGCAGCATCAGCACTCGCCACCAATGCAGGCATTACACTCCAAGAAGATCCAGTAGCGCACGACTTACTTGTATCCCCATCCAGGCTGGCAACCATGGCGTCCTTCTGTTGGTCTGTGGTCCGGGAGTAGTTTCTGAGGCCCATCGGATTGCGGTGTTCCGTGACGGACATGATGTGGGGCTCCGAAACTCCCATAGCTGAGAGCCGCTGAACAGCAGTGGCACGAACAGAATGATTCATGTATATAACGAGACAGTTCACACCGCTTGGAACTGGTTTGCATCATGCTGCTGAGCGTATTCTTCCCAAGGGGACAATTCACAAACCAGATTTTCTCACCCTTCTTCAAGTTGGCCTTGGGCCGCTGAAAGAGCGCACTACACTCGGGATTCAAACGCTCCAGCAGAAATTTGATGGAAAACACTTGGTCACCGTCTTGAATTCACCCAGACGTTGGGGCATCGTGCTTGTCTTCGTTGCAAGATCAACGGCCATTTCGAAGCACTCCTTCTTATTTTCATCTTCACGAAGTACCAAGTCGGATTTCTTGATGCTCCGCTGCAGCTCTCGTCCACGGAGAGAGAAATGAAGCGAGATAAAGAACCATACTTGCTGGTTGAGACCATCTGGCTCCTTGGACCTCATGAAGAGGTCCAACCTCTTCCCAAAGTCCGCATCACAAATAAAATCCTTGTGTTGCACCGGTCGCAGATGTCCTTCACTTTTGTTTTTCTTCAACACAGCGTCAATGGCTTTGTTGGAAGCTCGGAACGCTGCATCTTTGACGATGTCCCATCTCCTGAGGTCACCGAAATGTCGAGCAATTTCAGCTCTCAGACACAACATACTACTCCTTTGGTAAGGCGCTCCATCCACGCGCTTTGCCCCAACATACAGCTTGGACAATGAAATGCACAAATCCTCTTGCGAACATACTTTTTCGTCGAGGGGAGACTCCTGAGCTGCGTTGAAACAACGAAAAACTTCCACCCAGCCCTTGGTAGCTGCGGTAGTTGCTGCGGGGGTGCTACCAGCCACCACTTCCTGGTTCGAAACTGGCACAAACCGTTCTGCCATGTTCAGAACCGAACCTGAAAGAATCAAAAGGAGAAAGTCGACCTCGTGTGCAGGAATACTTGAAAGGAAAAAAAAGAAAAGCTGACGGTAAAATTTCATCTTCTCACGCGCTCACGTCATCAGCTGTAGCATTTTCAACAAGAAAAAATTTCCAAAAATCTCAAAAAAATTCTTAGTCCCCAACTCCCTATGGTGAACTCCCAACTCTCTATGGTGAACTCCCAACTCCCTATGGTGAACTCTCAATTCCCGCCACTTTCGACCACGCGTTCACATGTCACACTGCGCCGTACAATCACCATGGTGACCTTATTCACAATTCACATCCCGTAGATTTCACGTGCCCAGTCACAGTCAGGGTTGTCGCGGACGACGGGCTTTGGACGCGGCGGGCGTTGGACTGATTTCTTGCCCGCTCGTACAGATCAGTGATTGGCCACATCCTAGGAAACTCTCACGTGATATGTGATAAGCAAGTTTACATAGAGGAGATTTAGCACTAGTGCCCACCAGGCAGGCACCAGTATTGGTTTGGCTTCTTGTTTCTCAACGCGCCCAGTTGCCGCGTGTCAACCCTCTTGTCTCATTTTCTAGCCCACCTCCGTGTAAACGCCCATGGCCAACAGCACAGGTCCAGTACACAGTGCAGTGCAGTGCATGTACAGCTCTGCGTGCATGTACAGTACAGTAGTATAACTATAGTATACAGTACCCAGTACATTGCATTGCATGTACAGCTACACGTGTATGTACAGTACAGTAGTATAACTATAGTATACAGTACCCAGTACAGTGCATTGCATGTACAGCTACACGTGTATGTACAGTACTGTAGTATAACTATAGTATACAGTACCCAGTACATTGCATTGCATGCACAGCTCTGCGTGCATGTACAGTACAGTAGTATAACTATAGTGTACAGTACCCAGTGCATTGCATTGCATGTACAGCTCTGCGTGTATGTACAGTACAGTAGTATAACTATAACTATAGTATACAGTGCGCTAGTGCCCAGTGCTAACCATATACGTACCTGTAGTAGCACGGCATGATGTGAACATTAGAGAGGTTTAGCATAACGAAATTTGTCTGAACTTTCGTTAGATTTTGAAGCCCGGGAACGAGTAACGAAACTTGCAACGAACTTCGGGACACACACTCGCGGAAAACATCAATCCAACGAAGTTTGGTCTGTCGACTTTTCGTACCGCGATCACATGAGAATTTATCCTTTCCTTTCGACATTTTTTCTGAGGTTCTTGTTTTCACGACCAGAATGTCTAAGCCGAACTCAAATCCTGCAGTTTCTGCAGCTGCTGTTACCTCTGGTGATCAGGAGGGACGACGACTTACGTGGGATACGCAGATGGATCTCATGATGCTCCGCCTTGTGAGGTCGATGCCGAATTGTTTGCGGAAATCACGCACGAATGAAGAAGCAGCTCTGCTGCTTTCCCAGAGCGATGAGAGATTTGCTGGGCTGAAAAAGAAAGGGCTTGTGCCAGTTGTGGATCGGCTTCATCTCCTGCTCAAGAAGCATTCGAGTGGTGAGGCCGCCAGTTTACGAAAGTCGGGGAGTGACGAGGATTACTATTTTTGTATTTCGCGGGGATTTCCGCGACATCCACGGTATCCACTAGCAACACCGAAGTTCGTGGCGAACATTCTGCTAAACAAAAATTCAGCGAATTTCGGTCGGCTTTTTCGTACAGCGGCATAACGAAAATGAACAACGAATTTCGTTGTGCTAAACCTCTCTATTAGTTTAATTTCACTTATCCGAAATAGCGCCCGGGCCCACATTTGTGCCCAGGCCCAAATTGACGCCTATGTACTTCATTGCGGGATTTTATGGCACTGCACCTGACGGCTCCGCCACCGTGATCTCTCTGTGCTGTGGGTCTGAGGTACCCCTGAGTGGAATGACCAAGAGGCGCACGTACCGGTATACAGTCGACTCCACTTATAACAAACTCGCATATAGCGAATTCGTGATATACCGAACTGCTGTCCATGTCCCAGTTTGAACCCACCGTGTGGGTGCATTTCTGTTATAACGAACTTTGGCTATAAAGAACTGATTCTCCTGCACGATTAGGTTTCTTATATCAGGAGTCGACTGTACTTTGTGCCAACGGGCTTGGGATAACTAACACGTAGGGATGATCAGCCAGCCACGACACTATCACCAAATGTCTCCTGCTCCTTCTCTGTTTTTTACTCGTTCGTTTTCCCGTTTCCTGTTTCCGTCCTGTCCATCTCTGTGTGCAGTGCTGGCAATGTGAAGCGTGAGTGGGAGCGTCTCAAGGTCCACCTTGACGCCCTACAGAGTGCCCTGGCAGACACCAGAGAGCTGACCATGATCTTCAAGGAGATGGATGAGCTGATGAAGGAAATGGTGCTGCTGGAGGTAGGGAACACAGTTATGTACAGTCTCCATTCATCCATAACTGGCAAGTTACTGGTGGATATACTAAACAACTGTATGTCCTGCATTGTGCGACCTGTTCAATTCTTCCCTGCCACTTTTGAGACCGGAAAAGTTAGGGAGTTCGAAATTCGGCTAGGTTTTATGAAATTAGGACAGGTAAACCATGGGAAAATGCGTGGAGAACCAGATCCCAAAGACCCAAACCCAGATTTTTCGAATTTGAAGTGGAGTTTCGAGCCTTAGTTTAGCCAGAATCAGGTTTTGAAAAGCCATCGGGACAGTTCTATCTTATTAGACCGTATCATAGGTTTGTTCCATTCAGCCTTGAAATTGAGCGGGGGTTCTGGAATAATTTGTGCCCTCAGTTTCCTTTGTGTGTTGTATCAGGTAGCGTGGCCGAGTGGTCTAAGGCGCTGGATTTAGGCTCCAGTCTCTCCGGAGGCGTGGGTTCGAATCCCACCGCTGCCAGGATTCATTTTTTTGCTCTACTAGTTTACCGGTAATTTTTTTAACCGGTTCGCGCTCTCCGCCTTCTCCGTGAAAAAGTAAGAAAAATGCGCACGTTCGGGCTCTCCACCTTCTCCGTGAAATGCACAATAAATAACCAACAGCTCAAAGGTCCGCACTAAAGACTACAAATGACGGGAAGTACCAGCTTTGGCAGCAACTAGGGAGGCAGAAGAAGAGCCAGGTGCATGCACAGCGAAAACAGAGCAGCTACCACGCAGGCATATGACACTTGCTCTGAGCAAAGCTAAGGCGGATGAATGCCATGACAACCGAATACGGTTCGCTGCTTTTCTCAGCAATGAGGGATGCAATACGCTTGTAAAGTGAGGCAGATTGCTTACCCGTGCCACCGGTTGTCGAGAAGACCAAAGGGACAGATGAAGCATGCTCGATCTCTCGCAGCCTCTCTTCGTACGACCTCTTCTTCACTTTCTCATGGCGAACGTAGGTGGCAGAAATGGAGGAGGACTGGTTCGAAGACGCAAAAGGGTTGAAAACCCGGACGTCGAAGAAGATGCGTTCGAACCGCCCTCCCCACACTCCATTTGCTGCTACATCCAAGCGAGCCTTTAGGGTTTTACGTCGGGCCCTAGACGACGGCTACTTTGGCCAACCGGACAACAAAGAAGTTGAGACCAAAGAGAATGATTTATTTTCTTGCGCATGCTTGTATGTATGAAGTGACGTAATAGGAGTCAGGCCGCTACAAGCCTGGTCGTCGCGGATGGCGGTGCGATAGCGAAGCTGCTCCCCACTCAGAGGCTCGAGATGAGGCTCCACAGATACATTGGTGGCAACACGCTTCAAGAAACCCAGCGGTCACATCACGGATCGCGTTGTGCCTGATGGTAGGGTAGCCGCCGGTGGGGCACGACAGGGCATGGGCCGCTGTAAACTGGCTTCCACAAACGCACCCTGCTGCCTGATGGTTGTCAGCTGTACCTTAGATGAACTCCATCGCGAAACTCCGCTTTGGAGAGGGAAAATCCATGGCGCTTTAAGGGCCTGCAGGTCAGCCAACTGGAAGCGCCCTACTCCGCAGCCAGGTCAATTACACGCTACTTGGCCTCCGGCAGACTGGAGCGGAGCAGCAGGGCTTGGGCTTTGACAGCATTCTGTGCTGTTGTAATACTTCTTGGATGTAGTCCTCAACTAATTAAACTGTCACAGGTAGCGTGGCCGAGTGGTCTAAGGCGCTGGATTAAGGCTCCAGTCTCTCCGGAGGCGTGGGTTCGAATCCCACCGCTGCCAGCCTTCTTTTTTTTCACTGCATTTTATCCGCTTCCAGGTTGCTTTTTTTTCACTGCGCTTTTATTTATCGGATGAAATGAGTTTCGCCAAGAGTGCATAAACAAGAGTATGCAACTGTGGTTATGGCCCAGTGCGCGGCGCGCTGCCTTCATTACGTAACTTGCCTTCATCACGCTCTGAAAGCATGCATTCAAACTCACAATTTCTCGTACGAGCCCATCCGTTTTTGCTCGATTCGTTCCAGTAGCTACGCGATCTCTGAGTTATGGCGCGTGAACTCCAGTTCCGTACGAAAGTTCATTTCAAACCAGAGGGAAAGCGCGGTGTTTGATTTTCCGCAGTGCGCGGACTGCAGCTGAATGATGTAATGAAGGCAGCGCGCCGCGCATCTGGCCCATAGAAAAGAGATCACAGTTGCATACTCTTGGGTTATGGACTCTTGGTTTCGTCAAGAGTACATGAAACCAAGAGTGTGCAGCTCGGATGGGTTGCTGTCACAGTGAAATTCTGTGATTACATCATTTTAGTGAAGTAGTGCGTACAAGCAGGATTCCAGCAGGTCTCTTTCTGCACGACTGCAGCTCAGTTGTATGCACTACGCCACTTCCCGTCTCAGATCTGCACCAAATATGATGTAATCACGGAATTTCGCCGTGACAGACACCCATAGTAGAAAAGGCCCCAAGCTGCACGCTCTGGTTTTCATGTACTCTTGCTTTCAGAGAGTTTTTTTTAGCATTATGAAATTTGCATCTTGAAACTCGGGTACTGTATTGAGCTCGGGTATTGAGCCAAACTCGGGTATTGAGCAATAAATTTGTATCTAAAAAGGCGACGTGGAGACAATAATCTTAATAATGCAATGAATATAACTAAATGCGCACTCATATCACAACCATGGGGACGAATCATGTACATGTATTCCAGAACGTTTTCTTGTCACAATTATCAATGGAATTCGTGACTAAAGAGAATGATGAAACTACAATATGTCACCGCACTTACGCTATTCCAGTAAATTCGCACTCACACACACTTGCACATGCATGTCCATTGTCACACTGCACTTGCTGAATTTCCTATCATTTCTCACCTCACCTATAGTTTATTACCTGTGCACATTGTTCCTAGGTTTGTGCTATTTTTCTTACTATGCTTGTATCCTCGCTGTTCCACTCCAAGTGTATAAATCCTATTGTAGTTTCATCATTCTCTTTAGTCACGAATTCCATTGATAATTGTGACAAGAAAACGTTCTGGAATACATGTACATGATTCGTCCCCATGGTTGTGATATGAGTGCGCATTTAGTTATATTCATTGCATTATTAAAATTTGTATCTGTTCAACATTAAATTTTTGGATGTGTTCTTGATTGAGAGGTGTCCACCAAGGGGACGCTCTACTCTGTTCGTCAGAAACCAACCATGGGTGTACATTTCACGGCGGCTGCTCATCTCATCCTTCTTTGCCTCTCCCATTGTGTGATGTGTGATGTGTATGTACATGAGTGCCTGCACATGTGTGTGTGTGTGTGTGTGTGTGTGTGTGTGTGTGTGCACGTGTATCTGTGTGTGCACGTGTGTGTATGTGTGTGTGTGTGCGCATGTGTGTGTGTGTGTGTGTGTGTGTGTGTGTGTGTGTGTGTGTGTGTGTGCACACGTGTGCATGTGTGTGTGTGTGTGTGTGTGTGTGTGTGTGTGTGTGCTCGTGTGCGTGCGTTTGGCGTGCATGCATCTGGCGTGCATGTGTGTGTGTGTGCATATGTTCAGGCTACGTTCAAAGGTGACGACCTGGGCAAGCACTTAACCGGCGTCACAGACCTGCTGGAGAAACACGGCATTGCCGAGTCTGGCGTTTCGCTACACGCCGAACGCTGCAAGCAGCTGATCGCGCAGAGCCAGAAGTTCGTCGACACGGAAGACGAGAAGGACGTGGCCACCATCAACATTCTGCAGAAGCAGCAGGCGCTGCAGGCGGCCTGCGACTCTCTCCTCTCGTCCTCATCCACCCGCCGGGCCCGCCTGGAGGCTTCGCACTCGCTGCAGCAGTTCCTGTCCAGCGTACAGGAGGAAGAGGTGAGGCCGGTTACAAAAGCATGTCACATGACTGCATCGTGGATTACAGCCAGCAGCTGCAGCAGCAGCCTTACAGAGCATGCAGTATCCTCCTGTCCAAACACGAGTCTTAGTTATGTTTCCATAGTTACGGTATTTGCCGTGCTTGCTACATGTGCTGTATTTGGCGGAGCATTGTGTGCACTATTCTACTCTCTCCGGAGTCCTGGTGGCATTCCTGTTCTTGGTTTGTTGGTTTAGGTGTGGATGAAAGAAGCGGAGCAGCTGGCCACAATGGCCGACACAGGGCATGATCTGAACAGCACACGACACTTGCTTGCTAAGCATAAGGTGAGTGGACTCCCCGTGAGACTGTCTGTTGTCTGCGATTTTAGGAGATGATTAATGGGACATATGCATCAATTTCCCGCCATTAGGTTTTGCGGGGCAAGTCCACTACAAACGTACACTCTGTGATACCAGCTCTGCATAAAAGTCTTATTGAAAGATCATGACGTTTGTAAGGTCATACTCATAAATGCACTAGAATGGGTTGTACCTGCCAAAGTATGGAGCAACTTGCCCCGCAAAAAGGTGAAGGCCATCTTTGGCGCATACCTCCCATCGGCTGCAGTGGAGGCTCCGGATATTGATTACTGTATATTCTCCATGAGAAGCACCGTGCGAGACTGTGCCAGTATTGTTTCGGAAGGTCCTCTTAGTGCGCTAGTATTAGAGACTACGCTTGTACTTCCTCCGCCCAGGCAAAATTTTCGCTTATCTCCTTCAGCCCAATGACAGGTGTCTGACAGCCATTTTTGCATCTTGTGCACTTCACCATCACACAAATCTGCTGGTTCAGGCGTACCAGTTCCAAACAAGTCGGCGAAGTCGGCAAAGAGTAAAGAAACACCTAGAGAAGAGCGGCTGGTATTCATTAATTTACTGTTACTCTGGCCAATTTACCACCAGGCTCTGTCGAGTCTGACTCTTTAACTTAAGCCAGCGATGTGATGTCCTATGGCCGTGATTATCTTTTCCATTCTCCAACCAAGAGTACCATATTACCTCCATTACAAGCGCAGTCTCTTGTAGAAGCCTAGTCTCTATTATACGGTATATAAGCTCCCAAGAGTGTGCAACTCTGGGTACAGGGTCTCCGACGGCGAAAACGCACATCGCATGTTCAAAGTACGATTTATACTACGTGCAACGAAGGCTAGCGTGCGCTCAGGCCGAATATCTGCCATGATTATGCTGATGACTCGCATAGGCTGATTGGGATTCTGTCAGGGAGTGGTATTTTTCCAACTCTACTTGTCGCTAAAAATGGGCTGGGATTCCTGGGAACGTACACGGTACAGCAGGAACGCTACACCACGTCATGTGAGTTTTCACAGTCGGCTGACCCCACAGCAAGGGCATCGGGAGTTGCACACTCTTGGAAGCTTACATACTCTTGCTCCAACAGATAACATTCATAACTGTTTCTTGTGCCTGGTAGCGTGGCCGAGTGGTCTAAGGCGCTGGATTTAGGCTCCAGTCTCTCCGGAGGCGTGGGTTCGAATCCCACCGCTGCCAAGATTGATTTTTTTCTTCTTCATGTGAGATTTTGTTGATAGAATTCCGCATGCTACGTTTTACATAAATGTGTTAGGTAGCGTGGCCGAGTGGTCTAAGGGGCTGGATTAAGGCTCCAGTCTCTCCGGAGGCGTGGGTTCGAATCCCACCGCTGCCAACCAAACTTTTTTTCTTTGTTTTCAATGCGTTTGTATGAACATAGGAATATCACGTTCGCCTAACACGCGAAAGGTCCCCGGTTCGATCCCGGGTGGAAACAGCCAATTTTTTTTCTTCGAATGATATATGAGCCCCAGCCAGCAGAAACCTGAACATGTGTAATTTTTCAAAAATTATTTTTTCGCTCGAAATTGATTCTACACTAGTATTAATCATTCAAGTTATCAAGTTTGGTGACAATCTGATGAGCAAAAGCATGGAAAATAGAGTTTGAAGTCACACAGGTCAAGATTCGGTACAGTTGGCGCAGCATCCATGCCCAGTAACTCCATGCAAGTTGATCCTACAGTTTCTGATTGTAATGTGGGACAGGTACATGTAAGTAAATATAATGCAAGTCAGGCTTGCCCTCTTGGTGCGGCAGGCATGAGTAGTTCAGAAGTGTGACGATATTCCGTATACACCACTACCTTCTTTACAACACCAGAGTGCAAAACGATGATTGGTGGCTGGCCTTCCAAATTGTGTTCAGGGACCTCTGTGCTGGCAGTTTGAGCGTTGTCCCAAAGCTTGCCATACTGATAGATGTACTGACCAATACCACTGACATCCACTCCCTTGCACACTTTTACTCAGACCATGATTTCAGCATAATTGTATTTCAATGATATGAGCGAATATTCGCGTTTTGTAGCACGTGAAGATGTTGCCCCAAAGCGTTCAGCCGGTTTGACTTTTTAGGGATCGCCTTTTTCAGCACAGGCAGCAGCCAGCTTGGCGTCGTCTGGCAAGGTAGAGTACTGATAATACTACGCTCTGTTTTGCGCCGTGAGAAGCCCTCCATCAGTGTCTGCAACATCATTGGTGTCGATGTAGAAATACGGATCGCTCAGCGGGTCGACATTCAGCTTCTCCTCGCAGTCGATATTACTCCAGCACTGACTATCGTCGCCATCAGTATCCAGTGTCGATTTTATGAGGGCTCTTCATTGCTATGCATATGAGACTTGCCACTGCTGGACAAACTCAGCGAGATCGCCACCAAAGAAATAATTCCGATCGCGAACTAACTTTCAGCGCCGCTTCGTACAGGGAGTCTCATGCTGACAACTCTGGACCTAAGGCTAAGTCCTTGTCGCGACACCTGTCGCCATCGCTGTGTCTAAACTCAACCTCCGTGTGATGAGCTCTCCTCTAGCGCTGAAATCAATTGACCAGAGACATTTGAAGACACTCGAAACTCCTTTGACAACAAAGACACCCACTCGATCGAAAAAGAATCTTCAAAAGCCAGCTCACTGCGCGTCCCAAACTTTGACGTCACATTTTGATGATTGATATCAAGTACACAAGTGCTGGTTTTCGCTGGCCGGGACTCATATTCAGTCAATGAAGTTCCAGAAAATTCCAGGAAAGTGTTCTTTTCTGTTTCATTGACGTGTCCAAGCTGACAAAGAATTATCCGCAAGTAGTGGTCTGCTATCAAGGTTTTTTTTTCAAAATTATTTCATTTTCATGATGTAACCAGTCCCGCTGCAATCCGGTTGCCGAAAGTATTTTCTGAAACATGAATTGGCCACGGTGGAAGTCTGCGTACCGTAAAAAAAATGATATGACCAGATGTGTACTCACATCGGACGCAAAGGTCTATTTTACTGGAACTTCAAATTTCATGCATCCTGGCGATCATCAGACATCGGCATTTGCCGGAGTGTTTCCAGATACATGTGTTCAAGATACAAGGTTATTTGTGTGCAGTGTGGTTTGTGGTACGCTGTACAGTCAGATGCATTACATTGTGAACGGTGACATGGTTCTGAAAGCGAGTCGTGCCGCAGGTTTGTGTGGACTTGCACCGTGACTCTGTAGATCTCTGTACTCTTGTTGGTTCATGATACGGGAACAGGGGCAGGGGGGGGGGGAACCGGTCTGGTTGGTCCGGTCGTGGCGCGACTAACTGTTTTGGCCAGGCCATCAATGCCTGTTTACTGCCGAGGACCGTACCCTTCATATCATACACAACGTATGACGTACCCTTCATATCATACACAACGTATGAAAGGCATATGGTATGGCCGGACCAGTCGAAAACGGCTTCCGCCGGTCGTGGGGAAAGTTGGCGGACTCTGTGTTAGCCGTATGCAAGTACTTTGAAGTACAGTGAGACCTTGCTTTCCGATCACATCAGTTAACCGACTCCCTCACCGATCACTTTTTCCTCGGCCCTGCATTTTTTTAAATAAGCGCTCATGCAGGATGGTCATTGTCACCAATTAGACCGCCTCGGAAATCACTCTGCCCCGCCCGAATGGCGTTCAGAATTCCAAATGCTCCGCTGTAGTTTATGTTTTATGATTTTTTTGTGTACGGAGAGTCGGTCCGTCCCCGCTGTTTTTGTATTGGTGACAATTGAGGGACTATACTAAACATGTTACAATGTGCAGCCCGGCTAGCTCAGTCGGTAGAGCATGAGACTCTTAATCTCAGGGTCGTGGGTTCGAGCCCCACGTTGGGCGCTTTCTTTTTTTCTCCATAATGTTTTTTATTTACCTGGATAGCAGCTGCTTGCCTTGCAACAGGTCGGAATTTTGTATTTTGGTGCAGCCACTCTGGTCAGAGACAATAGAGAGGTTCCGGGGTACGATTTTCCGTGCCAAAATCCGTATGGGCGCTACGGATTTTTTCCAGGCGTGCTCCATACGATTTTTCGGCACGGAGAATCCGTGTGGACTGGCTTTCATACGAACCATGTTTCGTATGGAGATTTTGCGTCATCGGGTGCAGAAAGATTTTTCGCGAACAAATTTGGTACGAGAAACATCGATTTTCCGCGAGAAGTTTTGATTTCGGTACAATCTTTCAAAATAAAAGGCATAGCGCGGGAATGTGACGTGTTTGCGATCGTAACCTGGACAATGACGGCAAACACATAAGTTCCGTACTCCGGAACATTTCACTGCTCGAAAGAGACAATAGAGAGGTTCCGCAGTACGATTTTTCGTGCCAAAATCCGTAGAGGTGCTACGGATTTGTTATACGTCGTTTTCGAGCAGTGAAATGTTCCGGAGTACGGAACTTCTGTGTTTGCCATCATTGCCTAGGTTACGATCGCAAACACGTCACATTCCCGCGCTATGCCTTTTTATTTTGAAAATTTGTACCGAAATCAAAACTTCCCGCGGAAAACCCATGTTTCTCGTACCAAATTTGTACGCGAAAAATCTTTCTGCACCCGATGACGCAAAATCTCCATACGAAACATGGTTCGTGTGAAAGCCAGTCCGTGCCGAAAAATCGTATGGAGCACGCCTGGAAAAAATCCGTAGCGCCCACACGGATTTTGGCACGGAAAATCGTACCCCGGAACCTCTCTATTGTCCAGTTGCGCTCTGTGAAATCCAACCCAGAGTGCGTTTTGGCGAGCTTATATCACGATGGATACTCACGGCACGACACTCACGGTACCGTAGTGGAAATCGGCCCTAAAGGAGGAGCACGGCTGAAATTCGGAAGACGTGGAAGTTCTGGCTTCTTTCGGCAACTATTCGACCAAGAAGACTGTTGTAGGTCCACTCCATTCCAATTTGGGAAAAAAGGGAAGAAAAAGAATGCGCCCAACGTGGGGCTCGAACCCACGACCCTGAGATTAAGAGTCTCATGCTCTACCGAATGAGCTAGCCGGGCTGCATGGCACTTTGTCGCCCGCTGTCCTTGATGACATTTGATTGTTGTAGCCGGGGAAGTTTGTGAACATGCTCCGAAGAGAGAGGAGAATAATGCCAGGTCATGTGCAGAGGACCTATGTCTGCTCGGTTACCAGGCAGTGCTTGCTCTGCAACTATTGCCGCATTTTCCAAAGTATAAGCCGCACTGAACTACAGTAAAACCTGTCAAGGCGACCACCTGTCCTAGACGACCACTGAAACCAGGACCGAGGGATGCTATTTCCAGTCAAATGACCCTGGATAGGGAGACCACCTGGTAACAGAGACCACATTGTGAAAGTCCCTTGAGCGGTCGTCTTAGACAGGTTTCACTGTATGAGCCGCACCCACATTTGTTGTGACGAAACGCGTACATCCAGCCTGCATTTCACGGAATACGGTAATTGATTTATTACCGGTACTGCTGCTGTTTCTTTATCGATCTTTGTTGTTTGACGGTACCTGGTTGTGTTTGTACGTGTTCTGTTGTGTGTGCAGACTCTGGAGGCTGAGACAGCCGGTCATGAGTCCAGAGTCCACTCTCTGGCCTCCACTGCCAAGCAGCTGTGCAACGACGGGCACTATGCCAACAAGACGATCACGCAGCGCAGTCAGCAGCTGCAGGACAAGTGGCAGCGCTTGAAGCAGCTGTCGGCCGCGCGACGTCAGCGTCTAGAGGAGGCCGTCCAGGCTCAGCAGGTATGCTTTCTCCCGATCCAGTGCAGCCAGTTCACAATGAATGCAATGTTCGAAAAAATGTAATGAAAACGAATAATACACAATATAGTGGAAGGAAAGAGGAGCAAAGAGCTACAAGTTACGCTATAATATCCACAAACACCACCAGTTACTCTTTGGTCCTCTTTTCTTCTTATAAATTAATCCTTGGCTCTCCACCCAAAGTCTTACAATACAGTGGAGATTGGATATAACGACACTCCTTCGGGACAGAACAAAATGTCACTATATTCGATCTGTCGCTAAACCCGATCTTCGCAAAGGACTTACGAAACGACTTGGGCAACAGAATTGTGTCACTCAGCTCAACCTGTCGTTATATGCAAGGTCGTTCTATCCGATCTCCACCATACAACCTGAATTGATCAAGTTGAACCTCGATATCTGGAACACAAGAACTGCGCAATAAATGCAAGCGAGCAATTTTAATGATGATGAGAACTAATAATTCCGGAATCACTCGGTAAAACACCTCTGCAACAAAACAAACAAAAACGCTAAAATATGACAACCCAACGTATGCTTTCCCTCTCTCTAACTCTCTCGTTGCCGCATTGTCGCAAGACATGGCTGCTGGGTGCCTAAGTGTTCATCTGCATTACAAAATAATGATATCAGAAGGATCACTAAGGAGCCGTCCGGGGTTACCGATTGTTTTTGAGAAACGAAATTTTTTAGTATTTTTCAACTACCCTTTCTGCAGGTAAAACGCAGATCTATCAGAGATCGACAGGGTGCCTAAATCATCCAAATCCTGTCTGGAATCCTTCTTGATATCTTCGACTTTACTAGTTCGTTGACGACGAGTGTCAATACAACGATTCACATGAGCACAGCACTCGAAGTCTCGAGCCTTATCCGTTAGCTTGCAGAATTTCTTCAAGAGGAAACCGTCAAAGCAGTTACCGGAAATCTGTTGCTTCAGTGTTGCCAATCTCTTAGTCTGTTCACTGAGAATCTTATCACTTGTGGATAAACGAGACACACACCACCAGGTGACAATAGCAATGAAGGGTCATTGGCAGCAGGCGTTGAAGTCTTGGAAGAGGATGCGTCATCATCTGGCATGCGAATGCGCTTGGCTGCCAATTCACCTGTGTCGATAGCAGTGGCGGTGGCAGAACGACGCATGCCAAGGGTATGGCCACGTTGGGGAGTTTCCATAGTTGGGGGAAGAGGCTTTGAGGGAGGTCTCGAAAACCAAGATCGAGGGAGGCAGGTTCCTCCTACACAAAGCACTCATCGTTACGAAGTCATTTGTGTTGACTGACCGGTTTCGTATTGCAGAGAATAATCATCAGAGTGAGATCCAGATCTTTGGCACAGTACAAAAAGCGGTTTAGGCAACTGGGAGAATAAGGAGGTCTTGCGAGCGCAATGCGTCACTCAACCGCTTTTTCTCTCCAATGGCTCGAAGTTCGGCCGAGAGACTGTTCCACAATACGCTTCCCACAAGCTGGATTGACGATCGGCCACAAGGGCCTCTGAGGAAGGGTATTTGCAGGAGATTGAAGGAGTAATCACGAGTTATGCGGCGGTTAGACGGGCATGCAGCATCAGAATAAAGAAATTGTCAAAAAGGGGACTTGTAGCAGACTAGATATAGCGATGGACGAATACTAGTAGTTTTAGCCATTATGTGGACAAGAGGAAGGATGCGTCTATTGATCATACAGTCCGTATAAGCACATTACACATTGCCAAATATGGAATATGTGAGTAATCTATGTGAGTACATATAAGGTCTACAATGCAACACCCTACACAGCCCTACCCGTACCCAGGTGGCGGCTGCGTAGGGCATTGGTGGTACACAAATGGGCTTATTGATTCAAGTTTTGTTTTCAATGCACGGGTGGCTTATACACGTATACCATCAGTAGTAGTGGTCTTTCAGCCATCTCCCATATGGTCTAGTGGTTAGGATTTCTGGTTTTCACCCAGACGGCCCGGGTTCAATTCCCGGTGTGGGAACAGCTTACTTTTTTCTTCTTCTTTGAAGCTATTTTTTTGGGAAAAGAATGCAAAAAGCAAAGGTCGTCCCCGGGTGGGCTTGAACCACCAACCTTTCGGTTAACAGCCGAACGCGCTAACCGATTGCGCCACGGAGACACGTTGTTTTGCAATGCGGCAGTTGTCCTTTTTCCGTTCAATTGTTGGCTATCTTGCAGAGACTCTTCTTCTCACTATCACATGATAACCATGGCTGGCAAAGACGTTGGTAGTGATAGTCAGCAAGCCGACTAGTGCATGTATTGCAAACACTATTTCATTGTGTGTCGTTATAGCGAATCTCCACTGTCCTAATATTTTGTTGCTATGCGTATGTTGTGTGTGTGTGTGTGTGTGTGTGTGTGTGTGTGTGTTTGTGTGTGTGTGTGTGTGTGTGCGCGTGTGTGCGTGTGTGCGTGCGTGCGTGTGCGTGTGTGTATTAGTATTATGCTGATAGCAACGAGGCAGAGTACTGGATGAAGGAGAAGGAGCAACTAGCCAGCAGTGACGACTATGGCCATGATGAAATTAGCGTACAGGTAGGGACCAACCCGGCGTGCGTGCATGTGATCGCTTCGCGACATTGTCGGCCCAGCCAATAATCGACTCGTTGTGTTGGTCTCAGTGGCATTGATTCCGGTTATGCCTTTGTCCTGTGTTGTCTCTTGTTATCCCCCGTTGTCTCTCGCTGTCTCTTGTTGTCTTCCGTTGTCTTCCGCTGTCTCTCGTTATCCCCCGTTGTCTCTTGTTGTCTCTCGTTATCCCCCGTTGTCTCTTGTTGTCTCTTGTTATCCCCCGTTGTCTTCTGTTGTCTTCCGTTGTTTTCCGTTGTCTCATGTTGTCTTCCGTTGTCTCATGTTGTCTTCCGTTGTCTCATGTTGTCTGTTGTTGTCTGTTGTTGTCTCCCGTTGTCTTCCTTTGTCTCCCGTTGTCTTCTGTTGTCTCATGTTGTCTTCCGTTCTCATGTTGTCTCCCGTTCTCATGTTGTCTCATGTTGTCTTCCGTTGTCTGTTGTTGTCTCATGTTGTCTGTTGTTGTCTGTTGTTGTCTGTTGTTATCTGTTGTTGTCTCCCGTTGTCTTCTGCTTCTGTCTTCTCCATTGTTTTCTCCTCTTTCCTCTTGTTGCCTTGCGTTTTCTCTCCTACCTAGTCTCTGCTGCATGGACACGAGCGTCTGGAGGAAGCTGTCAAAGTGTATGCAACCGAGATCACCCGACTCAAGGAGCACAGTCGCAAGCTTGTCAGCAATTTGGTTGCGTCAGAGGTTGTAAGTCGGTCACTAAGTCCCCCCCCCCCCCATCCCTCCCCTGGTGATTGGCTTGCTGTTTTGGCTCACTCTGCGTGAATATTACTGTAAGACATATTTTTAACTTGAATTAAAGTTAGTGATCTCCGGGTTTTTGTGGGTTAGCAAGGTGAACTTCTAACGGATTCTGTCTCAAAACCGGCAAACGACTGTACATGTACATATCGTTTCGCGCATAACGACTGTGTTTGTGGGTGGGTGTGCATGACCGTGTATGTGTGCACACATGCTTGCGTTTGCTAACGCACATGTGCGTTTGTGTCCGTTTTATCCAGGATGGTCCTGGCCAGTCTCTTCTCCAGTCTCCCAGTGCTGAAGGCCCTGCTGAGATGGTGGATGTTGAAGTGGAGTACGAGGAAGACGAGACAGTCACGGAGGATGTGGAGGTGGAGACGGTCGAGGAGCTGTCCATACCGCAGGTTCAGGCAATGTACAAGTACGAAGGCAAGAACTACAGCGCTGCCAAGGGAGAGGTGAGTGTGCGCATACAGACATGCGTATGCATGTTTGTGTGTATGCCCTTATGTGTGCATAAGAATGCAAGCAAGCACATCTGCGCATGCGTGTGTGTGTGTGTGTGTGTGTGTGTGTGTGCATGGTGTCGAGTTCACATCTCGCGATAAAGCTATTTTGTTGAGGATTTGATAATTTGTATACGGACAGAGCATAGTATGTGCTGGGTAGCGTGGCCGAGTGGTCTAAGGCGCTGGATTAAGGCTCCAGTCTCTCCGGAGGCGTGGGTTCGAATCCCACCGCTGCCAGAATTTCTTTTTTTTTTAGTCTGTAAATGTCCCGCCTCCCTCTGCAGGGTTTGTGTTGTTTTCCCCGGCAAAGGAATGTCCTTCATTGGTCTACTGTACATTGGTCTACTGTACATTGGTCTACTGTACATTGGTCTACTGTACATTGGTCTACTGTACATTGGTCTACTGTACATTGGTCTACTGTACATTGGTCTACTGTACATTGGTCTACTGTACATTGGTCTACTGTACATTGGTCTACTGTACATTGGTCTACTGTACATTGGTCTACTGTACATTGGTCTACTGTACATTGGTCTACTGTACATTGGTCTACTGTACATTGGTCTACTGTACATTGGTCTACTGTACATTGGTCTACTGTACATTGGTCTACTGTACATTGGTCTACTGTACATTGGTCTACTGTACATTGGTCTACTGTACATTGGTCTACTGTACATTGGTCTACTGTACATTGGTCTACTGTACATTGGTCTACTGTACATTGGTCTACTGTACATTGGTCTACTGTACATTGGTCTACTGTACATTGGTCTACTGTACATTGGTCTACTGTACATTGGTCTACTGTACATTGGTCTACTGTACATTGGTCTACTGTACATTGGTCTACTGTACATTGGTCTACTGTACATTGGTCTACTGTACATTGGTCTACTGTACAGTGGTCTACTGTACATTGGTCTACTGTACATTGGTCTACTGTACATTGGTCTACTGTACATTGGTCTACTGTACATTGGTCTACTGTACATTGGTCTACTGTACATTGGTCTACTGTACATTGGTCTACTGTACATTGGTCTACTGTACATTGGTCTACTGTACATTGGTCTACTGTACATTGGTCTACTGTACATTGGTCTACTGTACATTGGTCTACTGTACATTGGTCTACTGTACATTGGTCTACTGTACATTGGTCTACTGTACATTGGTCTACTGTACATTGGTCTACTGTACATTGGTCTACTGTACATTGGTCTACTGTACATTGGTCTACTGTACATTGGTCTACTGTACATTGGTCTACTGTACATTGGTCTACTGTACATTGGTCTACTGTACATTGGTCTACTGTACATTGGTCTACTGTACATTGGTCTACTGTACATTGGTCTACTGTACATTGGTCTACTGTACATTGGTCTACTGTACATTGGTCTACTGTACATTGGTCTACTGTACATTGGTCTACTGTACATTGGTCTACTGTACATTGGTCTACTGTACATTGGTCTACTGTACATTGGTCTACTGTACATTGGTCTACTGTACATTGGTCTACTGTACATTGGTCTACTGTACATTGGTCTACTGTACATTGGTCTACTGTACATTGGTCTACTGTACATTGGTCTACTGTACATTGGTCTACTGTACATTGGTCTACTGTACATTGGTCTACTGTACATTGGTCTACTGTACATTGGTCTACTGTACATTGGTCTACTGTACATTGGTCTACTGTACATTGGTCTACTGTACATTGGTCTACTGTACATTGGTCTACTGTACATTGGTCTACTGTACATTGGTCTACTGTACATTGGTCTACTGTACATTGGTCTACTGTACATTGGTCTACTGTACATTGGTCTACTGTACATTGGTCTACTGTACATTGGTCTACTGTACATTGGTCTACTGTACATTGGTCTACTGTACATTGGTCTACTGTACATTGGTCTACTGTACATTGGTCTACTGTACATTGGTCTACTGTACATTGGTCTACTGTACATTGGTCTACTGTACATTGGTCTACTGTACATTGGTCTACTGTACATTGGTCTACTGTACATTGGTCTACTGTACATTGGTCTACTGTACATTGGTCTACTGTACATTGGTCTACTGTACATTGGTCTACTGTACATTGGTCTACTGTACATTGGTCTACTGTACATTGGTCTACTGTACATTGGTCTACTGTACATTGGTCTACTGTACATTGGTCTACTGTACATTGGTCTACTGTACATTGGTCTACTGTACATTCAGGGCTCACAGCATCACACAAAAGCGTGGGCGCCATTTTGGACAGGCCGCTGTCACACGAGCCAGCCAGCATGCCAGAATCGTGTACATGCGATCAGGCAGATATCTCTGAAAACTTGAAAGTGGGGTGCATTCAAAATGTTCATTTGTACCAATGCTTTTGCCTAGGCCTCTGAAACTCTAGGAACATACTCTCAATACCCATTGTAAGGATTTGTCCGAGAGTTTTTTGTTTTAATCGATACGGTTTGGCGTACAGATGGAGCCAAAGTATCAGTTGGTGCGGGCGTAATTCTGATTTGGATTATTGTACTAAAATTGAAAAGTCTCTCGGAGAAGTTCTTCTAATTTTCCTACTGAAAATTTTAAGCTATTGGCCATCAAAATCGGGCCAGAGACGGGTACAAACGAACATTTCAAAGGCAACCCTATCTGCAGTGCAGCCGCGAGGAAGAACCGCGCGCGCTCCATTTGTTGTGAATGCGGAAACAACACTAGCAGCAAAGCAATTTTTTGAAATGTTTTTGCTACTCGCCTGGCGCTTCATCGCTGTGTCCTCCAGGAGTTATCATGGTTATGGCAGACCGAAGAAATGCATGGCCCGCACAACGGCGAAGCCATTGGACTTGTTCTCTTGCAACGAAACGGAGTGGCGAATCAAATAATTCACAACTCCACATCGTCACCACTGCGCTACACGGCTCTTCGCAGACCAGCCGTGTATTTACGTTTACACAACAGGACTTCACGGCGGAGAAACTAAAACTAGAACACGATGTGAGTCATTGCTCCATGCCGTCAAGGAATGCTAGTCCTTTCCCTCTCCCGTCACCCGCGCCTGTGCATCAGCGGCGTAGCTGTCCGGCTGTAGATGTTGAACTCTTTCGTCAACGACTGCAGGATTCTGCTCGGGGCTACTTTTCGCAGGACTCCGTGTGCGGACAGTCTGAATGAAGCCTTCGGCCGACAAGGCCAACACTGCTCGCGAAATAATCCACTTGGAAGGAAACAAGAACTACCGAAATGAAATAGAGATAGTGAGACAGTCTCCGGCCATCTCCTTCACCATTCACGACTCAGTCCTTGTCACAGCAACTGAGCCCAAGCAAGTCAAAATCTCCTTGCGCGACTGCGTTCTACGCCTGCGCTTAGCGGTCACGCGAGTTCGTTTCTATGGTGATCAGATCCAAGATGTCCTCCCACGTAATCGAGGTTTTGGCATGGTTGCTGTGAGCCCTGACATTGGTCTACTGTACATTGGTCTACTGTACATTGGTCTACTGTACATTGGTCTACTGTGCATTGGTCTACTGTGCATTGGTCTACTGTGCATTGGTCTACTGTGCATTGGTCTACTGTGCATTGGTCTACTGTGCATTGGTCTACTGTGCATTGGTCTACTGTACATTGGTCTACTGTACATTGGTCTACTGTACATTGGTCTACTGTACATTGGTCTACTGTACATTGGTCTACTGTACATTGGTCTACTGTACATTGGTCTACTGTACATTGGTCTACTGTACATTGGTCTACTGTACATTGGTCTACTGTACATTGGTCTACTGTACATTGGTCTACTGTACATTGGTCTACTGTACATTGGTCTACTGTACATTGGTCTACTGTACATTGGTCTACTGTACATTGGCCTACTGTACATTGGTCTACTGTACATTGGTCTACTGTACATTGGTCTACTGTACATTGGTCTACTGTACATTGGTCTACTGTACATTGGTCTACTGTACATTGGTCTACTGTACATTGGTCTACTGTACATTGGTCTACTGTACATTGGTCTACTGTACATTGGTCTACTGTACATTGGTCTACTGTACATTGGTCTACTGTACATTGGTCTACTGTACATTGGTCTACTGTACATTGGTCTACTGTACATTGGTCTACTGTACATTGGTCTACTGTACATTGGTCTACTGTACATTGGTCTACTGTACATTGGTCTACTGTACATTGGCCTACTGTACATTGGTCTACTGTACATTGGTCTACTGTACATTGGTCTACTGTACATTGGTCTACTGTACATTGGTCTACTGTACATTGGTCTACTGTACATTGGTCTACTGTACATTGGTCTACTGTACATTGGTCTACTGTACATTGGTCTACTGTACATTGGTCTACTGTACATTGGTCTACTGTACATTGGTCTACTGTACATTGGTCTACTGTACATTGGTCTACTGTACATTGGTCTACTGTACATTGGTCTACTGTACATTGGTCTACTGTACATTGGTCTACTGTACATTGGTCTACTGTACATTGGTCTACTGTACATTGGTCTACTGTACATTGGTCTACTGTACATTGGTCTACTGTACATTGGTCTACTGTACATTGGTCTACTGTACATTGGTCTACTGTACATTGGTCTACTGTACATTGGTCTACTGTACATTGGTCTACTGTACATTGGTCTACTGTACATTGGTCTACTGTACATTGGTCTACTGTACATTGGTCTACTGTACATTGGTCTACTGTACATTGGTCTACTGTACATTGGTCTACTGTGCATGCACAGTAGACACTGTTTTTATTGCACATATCAGGAGCGAGACCTACACGGTCCTAACTACACACAAGTACTGATATGAAAAATACTTCGGAGTGGGCAGCTCCCGCAGTGGTGTCTGGGCTGAATTTCAGGGTTGGGGGGGGGGGGGGGGGGTTGATGTAATCATAGTGCTGTGTAATGTGCGTACGAGCAGTTCTGCTCCTGTCCTTGGTGGTGCGGTGCTTTACTGACAAACATTATAAACGCTATATCTGCTGCCGTAAACCTGCTTTCCTTTTCTCTCCGGTGTAAATGCTAATGATAATGTTGTCAGGTGCTTGTGCTTGTGAGCAAAGCTAACAAGGATTGGTGGAGTGTACGTAATGGGAAGGGCAAGGAAGGCTTCGTTCCGGCCAACTACGTCCGCGACACCGCACCACAGGTTGTCAAGAAGCCAGTTAAGAAAGTCGAGAAGGTCACGAAGACGGTGAAGGTGAGAAACAACACTCGGGTGCAATACAATGATTGATCATAACATTCAGAAAATCTTCCAGTCTTGTTCTTTTCTAACTCGGTTCAGACCGAATGAGCTCAAAATCGGATTATAACATCAATTTGACCCAAGATAGGTTTTGAGCCTGGAAATCGGTCCGTGGATGCATGTTTTGAGCCTGACCAAATACTTAGCTCTTTTCTTTTGTGTAGTGTCATCATGCGTGTTACTGGCACTCTCTATACACGTCTACCCTTGTTTGACGAACCCGGGGGTTTCAATTTTTTGTCTTATAGAGAGTATTATCGACTATCCAGACTTGAATGTACGCATGTCAGGTGTCAGGAGATTTCTGATCGTTGTCTACGAATGAGGTTTGTCTTACAGCCGATGTCGTGCTAACAAGGGTACACCTGTATTGCGTGTGTGTGTGTGTGTGTGTGTGTGTGTGCGCGTGTGTGTGTGTGGGGGGGGGGGGGGTGCGCACGTGTGCGTGTGTGCGTGCGTGTGCGCGCGCGCGCGCGTGTGTGTGTGGCACACACAGGTCAAGAAGAAGCGTATGGAGAAGCAGAAAGCACCATCGTCATCGTCTCGCAAGACTTCCTTCCCCGGTACCAGTACCTCAACTTCTAGTTTGGCGACTGGCTCGCGTCGCAGCGGTGGTCTCTCTACGTTTTCCAGCGCTGCCAATGTTGTCTCGGGTGCAAGACGGATTGGTGCTTCGCCACGGCGACCTGCCACGCTGTGTAAGTGGGATGGGTATGTGTGTGTGTGTGTGTGTGTGTGTGTGTGTGTGTGTGTGTGTGCGTGCGTGCATGCGTGTGTGTCCCATATGGTGCAGTGGTATGTGCAGTCGATTTCCAATCGAGAGGTTGCGGGTTCAATTCCCGACGATTATGGTCGCACACGTCTTTCTTCTCTTTCTCGGACTCTTCCTGACTTTTCTTTCATTCTCCTGGGTGGTTACCAACAGCCAGTGTATGCCGGAGTATGTGGTGTGGTGTGTGTGCGTAAAAAAAATGAAAAATGAAAAATAGGGATTCACTGGCCAGAAAAAGTCACTTCAAACAGCTGTGTGGTGGATACCAGGCTAAAAATAGTGGCGGTCATTTCATCAGCCTTGCAAGCTGTTGAATGGTGTAATCCCAGCACAAGTTGCTATGTCTAACATAGCTGTTCGCTATCATCGCTTCCGTGATGGGCATGTCTGAGGTCTGAGGTGCATGCGTGCGTGCATGCGTGCGTGCATGCATGCGTGCGTACGTGCGTGCGCGTGCGTTTGTTTGCACTTGTGCGTGTGCTGTGCATGTGTATGTATGAGTGAGTAAGTGAGTGTGGGTTTGCGGGAAAACACGTGAGAGCAATGTATTTCAGCTGAGATGATGATTGACTTTAGGTTATTCAGGTAACAGTTACTAGTACTCTATTTCATCATATTACGTGTTTGTGTTTGTGTGTGCTCGCGCGCACGCGAATGTGTGTGTGTGTGCATATGTATGTGTGTGTACATGGATGTATATGTCTATATAAATGTGTGCGTTCGTGTGTGTACGTATGTGTACGCGTGTGTAAGTGTACATGTATGTTTGTACACGTGTATGTGTGTGTACGTAAACGCGTGTACATGTATGTTCCATTATGTCTGTCTGAACTGATCAGTGGGTAAGGGAGACTCCCGGTATGACAGCCATGCCATCACCAGTCGACAGCAGGCAATCAACGCTACATTTGATCGTCTTGTTCAGCAGATTGAGGTGAGAGACATGATGGTAGAGTTAACCAGGTGTCAGGTGTCCCCATTACCATTCTGTATTAGTATGGTGGCCTGACAGAAGTGAAACTTCCTAAGCTGCTTGTGTTTCTCAACTTTTTGTATAGTGGTGGTAATGCAGATATGGGAACTTTTCTTTTACTGCGCCGATCGATTTCATGGATACAACTGCCGCACTTGGACTGACCCCCATTGTTTTCAGCTAGGTGAAACACCCACCCACACATGCACACACGACATCTCACTTAGCCTCCAACTCTGAGTGGCTTCAGTGATATGTACGCCTGCGCCTGTTGCCTGAATGGTTTTAATGACCACTCGTAACGGTCAAGTGCCCTTGTTTGTGTGTGTGTGTGTGTGTGTGTGTGTGCGCGTGCGTGCGTGTGCGTGTATGCGTGCTCGCGTGCGTGCTTGTATGTGCACGCTGTGTTTGTGTTGATACTGTATGATAGGTACGTCGCAAAGCACTAGAAGATGCACTGCGTCTGTTCTCCCTGTACCGTGAGTGTGACGATGTGGAGAGCTGGATGAAAGACAAGGTAGGGTACATTTCTGTACTGCTAGTACCTGTTGTAAAGTTGACAGTAGCTCATGGTCAATCTGACCGTAGGGGCAAGAAGTATTGGAGACCTCCTGTTTCACAGAGCTCCGTATGGTGAGGGTGGTGCTCATCTACTCTTGTGTGTGTGTGTGTGTGTGTGTGTGTGTGTATGTGTGTATGTGTGTGTGTGTGTGTGTGTGTGTGTGTGTGTGTGTGTGTGTATGTGTGTGTGTGTGTGTGTGTGTGTGTGTGTGTGTGTGTGTGTGTGGTGCACTTGTGCCGCGTTCTATCGGAGACCCGTGAGAAGTTCCGGTCACACACTGCGCAATGCACAGACTTGGGCATGGTGGAGCTCGACTGAGGGGCAACCCGTACTTCCCTCCACTGTTGGCACCAGAGGGATTCCTAGATCCTGCGGAGACTCAGCTCATCAGGAAGACGGTGGGTTTACAGCCACTCAGAGACGGCTTCCCATCCAGCTCCAGCGTGGATCAGTGCAATGCCAGAACTGCCAGAGGTGGTTCCGCAGCAAGGGTGGCTACTCTGTTCATCGATGCCAGCCTGTCACGAGTTCTCCTACACCAACAGTCAGTCTGTCTGTGCCACTTTCAGCTTGTTGCCAGCAGCACTGCCCAACATGTCAGCGATGCTTCCGTTCTGCGGCCGGGTTCAAGCGTCACAACTGCAATCGTGGTGCGAGACCATCTGCTGCTGAGAGAGCAGCTCTGCCCCTCAGCTGCCCACATTGTAAACGCAATTTCCGCCGGCAGCAGGACCTAGCCAGACATTCGCGGTCCTGCTTGTGATCCGTGTCCCGTTTTCTGGTCCCCTTTCCATAGGGGTGACACTTGCCTATCTGGGCAGTCATGCTGCTAGTAGTAGTAGTAGTAGTAGTAGTAGTAGTGTGTGTGTGTGTGTGTGTGTGTGTGTGTGTGTGAGGGGGGGGGGGGGTTACGTGCGTGCGTGTTGGGTCGTTAGTGTATGTGTATGCGTGTTCATACGTTTGTGTTTGTGTGCATGTGTTGTAACTCGCTTTTCTCTACCTGCTCCCAGTCCCGTGCCATCTCCACACTTATACAAAGGGACGACGATAACTACATTTAGAAGACTGTTTATTGACACGACGACGAAACACAACTAGACATGACGAACTCAAGACGAAGACATGATGAACTCAAGACGAAGACAGCTTTTCATACCACAGCAACACGCGCATGCACCAACATGACGTACACACGACGTACACAAAATAACGTACTACAACATAACTCCCTCCCAAGAGTAGAATCGTCCTCGATTCTAATAATAAAACAGAGTAAAAAAGAGGAAAAGATCACACAAATCACTCAATCATACCACACCAGTCACACCCATAAATAAAACACCTCTGCCTGCACTGCAGATTATTAAAAAACTCTGTCCGCCCACCCAGAACACCAGCCACGATCGCTGTCACACGTGTGGGAACTGATAACCTGAAAAACTCAAACTAACTAACGTGTTACTTCACTCAACACACCACCTCACGATCACGCAAAAATTCTAAAATGTGAGAGCACAAATCATAAGAATAACAAAAAGAACAAAATCCACTGGCTCTGTGGGGGCCTCTAGTTATCCTCATAGAAGAGCAAATAAAAAAACAAACAGAACACACGCGCTGTGCGGGCGCCTCTTTACCCTCGAGGAGAGCAAATAATAAAGAACAAAATGTTGGGAGAACAGAAAATACAAAACTCATATACTCCTCACGTTCACAACAACACACGTACCCTCTCACTAACGAAACTCCTCCGCGGCGCCGTCTGCCATGTCGTCCACCATCTCCAGGAGCGCTGCTCAGCGTTGACATCCTCACTTCTGCAGCCTCTTCTTCTTCTCTTCACCTTCCATCCTTCTTTTTTTCTTTTCTTTTTCAGGTTTTCTTCTGGGCACAGTTTTACGTCGTGTCCGGGACCATCCGTCCTTCTTTTTTTTTTTTTTTTTTGCTTTTCTTCTGGGCACAGTTTTACGTCGTGTCCGGGACCACCAGTGACGACGACTGACAAGAGACGAATGATGAAGGACGATGACGACGGACGAACTTCTTGAAGACGGACGGAACTGTGACGATAGGACGACTGGAGATGACATCGGAAACTGGGAGCGAAGGCCACGCAGGACGAATCCAGAAGTTGAAGATTTACAAATTTCCATTACCGCTGCCACCAATGTTGTAACTCGCTTTTCTCTACCTGCTCCCAGTCCCGTGCCATCTCCACACTTATACAAAGGGACGACGATAACTACATTTAGAAGACTGTTTATTGACACGACGACGAAACACAACTAGACATGACGAACTCAAGACGAAGACATGATGAACTCAAGACGAAGACAGCTTTTCATACCACAGCAACACGCGCATGCACCAACATGACGTACACACGACGTACACAAAATAACGTACTACAACACATGTTCATGAAGTTCCAGTAGGTTAGTTCTCTTTACAATATTGGCACACTTTGCGGGAGTCTGATGGGATATCGGCCTTTGGTCTCCGGTTGGTGGATCTGATCTATCCTTTTCCACCGTTTATTAGCCGCATCTGACGCCTGATCATGGGGTGGTGGCGTCGTACTGAAGCGGAAAGGTGGTTCTGACCCGCCCTGTGCAAGAACCCGTGCAATTTGTTTGCGGTAGTAGCACTCACATCACCACTGAAACTAATATGTCTGTATATTGTGCCACCTTTCGTGCTGTGTGTGTGTGTGTGTGTGTGTGTGTGTGTGTGTGTGTGTGTGTAACAGGAGATTGTGTTTCAGAATGAAGAAGGATCGGAGGGTGGTGAGCACGTCGAAGCCATGAAAAAGACGTTTGATGTAAGTGTGAAATGTGTGTGTGTGTGTGTGTGTGTGTGTGTGTGTGTGTGTGTGTGTGTGTGTGTGTGTGTTTGCATGTGTGCCAGCTAGTTCAGTTGGTGGGTACACTTATGCCAGATAGTGTTGGGTCTGTTGCCAACGGGCTCGGCTGCTTGAAGGTGTAATATTGTACCTGCCACCTTTGTTGGTTCCAGGGTTCATATACTTTCTATTTGAAGTATACATACCTGTTAACCATGGACTGCTTCTGGCTAGATTAACTCTGGTGTAATCAATGGTGCTTGTGAAGCTTATATCAGATCCACTCTGATTTGGCCACCCACACTAGTAGCAATTATTACCTTCACTGGGGGCAGGGGTAACTGCAGTTGGATCCCTGGACGGATACCCTGATGCCGTCAATCCTTTTTCTGCACCTTGTCCTCACCCACTTACTGAGGTGTGGTGAGCCCATAAGTGGGATCATTTTCAAGTCCACCCAGAGTTTTGGGAATTTCAGGGGGTGTCGGCCGTTGGGCGGTTCGATAGCCAATTGAGCCATCTTTCCAAGATTCCTTTTGAGTCTCTCTCCCCCTCTCCCGGGGAGACCCGCGTGACCAGTTTTGGCAGTGAGCAACAAGTACAAGTAGTGTGTGTGTGTGTGTGTGCGTGTGCGTGTGCGTGTGCGTGTGCGTGTGTGCGTGCATGCATGCGTGCGTGTGTGTGTGCACATGCATGTGTGTGTGTGTGTGTGTGTGTGTGTGTATGTGTGTGTGCGTGTGTGTGTGTGTGTATGTGTGTGTGCGTGTGTGTGTGTGTGTGTGTGTGTGTGTGTGTGTGTGTGTGTGTATGTGTGTGTGTGTGTGTGTGTGTGTATGTGTGTGTGCGTTCGTGTGTGTGCGTACTTGTGTACCTGGTCGTACTACTATGTGGGCATGCATGCTCCCTTTGCGTGTTTTTTGTTGTTGTTGTTGTATTCATGTGTGTGCGTGTATGCATGTGCACCCTCCCGTGTGTCGTACATGTGCCACATATGGGAATGTCAATGTACGTATATGTGTGTGTGTGTGTCCAGAACTTTGTGATTGAGCTGGCGGCACACAGTGTTCGCGTCATGGACATCAACAACCTGGCCGACCAGTTTGTACGTGCTGGCCACACACAGTCCAGAGCTATCCGACGTCGACAGCAGCAACTCAATGACAGGTCAGCAGTGTGATGTACAGACAGCCTTGCGAATAACGAGTCTTATTAACGACCTTCGATCGTGCATGAGAAATGTGTAGTTTTTCGCGAGTTGTTATTTGTCAGGTTGAAAGTATGCTGTCAATCAGTCACTGGGTCTGAAGATTGTTCCGTTGTTTACGGGTTGTTGTGATACTTACCTGAGGTCGTTTTTTGTGAGGTTGACTGTATTTAAATGCAAAGAGTTCTGTAAAACTCACACCTTGGGTCTGGGGAGTTGTGTAGTCCTTGTGTCAGCCTCAAGTCTTCTATCTCAACTTGTTTTGGCAATTGGTTGTGTTAGCTATCTTTGCAGAGTTTTTCTTTGTAGTTTATTGAGGCAATTTGCCACGTGATGAGGTGCCAGGATGCTGTCGTGGTGATCGTGGGTATCTCCCTACCAGTAGTTGATTGCTGGAGTTCCGCAATCTTGTGGTGTGCGTTCTCATTATCTGCTTGTGTGTGTGTGTGTGTGTGCGTGCGTGCGTGCGTGCGTGTGTCCGTGTGTAGGTGGGAGGCATTGCAGCGTCTGAAGGCGTCCAGAGAACAAGTGATTGAGGTCGCTCAAAGGTAAGCAGACATTACTGTTATGCACGGAGTAGGCATCAGCATCACTCAACTTGTCTCCGTGGCGCAATCGGTTAGCGCGTTCGGCTGTTAACCGAAAGGTTGGTGGTTCAAGCCCACCCGGGGACGGTCTGCCTTTTTGCATTCTTTTACAAAAATTAGCCTCAAAGAAGAAGAAAAAAAGTAAGCTGTTCCCACACCGGGAATTGAACCCGGGCCGTCTGGGTGAAAACCAGAAATCCTAACCACTAGACCATATGGGAGATGGCTGGTAGGCAGGTCCTGTCGATGGCATAGGTACATTGGGAGGTTTGAGAGAGGCAGCCAAGTCGGCAAGCAGGATTCCGGTAGGTCATGTAGCGGCGGATCCAGAGTTCAGCTGAGGGGAGGGCGCGGGTAATATTCATGACACGGAACCCATGCGATACATGTATTTTGCACACATTACGACATAGCGGCTATTTTACGTCATAGGCTTAGCGGTTATGTAGAATTACTATTATTTTTAGCACATGCACTCACTAGTGCACTCGCACTTGTTCAACCACTTCATTGAGGACTCTGGCTGGGCTGTAGTAGAACATAGCCGTACTACATTGAATTGTGTAAAGATAGTGCTTCAAAGCTCAAGACATGCTGAGATCGAGAACAATAATGGCAAAATAATAAAAATATACGATTACTTGGATGGCCATGTCCAGCAGTAAGAATGGAGTGGAAATACATTAGCAAGAAAACAATCGTAGTGTGAGCATTGGGTTCGGTTTCAGCATTTATATACACAAGCATATGTCTACAGCAAATAGGGAGGTTTCGCTCTACGGAATTACGTATGAAAATAACGTAGGAACTGCACGGAATTTTCATACGTAAAAATCAGAGCTGTTGGGTTTCGCTCTACGTGATTTCTTCACGACTGCTAAACATGCATTGTTGCTTTGGAGACGGGTGGCTGCATGCGCCCAACCCATGCACCATGAACAGAAACCGCATTTTCCATTATATTTTGCACGTGGTGTACGGTGTGTGTACCTTGTGTTTCGCGCGGCTTGAACGTTGCCATGGACAAATGCAGCAAATGCGAAAAAATATTTCAAAAAGTCCTACGGAGGACCCAACGTAGGAAACAGTTTTCCTACGGAAATCCGTAGAGAGATTTACGTATGAAAGTCGCCCTCGCTCCCCGGCGCGTACGACATACGGATTTTCATACGTAATTACGTAGAGCGAAACCTCCCCAATATTGGCATGTAACGTGTTATGTACAATCATGTGACACAAGTCAGAATGAACGAACAGCCAATCAAGCAACTTCCGGTGCAGTCGGGTCTGACAACAGGAAACGACGGGGTTTAACGTTTGGCTTTAGCGAACCTGTCCAGCACCCGCTCATGGTCGATCGGAATGGCCTTGTGAACATTCTGGTTCCCAAGCATGTTTCGCTTTTCTGCATCGCTCAGAGTTGCACCGCCAATAGCTGCATCAACAGCATCCGAGTAACTTTGCTGCGTAGCAGTGCCACCAGCCACATTAGTGACAGTCACAACGTCGTCATCTGCGATAGTTTCAACAGGTAAACGCTCCTGACTCGCATCACTACTACTGACAGTCCCACCATCGTCGTCAGAATCTACTTCAGATTCCATTTGGGGAAGATCAGAGTCTGAGCAGACGTCGATCTCAGGATCTTCGCGGTGGTCCGAATTCTCCTCCAAAGACGGATCGCTCGACTGAGCAGCTGACGAAGCGTAAGTTCGCTTCGCGAAAACTCCGTGGAGAGTTTGTTGGCTCCGTAGCCGCTTGGGCTGGCGGTGCACCATCCCCTTCACCGACTTAGCTATACAAGTTCGTCAACTGAACACTAATTTCAAAACTAAAAGTCAACCAAAGTCTAAGAGAACAACTACTCCGTGTTCAGAAGAACTTTCTTATCTGACACTAGAAACTACTTGTCACAGCATGTGCAAACACTTGCGCAACTGCCCATGTGCATGCACTAAAAAATCGAAATGTTTGAGGGGAGGGCGCGCGCCCACCGCGCCCTCCCCTAGATCCGCCACTGTCATGGTGTGGAGTGCGTCCTTGAATTCAGATCAACAGGTGCATAGCTCTTTATATGATTTAGACTGCATACTGGACTCCCGACTGTCTATAGTGACCTGATTGCCTACTGAGTCCATGTGGTCAGTGTAGTCTGGTCATCACACCAGGACATGGCCGTCGTCACGGGTACTACATAGTCAACATAGGTAAAGCGATGGCCATGAGGTTGCCAGTGGTTGTACACGGTCAGCACAGCACACCACTGATGTGCGAGCTATGTCCCTTGAACTTGTTGCATGCATACATGTGGACACCAAACCTGCCAGAGCATTACATTTAGACCTGGTTCTTTAGAACTCTAAACATAAACAAGGTGATATGTTGCGACTTCCTCCATACTTATAGAAGTAGGTGTCTGCTCCGAACGTTGAAGCTTGTGCTTCTGTGCCGACGGACCGGCACTTGACTGACTCACGGCTGCCATTCGGAGCACACGAGAAGTACAACAAAACAGCATGCTAATCTGCTGAATATCAGACCTGGCTGGAAGGTGCTAGGACCGTCAAAGAGCAGAATGCAGGAGCAGACGTGTAGCATAATATTATGATGACGAGTTGGGTGGTGGTGTGATCATGCACGCGTGGTATGTACAGGAGATGCGGAAATTATGGGTTTGGGGCAGCGTGTCCAACATATGTGCAGCTGTGACTGGACGCTATCTATGCCATGAACATATGCTACACATCAGCCACCTCCCATATGGTCTAGTGGTTAGGATTTCTGGTTTTCACCCAGACGGCCCGGGTTCAATTCCCGGAGTGGGAACTGCCTACTTTTTTCTTCTTAAGGCAATTTTTTGGAAAAGAATGCAAAAATTATTGGTCGTCCCCGGGTGGGCTTGAACCACCAACCTTTCGGTTAACAGCCGAACGCGCTAACCGATTGCGCCACGGAGACAGACATACAGATGTTGACGAAACCCCCAGTCAAGTTCCTTTTTCTTTGGTAGAGCTTTGTAGCCTTAGCCGGTATGGGGTGGGGAGCAGCAGTGTTTGAGTTGTGGTGGTTGGTCTGGGGTGCACTCCTCACGTCAGTCATGGGATCGAACAGCCAGAGCAGTTGGGCTCTCCACCAAGCACGTCACGGGGCTTGTCCTGGTACAGACTTGTCCCCACACGGATCAGTTTTGATATATGGTGCATGGTATGTGATACGTTGGATCTTCTCCGCGTACGAACCCCACTTGTCCTTATATGGTGCCACAGTAGTCTGACATCCATCTGGTGAACTGGTGATGATTAGTGTTTGGTTTGACTTTCTGGTCCAGCTTGCTGTTGGCACAGCATGCAAGCAGTATAGGTCTGTGCGCCACGTTTCTCACGAATCCAACATCTCCTTTCTGTGTCCTTGCATGAAAACACGAGGATCTGTGCATACAGTAAAAACCTGTAACTAAAGACCACCGTGACTAGCGACCAGCCTGGTACTACAGTAAAACCTGTAACTAAAGACCACCGTGACTAGCGACCAGCCTGGTACTACGGTAAAACCTGTAACTAAAGACCACCGTGACTAGCGACCAGCCTGGTACTACAGACCACTTTGCTAGGCACGGACGGTCTCACATTCATATATGGTTGTGCGGTGCAAACCTCTAACAAAGGACCACCTGCCACTAAAGACCGCTTTTTCTGGCCCCAAGGGGTGGTCGTTAGTCACAGGGTTTACTATATGAGCCCCGGCCAGCGAAAACCAGCACTTGTGTACTTGATATCAATCATCAAAATGTGACGTCAAAGTTTGGGACGCGCAGTGAGCTGGCTTTTGAAGATTCTTTTTCGATCGAGTGGGTGTCTTTGTTGTCAAAGGAGTTTCAAATTTCTTCAAATGTCTCTGGTCAATTGATTTTAGCGCTAGGTGAGAGCTCGTCACACGGAGGTTTAGTTTAGACACAGCGATGGCGACAGGTGTCGCGACAAAGGCTTAGGTCCAGAGTTGTCAGCGTGAGACTCCCTGTACGAAGCGGCGCTGAAAGTTAGTTCGCGATCGGAAATATTTCTTTGGTGGCGATCTCGCTGAGTTTGTCCAGCAGTGGCGAGTCTCATATGCATAGCAATGAAGAGCCCTCATAAAAATCGACACTGGATACTGGTGGCGACGATAGTCAGTGCTGGAGTAATAGCGACTGCGAGGAGAAGCTGAATGTCGACCCGCTGAGCGATCCGTATTTCTACATCGACAACAATGATGTTGCAGACACTGATGGAGGGCTTCTCACGGCGCAAAACAGAGCGTAGTATTATCAGTACTCTACCTTGCCAGACGACGCCAAGCTGGCTGCTGCCTGTGCTGAGAAAGGGGATCCCTAAAATCTCAAACCGGCTGAACGCTTTGGGGCAACATCTTCACGTGCTACAAAACGCGAGTATTCGCTCATATCATTGAAATACAATTATGCTGAAATCATGGTCTGAGTGAAAGTGTGCAAGAGAGTGGATGTCTCTGGTATTGGTGAGTACATCTATCAGTATGGCAAGCTTTGGGACAACACTCAAACTGCCAGCACAGAGGTCCCTGAACACAATTTGGAAGGCCAGCCACCAATCATCGTTATGCACTCTGGTGTTGTAAAGAAGGTAGTGATGTATACGGAATATCGTCACACTTCTGAACTACTCATGCCTGCAGCACCAAGAGGGCAAGCCTGACTTGCATTCTGTTTACTTACATGTACCTGTTCCACATCACAATCAGAAACTGTAGGATCAACTTACTTGCATGGAGTCACTAGGCATGGATGCGGCGCCAACTGTACTGAATCTTGACCTGTGTGACTTCAAACTCTATTTTCCATGCTTTCGCTTATCAGATTGCCACTAAACTTGATAACTTGAATGATTAATAGTGTAGAAACAATTTCGAGGGAAAAAATAATTTTTGAAAAAATTACACATGTTCAGGTTTCTGCTGGCTGGGGCTCATATTTAGCTTGCATAGGCATGTGCACTGTCGCAGATCTGCCCTTGGTTTTGGCAGCTTCTGGGGGTGGATTGCATGCGCGAAGTCCACATGTTGAAATGAGCACGCATGCACACACTTCACCATTTTGTAAAAGTCCAGGTAGTTTGGTCTTGACGACAAGGCGGCAAGATTTGTTCATCTGGCTGAAGTAAAAAACGGCATCAATAACCCATCACACCCAGGTGTTAGAAGTGGTCATTTTACTCTTGTGAACTCAGCCACCTCCCATATGGTCTAGTGGTTAGGATTTCTGGTTTTCACCCAGACGGCCCGGGTTCAATTCCCGGTGTGGGAACAGCTTACTTTTTTCTTCATTTTCACGAGACTTTTCTTGATGATTTTGCTCGGTTTGCTTGATTCTGTGGCTACGAATCCTTTTATCAAGAGTACACGACCCCCCAGAGTGTGCAACGCCTGATCCAGCTCTGCATAGGGTTTTGGTCGAGCGTAATCGGATCTTTGCGTCATAATACCGTACACATCTGAGGGGAACCCGGGGGGTCGCGGGTACTCTAGGATCAAAAACAACGGTGCCCTGCCTCGAGACCGGCCTTGCGCTCGTGTGGAGTGTACGCATGACATCAGAAGATCCGATTCCGCTCGACCAAGACCCTATGTAGAGCTGGATCAGGCGTTGCACACTCTGGGGGTTATGTACTCTTGCTTTTATGTAAGCAAACTGCCCCTCGTCACAGTTCACTGTCACCAGATTGACCGAGTACACTTTGTGCGTTTTCAGCCAAATTTTGACTATTGACCTTGTGAACTCAGCCCTTCAAGTTTTTATGTATTTATTTATTTATTTATTTTTAGGGCTGAAACGATTATACCGAATAATCGAGTACTCGTTTGATAACTCAACGATCGAGCAATCGTTTAGATTACCGATTACGATTATTTTGCGTTTTTTTAATTTGTGTCCAGAAAGTACTGTAAACCCTCGTTTTGTGAAGTTTGAATCAGTTTCCGCTGGGAATATGCAGTTGCCAGGGGTATGGTTCATGTTCTGAGGTTAAATTGACTTCGAAACTGCCATGTTTCGGAGCTACCTTTTCACTAATGCAGATTTGTTGGTATTATGAAGGCATAGTTTGTGGAAACAGAGTAATGTTTGCACAGAATTATGACTCTATTTGCTAACGATTATAATCGATTACTCGATCGTTAAGCTAAAGAGTAATCGATACAGTCTACTCGCGATAAGTCACGCACAGTGTCCTGGAATAGAAAATGCGCGAGTTACCGAGAGTGCGCGACTTACATTATACACCACGTCATGCATATGTACCGCCGTCATTTTTTCTTCTGCATATGGACATGTGTGCTGAACACGCGTACAAGCACTGTACTGAGCTGCATGCGCACGGTAGACCTACACTGTCTGTAGTCTACACTGACTGACACTGTACACTGCTGTACACGAGACGTAGATCTACCACAGCGTGAAGCCATGATCCGTTGATCGATATGAAGGCATGATCGAGAAAGAAAAGTAACGACGTTCCGTTACTTTTGCCGTTTTGGTAGGGATTTGACAAGACGCACTTCTGTTTCAGTCGTGTAAACACTTCGTTTCCCTTTGCTTGACGATGCCTTCTCATAAGAAAACGAAAGAACAGCGAACAGTGGCTGATCGACTGCGTTAGGTTCGTCTCTATCGTGAGAGTGGAAAAACCTCCGCTCGAAAATTTGCGAAGTTGAACAATGTTCTGGAGGCGATGTTCCGCGACTGGCTGAGGGATGCTGAAGCTGGCAAACTCGCCAATGCTAATCCGTCTGGTCCACAGGGAGTCCGCAACAGAAGTTTCCAGTTCGGGAAAATTGAGGAGCGGCTAGTGAAGTATATTTTGCTTCGAAGGGAGAAGTTTGTGACTGACAAACTTGGATTGTCGTGGGTGATCCTGAGGGTGAAGGCTCTCATACAATATGCACATAATAATTATATTCTTACCTTTACAGTATTCAAGCTCCATCATTGAAAACCACATCATTCGCAAATATTCACGAAATCCACGAAATCCACAAAATCCCGAAAAATAAAAAAATCTTGAGGTGGGTGTCCTGGATGAAAAAGTGCGTGACTTATCGCGAGTGCGTGACTTAAAAGTGCGTGACTTATCGCGAGTAGACTGTACGTGAAAATCCACGATCGTTTCAGCCCTATTTATTTTATTTTATTTTATTCCAAACAATACATGGCTGGGGTAGCCAATGACCACTTTGCGTGGCGATTGCAGGGGTTTTATAGGCAACCACGGCTAATGGAACCTCGGCGAAAATTTGGAGGGATATTTACGACGGTTGCAGTGTAAGACCATGGTGGTGGAGAAGGACAGAGACATGGAGTCTCCACCATGAGTTGAAACGTGCTTGAATTATAGCAACGCGCATGAGAGCGTAGTATTGCATCATTTCCGCAGTGACTGAGTCCGTTTACAGAGGACGGCCTGTATGGAGTTGTTGGTTAATTTTGCCCGCAAAAGAGGCCTATTTTCACAACAACAAAAAAAACAAAAAACAAAATGGCGTTGAAGTCTGGATTTGGGCCAAACGTATGCCAACCCCTCATCTAAAGTATTATCTGCTGGTTTTTCGAGAAATCTCTCTTGGAATACGAAGAAATAGGAAGAATGAATGAATGGATTTTGATGATTTCTCGAGTGCAAAACACTAGGCACCAAACGGACCGCTACCTTGAAAGGCATGAGTGTGCATGTTTTTGTTGTTGATTTGTTGTGCTTACGGCTACGTGTGCATGGAAACACAAGTGCTTGGTAGTAGTCTGCATGCACAGCAGATCCATGAACGCGGGGAATCTCCACAAGTTTCAGTTATCTGCGAAGTTTGGAGAGCTTGGAGAGCTTCGGGAATCTCCTCAAGTTTCTAGGGGGTATTCAGAGAATGCTGGTAGATTCATCATTGTCATTCTGCAGTGTTTTGGAAAATGTTTCTTGATTTTATTGTGGAAACAGTTGTGTGTGCATGGTAGCGTGGCCGAGTGGTCTAAGGCGCTGGATTAAGGCTCCAGTCTCTCCGGAGGCGTGGGTTCGAATCCCACCGCTGCCAACCAGCTTTTTTTTCTTACAAACGATACCAATATGAATTTGTCGACAAGACATGCTTTTGGCAGTCACAAAGTATCTGAGTTTCCATAGTGTAGCGGTTATCACGTTCGCCTAACACGCGAAAGGTCCCCGGTTCGATCCCGGGTGGAAACAGGAATTGTCTTTTTGTCCCCAGCACAGGGAATTTCTTTTTGTCCCTGGTGGAAGGGTGGATGGACGCAGGGAGTTTTTATCCCCAATTCGAGCCGGGATGGACACGGAATTTCTTTTTGGATCACAAGTACTACCCTAACTTCAGTGTTGTAATACGTTAGATCTGCCTCTTGCTCTGTTCCTGTTTGCATTTTCTCTGTCACAGCGTGCAACAGTTCCAGCAGACGTGTGACGAGACCAAGGCGTGGATTGCGGAGAAGGAGCAGGCGCTGGCTACGGATGACTGTGGCAAGGACCTGGACTCGGTCAAGAAGCTGCAGCGGAAACATCAGGTGAGGACTCCTGATACCCTGGACCCCCGGGGGCTGAGTATTACTGTAATGTGCGCCTGGCCTGGCCTGGCCTGGCCTGGCCTGGCCTGGCCTGGCCTGGCCTGGCCTGGCCTGGCCTGGCCTGGCCTGGCCTGGCCTGGCCTGGCCTGGCCTGGCCTGGCCTGGCCTGGCCTGGCCTGGCCTGGCCTGGCCTGGCCTGGCCTGGCCTGGCCTGGCCTGGCCTGGCCTGGCCTGGCCTGGCCTGGCCTGGCCTGGCCTGGCCTGGCCTGGCCTGGCCTGGCCTGGCCTGGCCTGGCCTGGCCTGGCCTGGCCTGGCCTGGCCTGGCCTGGCCTGGCCTGGCCTGGCCTGGCCTGGCCTGGCCTGGCCTGGCCTGGCCTGGCCTGGCCTGGCCTGGCCTGGCCTGGCCTGGCCTGGCCTGGCCTGGCCTGGCCTGGCCTGGCCTGGCCTGGCCTGGCCTGGCCTGGCCTGGCTTGGCCTGGCCTGGCCTGGCTTGAACAGAAGCCTGGTACTGACATCGGCTTCTACATGAACTGTTTGGTGGCCAATGTACCGGTCTAAGGGAGGGTTGAGTGTGTTGATGCTTGTACTTGAGAGTGAGTATGTCCTGCTTCCGGTGTGTGTGTGTGTGTGTGTGTGTGTGTATGCGTGCACGCGCGCGCGCGTGTGTGTGTGTGTGTGTGTGTGTGTGTATGCGTCCGTACGTACATCCGTATGTCTACGTGTGCGTATATTATTTCTGCGGGCATGCGTGTGCGTATTGTGTCTGTGCACGTGTGTGCATGTCCGTATGTGTCTGTTGCGGACGCGTGTGTGTGCGTGTAAATACATTCGTGTGCACGTATGTGCAGGCTATTGTGAGAGAGCTGGCACCCGTCGAGGAGAAACTGGACAAGCTGAAGGAGCAAGCTGAACAGTACGTACTACACGCTAGTATACAATAATACCCCGTAGTAGTACATTTGAATGCGTTGAGTTCTTTTTTACATTGTTGTTTTTTACACTTTGCTGATTGTAATAAAAACATTTTGTCGAGTACACTGTATGTCTTGTTTGTAAGTTGTTGTTACACATGCCAGTGGCTGCGTTCGGTTATGCACTTGAATCGATTCATGAATCCATTCGCATGCATTCAAGTCGTTCGATTTTCATGTCATGAGCCCTGGAATCGATTCGGAATCCATTCACTCTATTCACATGGGGTGATGTGAATAGCGCGAATCGATTCGCGTGCATAATCGAACGCACTCAGTGGTGTGCCTGTTACCGCTGCATTCAATCAATTGCTAAATATAGGTAGTATGGCGGTATGTTCCTTTCCTGGCAAGTTTTCTTTTCATCCTGCCTTGTCTCGTTAGTGCGATGGTCCCGGTTTTCGTTAAAATTATTGTTTGGTGGTATCGTTGTTGTTTTTGCTGATGCTGCTGCTTCTGCCCCTGCTCCTGCTCCTGCCGCTGTCGTTGTCGTTGTTGTTGATGTTCATTCTGTACAGAGTGGTCAAGGCTCATCCGCGCGACAGCACGCGTATCCGTGCAAAGCAGGCCGAGATCCAGACCACATGGCAGAAAGTCAAGGTGAGTGGCGTGCTGTGTGTTCTAAGTCCCCCGCTTGCTTTGGAGTATAAGCCGCAACCCCCCCCCCCCCCCCCTTTTGCCACGAAATACAGACATCTACCCTGTTTATCATTGTCAATTTGATCATCGGAGTATAAGCTGCATCCTCATTCTTGTGGGAGAATTTTGAGTGTTCAAAGTGCGGCTAAGGCGGTGTTTACATGAGGCGTTTCAACCCGGGTTGAGTTCGACCCGGGTCAGATTTCAACCCGCCATGTGCATAAAATGAATTGCGCGTTTACATGACGCATTGCGCTTGACCCGGGTTGAAATTTCGCCCCGGGTTGATTTCAACCCTCCCCCAAGGGGAGGGTTGAAATCAACCCGGGTCAAGAAAATCGTACAAACGTACTTCTGTGCGTATCTCGCGCCCGGTTTGAACGGCACTGCAGATGCAAATTTCGCGCGAACGGATTCACGTGACCATACAGGACTGTAGAAGTGGACTTTTGGCGGCATATCAGTATTTGACCCGGGTCAACTGTCTTCATGTAAACGCTCACCTCTTTTGTCTATCGTCCAGACTTTCAACCCGGGCTGAACTCGACCCGGGTTGAAATTTCTCATGTAAACACAGCCTTATACTCCAGAAAATAGTTCAAAATACAGTAGTAGAGTCGTGCTGAATGGAATACAGCCTCTGAATTTGAGTGCTACTACAGTGAAACTTCAGTGCATCGCGTACCTCCATGGGCCATACGACATCTTTACTGTACAGCCTGGGTCCCTGAGTAACATGTATTATGGTGGAATGCAAATGCATCAAGATGTGCCGCTCTCTTGTACACCCGTCCGTGTTTGTGCACACATAAACACCCAATTCACGTTTGTGCACTTATGGACACCCAATTCGTGTTTGTATGCTTAGGAACACTCACTTCATGTTTGTGCACACATGATCACCCAATTCACGTTTGTGCACACATGAACACATTTTATGCGACTGGCTGGCTGCTGTTGTGTGTGTGTGCGTAGGCGAAGGCTGAAGGACGCTGGGACCAGCTGAATGATGCGTTGGATTTGCAGCACTTCTACGCCGACTCACGAGATTTGGTAAGCGTGTGTGTGTGTGTGTGTGTGTGTGTGTGTGTGGTGGATACCAGGCTAAAAATAGTGGCGGTCAATTCATCAGCCTTGCAAGCTGTTGAATGGTGTAATCCCAGCACAAGTTGCTGTGTCTAACATAGCTGTTCGCTATCATCGCTCCCGCGATGGGCATGTCTGAGGTCTGAGGTGTGCGTGTGTGTGTGTGTGTGTGTGTGCGTGCGCGCGCGCGCGCGCGCGTGGTGATTGCTTGTGAGAATAGTTGCGGGCCAGCAAACTAACGTCGAGCTCTGCAATCCTGAAGATATGGTTTGATGTACGCTCATACCTCAGTTGTCCACACGGCTCCCTGGGATCCACACGACTTCCTGGAATCCACATGGCACCCTGGAATCCACATGGCACCCTGGAATCCACATGGCAACCTGGAATCCACATGGCACCCTGGAATTCATACGGCTGGCTCCCTGCAATCCGTGTGGTTACCTAGAATGTACAAAACATAATGGGTGCAATCTTCAATTGAAATCAGCATGTCTCCGTGGCGCAATCGGTTAGCGCGTTCGGCTGTTAACCGAAAGGTTGGTGGTTCAAGCCCACCCGGGGACGACCTTTGCTTTTGCATTCTTTTCCCGAAAAATAGTTTCAAAGAAGAAGAAAAAAGTAAGCAGTTCCCACACCGGGAATTGAACCCGGGCCGTCTGGGTGAAAACCAGAAATCCTAACCACTAGACCATATGGGAGATGGATATTGGCACTGTGCGTCGTGTGGGTGTTGACGATGTAGACAAGAACAAGTGCCCTGTCTGCTGTTGCACGTGCAATTGCTCTTTATTCTTTTCTTTTTTATTTACTTGAAACCATGCACCCAATTCGTAAAACAAGAAAGAAGGAGGAAATGACCAAAACAGCAGACTAACAGAACATTGACTGAATGGGGCTGCAATGCAAGGCAGCGGTGGGGTATGTGCGTTTGTACGTGCATGTGCGTGCACACGTGCACACGTGTGTGTGTGCACGTGCTCATGAGTCATAAACTCACCACTGTATTCTCCTTCTTCTTATCCTGTCCAGCTGGCTTGGGCGGACGAGACGAAAAGCACGCTGAACTCCAATGACCTGCCTCGTGATGTGCAGTCGGCTGAAGAAGCCATTGACAAACACCAGGATTTGAAAGCGGACATTGATGCCCACAACGAGAAGTAAGCAAAAGTCAAGTTTCCTTTGCAGTTTGTTGTTCGTGTTCTCATGCTTACGAGTAGCGTTAGAAATGAACCTCGCTATGGCGGTCGTGTTTACCTTGCATAGAAAAGTCTGGATGCTCTGGGCCACCTCAGCACGGCTCGTCCCTTTTCTTGATTCTGTTCCCAAGAGAATGATTTGCCTCCATTCCATGCCATGTGAGATTGTGAGTACGGTCGCTAAATAGTAGGGGTGAAACAATTATACCGAGTACTCGCTCGGTTTTTTCAAAAATATTCGTACTCGGAATAAATCAGAGTACTCGTTCATGCATTTACTACAGAAATCTGCAGTTTCAGAGCAGCAGTCGGCAGATGGTGATGTGCAGACTATGTGGTGAACATTTGTTCACGAATAGAGAGAGCCCAAATGACCCACCAACCAATATACCCGAGAAAAATGACTGCTACTCGGTTCAATCAGGGTTGTATCATGTTATTTTAAAGCCCTTGGTGTGCAATTGTTAGGAGATGAAAAATACTCGAATACTCGAATATTCGATCGAAGAAAATCAGAGTACTCGAACTCGGGATCTCAGTGCCAACTTTCACCCCTACTAAATAGATTCACTTCTCTGTCCACTCTGCACTCCACTCGTTTCGCACATTCACTCATACGTGTACAGCACTGTTGAACATGTCCATATTGCCAGTGGGGGCCACCACAGCACACTCTCACTCAACTCTCCGCACAAAGACAACAGAGGCCGACCGTGCACTCGTCACCTCCTTTTATCCCACACCGTGCTCCCTCGTACCTGTTCCCGGGTGGACAAAGAACACTACTTCTCTGCTAATTCTTATACTGTGACGTCAACCGCAGAGAAGTGACATTATCTTTGTCGAAAAGCCAAATCCGAAATTCTGAATTGCCGTGATAGCTCTTCACTACATTTACCAATATTTGTCAACTCCCCCCCCCCCCCCCCGTCTCTCTTTTCTTGCACAGATTTGACACTCTGCTATCCCTGGGCAAGCGTATGCTGACAGCCAGTGTCAACGCCCCTGACGTGCGCGACTACATGAAGCGCCTGACAGCACAGCGCGCTGCACTGCAAACCGACTGGGCAGCGCGCAACGAGCAGCTCAAGGCAACGCTAGACATGCAGGTACCCACAATACCTGTGTGTAGAGACCAGCTGATTCTAGAGGCCACCTGATTCTAGAAGCCACCTGATTCTAGAGGCCACCTGATTCTAGAGGTCCCCTGATTCTAGAGGCCACCTGATTATTGAGGCCACCTGATTCTTGAAACCACCTGATTCTAGAGGCCACCTGATTCTTGAGGCTACCTGATTCTAGAAACCACCTGATTCTAGATGCCACCTGATTCAGAGGCTACCTGATTCTAGAGGCTGCCAGATTCTAGAAACTACCTGATTCTAGAGGCTGCCAGATTCTAGAAACTACCTGATTCTAGAGGCCACCTGGTTTAGAGACCCCTGGACCGATCATCTCAGACACCAAACCCTGGACCGATCATCTCAGACGCCAAACCCTTGCTACAAAGTCCACAATCAAGCATGTGTATTTTAAACACACCAGGTGTCTACATTGTAGAAGACCAGCTGTCTGTTAAGACTGCGGGTCAGCGATACGTGAGCGATATGCGAGCATGTATGTTCACGTGCATCTGTAACTTGTTCCTTTCTCTGCCGTTGCCTTGTGCTGTGCAGTTATTCAATCGTGAAGCCGAGCAGCTTGACGGTTTGACAAGTTCACAGGAAGCCTTCCTAGCTAATGAAGACCTGGGGGTAAGAAGACGTTTTTCAGTGCTGACTAGGTGTGCACTGCTAGCATTGTAGCTCCGGCGGTGGTTGTTTGCTCTTGCTCGACAACATCATAACTTTATTACTTCTTCATCACTTATGTTGCGCAAGTATGCGCAGGGGCGACGGACAAGGTACGGTCACTACGGTATTGACCGTACCACTTTTTGCCCCAGGTAACCTGTGAATCAATAAAATACACTGATCTGGACTCTAAATTTCCAAAATTTTCGCCTTGGCCACCCCTCCCCCACGAGTAATTCACATGGCTGACCGTACCACACTAAAATACCTTCCGATACCCCTGATGCGGATATGTTCACTGTAGCTTTTGGCGTTCTTGTATTCCTCTCTAAAAATCATGTCTTGAAGGCAATTCTTGCTCAGCTGTGTCGTGTTTAAAATTCCCCGACACGTCGCAGGAGATGCCGCTTTGCTGCCATGCTGTTCTTGTAGTGAATGGGATTTCCGGTGTTTGACCACTTTGTGGCGGGTCTGATCTACTCACCTCCCACCGCTTCAGGAGCTGCATCTGCGCCTTGATCCTTGAAGGGTGGTGGCGTTCCTACGGATGAATTTATTTATTTTTCAATTACTGTAGCAGTTTGTAAAAACGGAGCGTCTCTGTAAGTTTGTATCCCTGGTGATGTTTGTGCCTGGAGAGCACTATATAAGTGGTGCTCTTCAGGCACAATCTTCCTCAGCCTATTCAAGCTCAACTGATGAGGGGTGAATTCCCCGAAACACTGTGTATTGAGCAGGGAGTGGTGCTTTCTTGCAGGTTTGCCGAGTCGAAGGTTCGATGGACTTCTCGTGTGCTCTGGATGGCAGTCGTGAGTCAGTCAAGTGTCAAGTAAAGTCGGCGGAATAGCGCGAGCTCCGGTGTGGGGAGCAAACCCTTTCTTACGAAGTCGCAACCACTACTTCGTACTGTAGCAGTTTATTTGACTTATATCTTCTATGCTGCACCCATTGTATGTGTTTATTCCCCACTTCAGACAACTGTGGACAGTGCTGAGGCTCTGCTGAAGAAGCATGAGGAGTTTGAAGGACAAGTGGCTGCTCAGGAGGAGCGCTATCGTTCTCTCTACAATCAGGCTGATTGTCTGGTGCAGGCTGGCCACTACGACTCGGTCAAGTAAGGTGCTGTGTGCAAGCAAACTGCCGCCTCTCTCGGTCTGTCTGTCTGTCTGCCTGCCTGCCTGCCTGCCTGCCTGCCTGCCTGCCTGCCTGCCTGCCTGCCTGCCTGCCTGCCTGCCTGCCTGCCTGCCTGCCTGCCTGCCTGCCTGCCTGCCTGTCTGTCGGTCTGTTGGCCTGTCTGTCTGTCTGTCTGTCTGTTTTTCTCTGTCTTCCGTTCTCTGTCTTTCTCTGTCTTTCTCTGTCTCTCCCTTAGCTTTGTAGTGCTTTGCTCAGTCAAATGGTAGGTTGCAGTGGTGGATGTGGTGGAGATCTTGCCCGTTCACATGTCAACGCATTGGTTGTGCTTTTGCTGTGATGTTGCGTCCTGTCTGAATCGTTCGTTCACTCATCTATGAGGGTGCGCACGTGTGTGTATGTGTGTGTGCGTGTGTGTGCGCGTGCGCGCGCGCGTGTGTGCGTGTGTGCGCAATTTCTGTACACTTGATTTTTTCGTTTCAGGATTGCTGCTCGCCGAGATGCCGTCTCCAGTCGCCGTGAGAAAGTCAAGGAGGCGTCCATCGCTCGCCATGAGCTGCTCAGCGATGCCGTTGACTTGCAGAACTTCTTGCGAGATGCTGATGAGGTATGCTCTCCTGTTGCTGCTAGCTACACGTACAGTGCTGTTCAATGAAATCCAGTCGCGCGAGTCAAGTTTGCGCCTTGCATCATTTCTCAGCCCAGTGTGCGCAGGTCTAGGGCTGCGCAATGCCCCGGTGCGTACTTGAGTGCGTACTTGAGTGCGTACTTGAGTGACTCTGTGACTGGGTTTCATTGAGCAGCACTGTACTAGAGCGTTTCAGTGACTCATGTGCTCTTATGAGCTAGTCATTCAATTCGGGTCTGGGTTAGAGTCTTCTTGACATCTCGTGGATCGGATCTGTTTACATGAGTCAAGGCTGTTTGATTCGTAAGATGCTCCGAGATCACACAGCTCCAAATTAGGAAGGAACATGCCATACATGGTGAAGTAGTGCTAAACCCGTGTACACATCTTGGCCATGGCAATCGCCTTGCCCCTCCCAATTAGGAAGGCACGTGCCTTGCATGGTGAGGTCGTTGACAAGCCGCAAACCCGCTTTGTATCATGTACAATTCGAGAACGATGCGAAATCAATTTTCTGTAATTTACGAGTTCGTAACGAGTCGCTGAGTCTCTTTTCTCCCAGAATGATATTGTATTGTTTTCCATATCCAAGTGGTAATGGCGGTGGTGATCATTACTCACATTACCACCTGGATATGGAAAAGCAAAAGTCCCCAACCAAGCGTATGCAACTGCTGTCTCTTTTTCTACTGACCAGATGCACAGCTCACTGCCTTCATTACATCATGCAGCTACAGGCATGCACTGAGAAAAATCAAACTCTACACCTTCACTGCGGTCGGAAACCGACTTTCGTACGGAACTGAACTTCTCAGAATGCAGAGATCATGTTGGTACATGTACTTGGACGTGAAGCAAAACCTTGTGCACTGGTACGAGAGTGTGGGCTTGCCTGCGTGAGTACAGGGCATGATACAGGCAAGTTTTGTATTGAAGGCAGTGCTTCGTTCACTGACCCGTAATCACAGTTGCATATTCTTTCCCAATAAAAAATGAGAAAAAGAAACGACTGTTTCCACCCGGGATCGAACCGGGGACCTTTCGCGTGTTAGGCGAACGTGATAACCGCTACACTATGGAAACTTGCTTGCTTCCTTTCCTCCCACATATCCATCTTCATACAAATGCTTTGAAAACAAAGAAAAAAGAGAAGAAAAAAAATTGGCTGTTTCCACCCGGGATCGAACCGGGGACCTTTCGCGTGTTAGGCGAACGTGATAACCGCTACACTATGGAAACTTGCTTGTCTCCTTTCCTCCCACATATTGCTATGTTCATACAAACGCATTGAAAACAAAGAAAAAAAAGTTGGTTGGCAGCGGTGGGATTCGAACCCACGCCTCCGGAGAGACTGGAGCCTTAATCCAGCGCCTTAGACCACTCGGCCACGCTACCTGTGACAACATCAAACTGACCAACCGATGGCCTTGTCTAAGGACGTGCCTGGTCACACAGTCGCAGAACAAAAATAATCCTAGAATCATAGCCTGATTCTCCTTAGTGGCTTGACGTCACAGCGGAAAATCAGGCTGGAACGCCGCTGCGGAAAAGCAAGAAATGGCCTAGCTTTCTCGTTCCAAACAGGAGCTGATTGTTTGGTATGCCATGGACGCGGGTATGTATGTCATGGCCGTTGGTATGCCATGCGTGTTGCTACATCACGGATGCTGGCACACCATGGACGCTGATTGTTATTAGTTTTGTTTAGTCATCTGGAAATCGAAGTGCCAAGGATGCCCCGAAACCGCAAGTCTAACAACACTGTACATGCATGCGATTTGCAAACCGCATTCCTTTCGGCGGGGGATGGGATCGGAGTATGAAGTGAACGATATTTGTTTCAGGGACGTCAAAAGCTGCTTTGCATGTCATGATTGGAAGCTGTGGCCTTAATAAAAAATTAAAAAAATCTGAGCCGACCCCTAACACCAAGAGTGCATAAACAAGAGTATGCAGTTGTGGTTATGGGCCAGTGCGCGGCGCGCTGCCTTCATTACGTAACTTGCTTCCATCACGCTCTGCAAGCATGCACTCAAACCCACGATTAAAATAATTTCTTGTACCAGCACACCTGGTTTGCTCGATTCGTTCCAGTCCCTACGTGATCTCTAAAATACATTGACACGTGAACTCCAGTTCCGTACGAAAGTTTATTTCAAACCAGAGGGAAAGTGCGGTGTTTGATTTGGCGCAGTGCACGGACTGCAGCTGAATAATGTAAAGACCCCTTACCTGATTGTTTATCGTACGACTTCAGCTCCATCACGAACTTGGTATGCCCACAGAAAAGAGATCACAGTGCAAGTGAAAGCAAAAAAACACACAAAAAAACAATTCTGGCAGCGGTGGGATTCGAACCCACGCCTCCGGAGAGACTGGAGCCTAAATCCAGCGCCTTAGACCACTCGGCCACGCTACCTTGAGTGTGCAGAAACATATGGGTTTGTGCTGTTAGTCGCGTGGTCTGCTACTGTCAGTTCCAAGTCATCTGGTTATTTGTTTACCCCAATTGTACATTGGAAGCGCCTTGGTTGGCAGAACTCTACCCTCATCTGCCCCCGACTCTAAGCAAGATGGGTCACGACATTGCTGCGAAAAGCTCTCGAGAGTCATGCCCTCGGCTTTAACAACAGCTCATGAATAAGGGGCACCGTGAATAGTGACAACAGCTCATGAATGAGAGCCCCCGTGAATAGTGACAACAGCTCATGAATAAGAGCCCCGTGAATAGTGACAACAGCTCATGAATAAGAGCACCGTGAATAGTGACAACAGCTCATGAATAAGAGCCCCGTGAATAGTGACAACAGCTCATGAATAAGAGCCCCGTGAATAGTGACAACAGCCATGAATAAGACCCAGTGAATAGTGACAACAGCTCATGAATAAGACCCAGTGAATAGTGACAACAGCTCATGAATAAGACCCCCGTGAATAGTGACACTATCGTCAGACCTCTAGTACTGTAGTCATTTGACTTGACACGTCCAACGTCCAACCTCACAAAATAATAACGACGCTTCGCCGATACCAAAACTTTCTCATGCCCGATAGCGGGCCGTTATTCACAACGTTGTCTGTGTAAAAGTGGAATATATATTAAAGTGCATATCACTTGAAGTAATTCTGTTTGCTAGGTTTGCTCACTGGATATTTAGGTGCAGGAGTCATCTTGTCCCGATTACTTTTCCAGTTCTTGATCATGTTTGCTTTTTTGTTTTGCTTGTTTTTTTGTGTGGTTGTTTGTTTACTGATCTTGTGTGTTGTAGTGTACAAACTGGATGACGGAGAAGATGCAGACGGCTTCCGACGAATCCTACCGGGAGACCACCAACCTGGAGGCAAAGCTAAAGAAGCACGAAGCGTTCGACGCCGAGGTGGCCACAAACAAAGCCGGAATCGACGCCACGGTTGCGGTAGGTTGGCTTCCCGAAGGTTCAGACGGTGTTCCGACGTTTCTTCTTGTATCATTGAGGGCATTGCAGTAGGTTTTAAGTTTTTAACCCTTTAAAAGAGCTGCCGCATACCGTACTCGAGCGATTAGAGCCCTCTCTTGAATAGGCCTTATGCACATTGTACAGATGCACGAAATCCCGTATAATCTTGTAGAATCCCGTAGACCCGGTTGGGTGTTGAATGTGCAGGACCCTATTGTGTTTACTGCTATTTCCACTATGAAATGGGCCATGAAGGCATTTCATACGAAATCTTTTTCCGGCAGAGATCTAGCTAGTCGTTAGTTCAATCCCAAAGTGAAGAAGGCTTGAAAAGTGATCGTTTGCCATGAATTGTGAGGCTAAATGGGTCAAACGCGCATGTATAGCACACAATGAACACCCAACCGGGTATGTACACACCTACGGCCATAGTACAGAATTTCGTACATCTGTACAATGTGCATAAGGACTATAGTGCCCTATCTCGAATAGTGCCCCAGCTCTCCCCCGCCCTCCCCCGCTGCCTGATGTTGGATGCAAGATCGGAACTGGTATGACAGCGTAGCTGGCGACCGCCAGACTTTTTAATAATCCCTCAGCAGAGCACAAAGTTCATCAAACGTTTGGTCAGCAGGGCAGGTTCGGAGGAAGAGGCTCATGAGAGTAGCGTAAACATCTTTCGACAGGCTGGAAATCAGGTGGGCAAACATTTTCTTTCTTACCCGTTCCTTTTCATCATTCGTAGCATTGGTGGCCACAACTCCGATGTCGTTGGCCAGAAAATAAAAGGCTCCGATCCGTTCTTGGTAGTTGGCGAAATCGCCGCCAGCAAATGGTTCTATTGTGGGTCTCACAGTAGCTATATTGACACGTACTACCGTCTACAACTACTTATAGAAATATAATTATGAGCACATATTCTACTAGTCAAGAGCACATATTCGTCGCCATTTGTTGTGTCATAATCTCCATTCACAGAAGCATCCAGCCAGCACCAGTAGGTCGGGGGGGGGGGGGGGGCATGAACAAGAGCATGTGCAGTGTGATAATGCTAGTGCTACAGAAGTAGATATATTACTACTATGCGCTGTGCACACGAGTATCTATATAACAAGAGTACTTATATAACGCTCTCCTCTCTCTCTCTCTCTCTCTCTCTCTCTCTCTCTCTCTCTCTCTCTCTCTCTCTCTCTCTCTCTCTCTCTCTCTCTCTCTCTCTCCTCCCTACATGTTGTCAGACTGGAGAAGAGTTACTGAGTGGCAATCACTACTCACCAACGGATATCAGCATCCGTGTGGAACAGCTCACGCAACAGTGGGACGGCTTGGCAGAATCCTCCTCCAAGAAAGGACAGGTAATCAGTGAAGATTGGTGTGATGATGTTGCTGTGTAGATGTTGGTATGTTCAGGTCGACCCTCGTTAGTAAACAACCCTGGCGGTTTCAAAATGTTTGTCTTGTAATGCGTATTATCTACAATCCGGACTTGCATGTACGCCTGTCAAATTCGTGTAGAAACATCAGGAGATGCAGTACCAGCCCTGCATGCAAACACTGGGCCAGGCATGCCCTGGTGCACGGGGCACTCACTGACTCCACGAGACTGCATTTCATTGATCATGTCTCTGTATTGAAGTAAGCAAACTAACTGGCTTCGACACGCGTTCCAAAAAACGTTCTACGTCTGTGTGCACATGTATGCGCGTGCACCTGGATATGAACCGTCTGTGCTCTGCAGCGTCTGCAAGAGGCCTTGGCGGAGTCGCAGTTCAACCGTGCGCTTGACGACGCACACATGTGGCTGCGTGATTGTGAGGTGCTGCTGGCTAGCTCTGATCTCGGCAAAGACCTTGGCAGTGTTCAGCATCTCCTCAAGAAACACCAGGTAAGCTGAAGCGGAAGCAACAGCAAGCCATTTAGGGCCATGCAAATAGTGTTTCACTGTTGCACAGATGTTGAAGTAGACCCTACGACGTGAGATTCCGTCCAGGTTTTGTTGTCGGCTGCGGTAACATGCTATGGCTATTGGTTCTCAACCTTATTTGGCTGTTTGAATGCATTTGCCTTATTTGGTGGTTTGGGTGTGTGTGTTTCTGCCTTTTGTGGCATATTGATTTTATCCCTGCTGGTTCATGTCCTGCCTTCCTGTAATGTTGTTTGGTAGCTTATGGAGGCGGATATTGGCGTGCGTGAGAAGCAGATGCAGCAGCTCGGTGAAATGGCCGATGCTCTGTTGGCTAGTAATCACTTCAATGCCGACAACATCCAAGCAAAGCACGTTGAAGTGGCTGAAAGGTGAGTGCTACGCGAGTGCTATGTTATATGGCTGATCCACAGCCTCCGTAAAAAGAAAAAAGAAAAGTAGATGATGTCAGTACATCTACCTATGCAGTGCGTGGACTGGCTACAGTGCGTGGACTGGCTACAGTGCATGGACTGGCTACAGTGCGTGGACTGGCTACAGTGCGTGGACTGGCTACAGTGCGTGGACTGGCTACAGTGTGTGGACTGGCTACAGTGCGTGGACTGGCTACAGTGCGTGGACTGGCTACAGTGCGTGGACTGGCTACAGTGCGTGGACTGACTACAGTGCCTGGACTGGCTACAGTACTATGCCTTCGCCAGTCACTAGCAAGACATTCATGGGATTGTACAACTGGCATGTACATTTACAGGTATAATAAATGTATGGCATGGTAGTATGTCAATGGCATGCTCATGTAGTACACGGAAAGTGTGCGATAAGACTTTCGATTACAGGGGGGGGGGGGGGAGGTAAGGGGGGGGGGGGGGTAGAGTCTATTCGAAATGCGTTACGTTTACAAACAAAATGCGAACTTATGTCAGTGCTCCCTTGCAGTCTTGTTCTTGATTGTCACATGGAATGACAAAGTCTTCTCCGGTCTTGCCTGTCTTCTCCTTCTCCTTGTTCAGATTCTCCAACCTTCACGAGCCCGTAGCCGATCGTCGCTCGCAGCTGGAAGACAGCCAGCGCTATCACCAGTTCCATCGCAACGCAGAAGATGAGCTGGCCTGGCTGCGCGAGCACATGACGATTGCGTCGAGCACGGCGTACGGTGGCAGCCTCACCGGGGTACATAATCTCATCAAGAAAATGCAGGTGAGGCCTGGCTACAGGGCAGGGCAGGGCAGGGCAGGGCAGGGCAGGGCAGGGCAGGGCAGGGCAGGGCAGGGCAGGGCCACAGGGAACGTTTATTATTATTATTATTATTATTTAAACACACGGCGAGGAGACAATAATTTGATAACCGCAATCAATAAAACTAGCTGAACCGACATTTGTGTACTTTATTCATGCAATGTAAAAAACGGTGGAGACGATGTGCAATAAAACGATGAAAATATTGCCAGTGGGAGACCGCGAGCAACACTGACAGCTGCATTAACACTACAAATGCCGACTCAAAAAGACCCACCTTGCATATCAGTAGCTCCCACACCAACACCAACAACGCAATCTACAGCAACCACAACTAATCCACCATCCAAGCCCACAATTGAAAGACCAAGACGATCAACAGCCAACTACAACAGAAGCTACGCACTCAGCGGACAAGGGCGAAAGGAGGGATGTGATAGCAGGGTGACGGCCGAGTTGACTTCAATGGACCCGGTCAGGCGGGATGGACGAGACAGAGAGAGTACAGAGGAAGCGGAGGATGGAGCGGACGGCGGAAGGAGCAGTGAGTCGGAGAGCAGTGATGGGAGTGATGGTGAGAATGCCGGTGAGAGTGTTAGTGTTGTGCGTAGGTTTCGTGGTAGCAAGTCTTCAGTGTACAATCATCTGCTAGCTAGTCCTGATTGTTGCAATTCGTATTCCGACTCTTCGTTCACTGTATTGTGCCGTGGTCGTCATGGTTATGGACTACAGTTAAAAGTGTTGGAAGCTATCTATCAGCGTCTGTACAAGCCTAATTTGTGTGTACAGAAAGATAGTATAATTGGGTTGAAATTGTTCAAGTAACGTGTCGTGTTTAGTGCGGCCAAGCTTGGCCGTTAATGTTCTAGGTGTAATGTACTGCTGTTATGTGTTATCACGTTGTCTTTCCTTCCTTTCTCCTTTGTTCATTTCTCGCTTTGATTGTTAAAATTCACACTTGTAAATTTCACTGTTGTTGCTCTTAGTGTTATTTCTGTAACTTAGATTTTCTATAATAGTTCAATTTTTGTTTCAGTGTCCTTTAGTACAACGACGATTCCTGATGAGTGTTGTACGAAAACTTGTTTGAATCCATATATTTTTTCCCTACACCATTTCTTCATATTTTCATCGTTTTATTGCACATCGTCTCCACCGTTTTTACATTGCATGAATAAAGTACACAAATGTCGGTTCAGCTAGTTTTATTGATTGCGGTTATCAAATTATTATTATTATTATTATTATGCGCATTCCCGCGGCAGCGTCAACTAAGCAGTTGCTTGATCCACACGTTCGCTTATGCTGGACATTGAAACAGAGCGGACGTAGATATCTCCTAGAGAATGGGGCTCTACAAGCCAGCAGGGAACGTTTGCAAAGCTTTTTACGTCCAACTGATGTCTATGGGAACTTCTTGCTATGGTGAAAGGAATTCGGGTGGACACACCCATTCCCAGTGCCGAGACGTTGTAAAGTAGCGGAACTGGTTCGGACGTGCGGCGCTATGGGAATGGGTGTGTCCACCTGAATTCCTTTCAGAGATGAAGCTGCAGGAAGCCTCAGCCCTTCTTCATTCTTGCTATGGTGTTTTTGCAAAGTATTGACCTCCAACCGAGACTTGTTGACTGTATGCTTATGTAGCTGGATGTGTTGGGTAGGCTGATTGTCCTTTTCAAAGTTCAGCCCTCACCATCGTCTACACGGATTTCAAAAGCGTCGACCTCCATTTTGAAAACATGGTGGCTGGCCGCGCTACCCGTAGGCGCACGTGCCCACCGCGTGTCTCAGCGCGAGCTTCGAGCTCGCGAGCTAAAGATCATGTCGCCCACTCATTTTCCTGTGTTTCCCCATTTCTTCGAACTCGCTCAGCTTTTGCTTCAGCTTTTGCTTCGCTCGTGCTTCAGCTCCACGCTGTAGTCTGAGTTTAGTTCTCTTGTCTTCTTCCAGCAGAATACTGCAAACTCTACAGCACGTCGAGCTCCTCCTAGAAGAGTTTCTTTTGCGTCGAGGCAGACTGTCGATCGTTTCAGTCCTATCTTGCCGTCGTCTCATGAGCGCCCCGGAAAGCAACAGTATCTATTTTCTTGTCGTTCCATTTTCTGGCGAACTCATTCACCTACTACTTCTTCCTTTATGAAAGCTTCAGGTGGCTGAGTTCTCCCACTAGCGACAATCATGCCTTGGAAATGAACAGGATATTCCTAAGGTATATACAGCCAGTGCAGTGATGTCAGTGTACTGCGCGTACTAGTAGTTGTTTGTTTTGTCGAGAAAGAATCCCTTTCGCACTCGCGCGGGCCGCGAGGGCGCAGCACGGAAACAGGTCTATTGAATTCATTTCTTGGTCGATTTCGACAACCAATACGTCGTTGTTTTTCTTTTTTCACTGGCTATCCTTTCTCCGCTTCCGAATTGCGATGCCGTCCACCTGGAAAGCCTTGAAGTGAAACGAGTGGAGGCCGGTTTCGGAGGTAATTTTCGGCCAAACGGCAATCAAATCGAAAAATTCGAAGCGGACGATCTGTTGGTATCTATCGAAAGAAGACGTTGGCCCATAAAAAATCTTTGGAAACTACAACGTATGAACCAAGGAATTACGGTAAGTTTGAGAATTTTGGTACATTAGCTGTACGCTGATTGGTCGATTTGCGCGACCGTTGAGAAACGGGCCAGTGACGCTTTGTACAGCGTTGGTGAGGGCTGAAGTTGAAAAGGCTTGGATGCCCGAACGTGTTTGTCGTTGATAAGGCAGATACAACAGATGGTTTGCAAACTGGAAAGTGACGAAAATTACTGAGCTGTGCACCAACAGGCACGGCACAAGGGTATTTTGTGTGTTAGCATCTCAAACACATGTTCTGCATGTGTGGATCCATTCCGGTCATTCCCATTTACATAGAGTGAGTGGAGTCATCTTGGTGCATCAGCCTGTCTCCGTGGCGCAATCGGTTAGCGCGTTCGGCTGTTAACCGAAAGGTTGGTGGTTCAAGCCCACCCGGGGACGACCTTAGTTTTTGCATTCTTTTCCAAAAAATTGCCTCAAAGATGAAGAAAAAAGTAAGCTGTTCCCACACCGGGAATTGAACCCGGGCCGTCTGGGTGAAAACCAGAAATCCTAACCACTAGACCATATGGGAGATGGCTGGGAGTATCACATTTGTCTATTGCATTGATGATAGCAATAGAGAATCTCGACTCCAAGAAAAGACCTCAAGATCAAGCCAATGTGGCTGAACTTTTTTCTAAGTACAATCTTTTACCTTGGTACGTAGATCACAGCGTTCACTAGCTGCTCAATCGATTGTCAACAGCTTGAGCTGGAGTTATTTGCTCTGCGTGTGTATGTGGTGTTTGTCTGGTGTTGGGTAAGCATCTGCTTGGAAAGGTTCTATCACAAGTGGTTTGTATTCTGTTCTCAACGGGTTGTGTGTTTTTATAGCTCAATTACGTTGGGTGGAAGTAATCCGATTGATGCGTATGTGTACGTGACGTCATAGAACCGCTTTGCCACGGGCCAGGGCAATCATGCCCGGGAGCTAATTTTATATCCGCTTGAGTTTCAAGAAGAAGTCAGTTATTTGTTCCAGGATTCCCTGTGCTGTTTGAGAGTGTGAGTCGGACGTGTGGTGGCAAACATAACACGGTGCAGTGAACAGTCGTGTAACTGAACGCCTCTTTTACGGGCAAAATAAACCCAATGAATTGGAAATGCAATACAAAAACTGGTAAAAATAAAGAATGAAGAAAATGCGAACCCAGTAAAACAAAGAATATCGAACCCAAAAGCAAAAGTAATCCGCGATCTGTGAACAGTTGTGTGCTCAGTAACGATTGTGATTCTTTCTTTTTGCACTGTCCTGCTCTCACAGGCGTTTGAAGTGGAGATAGGCAACCATCAGCCACGCATGGACATCGTCCTTGGCGATGGTGAGGAGCTGCTGACCACCAGCCAGGTAGCGGCGGACGATATCCAATCTCAGCTGAAGCTGCTGCGTCAGGAGTGGGCACAGTTGGAGAAGCAGACTGCTCACCGCGTCGAGATGCTGGAGCACTCGCTGGAGTCGCAGAAGGTATGCACCGCAGCTGGTTATTGCCGTGTCGACCTGAAGAGTTAAGAGGAGACAAGCGCCAAATTTCGGAAATTTAGATTTTGAGCTCATCGTAATCAATAGGTCGAGAGTCACCTTCAGGAAAAATTGACATCAGAAATCCTACTAGAACCACAGATACAAACTGCACATAAATTGAATCCTTTATTGGTCATTAACCGAAAAGTGACAAAATATATTGTAGCGTTTTGCTTCTAAACTTTTCATATGCTGTAGCAGTGTCTGCTCTAGGATTGTAGGACAGCCGGGTACACGTGTACCTGGCGCAACCATTTCAACCGGGTCGGTGCCGGGTACACATGTACCTGGCGTTGTCTCACCAGCCGAGTCACATGCTTTAACTGGTTGGTTGGTATATTTTAATTCGGACAATAAACGGGAACAAGGCCCAATGATATAAAGGCGAATGGATAAGCCGCATTTAGAAAAGAGAGGACAGGAATTAGAAAATTACGAAAGAAGAAGAAGTATCTGACACATACAAGCCATGAAGTCAGTCCTTTCAAAGTTCGAAAGTGTAAAGTACCAACCGGGTCACAGGTGACCCGGTACTATATTTTCAACCGGGTCCAAGCACCGCCCAACCGGGTGGATTACCCGGCTCACCCGGCGCTGGAGCAGACACTGTGTAGGGTGTGTAGACTTCCCTTGTACTGTCCCCAAGCATTCAACCCTGTGCATGGGTCTGATGATGGGCGGGGGGGGGGGGGGGGGGCGGGGGATATGGACTGTTGGAGCTCCGAGTATCTTGGCGACTTGTGCACATATGTGCAGATATGCTTGCCCGAAAAGTACATTTTGTAGCCCTGGACTTGCACGGCCTTGATGCGCTGGGAGTGGTGCGAATGCTGCTGGATGTACCAATGTTCTAACACAGGGATGTAATTATCAGAACTGATCCAGGACGCCAGCTTTGCAAATTGGAGTCGCAAATCACCTAACACAACTGTACTCTGCTCACACACTATCTGGTTTGTGAACTTGGCACACGCCATCCTCCACAAGCAGGTCTCCGTGGCGCAATCGGTTAGCGCGTTCGGCTGTTAACCGAAAGGTTGGTGGTTCAAGCCCACCCGGGGACGGCTTTCTTTTTTCTTCTTCTTTTTTCCCCTGCCACTTGGTGCAATGCACTGTTTGATATGAGTGCGCGGCTGCGAAATTCTTCTATTTCGTGTGCGTTCTCTTTGCACATTGCAGCATGTCTGCGTTCTCACTTTCTTTTTCATGCGGAGCACATGCACGTGCGCGCGTGTGTGCATGTGCGTGTTCGTGTGCGTGTGTGTGCGTGTGTGTGGGGGGGGGGGGGGGGCGTGCGTGCGTGCGTGTGTGCATGTTTTACGTTGTGCGGTGTCCTAGTACTATTCTGAATCGACCGAGGCGGACACATGGATGAATGAGAAAGCAGCACTGGCGGCCAATCAGGACGTGGGAAAAGACGAAGACTCTGACGAGAAAAACTTGACGCGGCACAAGGTTGGTCTCAGTGTTTGATGATCTTTTTCAGATGGGCACGACCGGTGGAAGCAGTTTTTGATTTGTCCGGCTCTACCCTAGCCTTTCATACAGTTTGTGTATCATATAGCGGGTGCACGTAATACTTTCCTCAGCAGCAAACATGCATTTGTTGGTGGCGAACAAGTTGTTCCGTTGATGACCTGACCAGCTGGACCAGTTCCAGCGGGTCTGGATGGATGTCGAAGTATGTGCGTGTATGCCTCACTGCTAGAGGTCCTGGTCAAGTGCTCCACTGATTATTTACTAGATTACTCACCATTCCTCACTTCTCTCCTGTTGCTTATAGGGGATTCGCACGACTCGCAAACTCACGTGGGTGGTACTCTTTTTACTCGTGTGACCCAAGCGCGTGCAAAATCTTGATAAACTTGGTCAGGGGTCCTAGGCCCACGTTTGTGCTTTGCGCGCATGTAAAAACAGCGAGGGTACTTGAGTACAGTACTGAAGTTCATGAGTACACAGCTCAGACGCATGCGAAATTTGCACGGGTCTGTTGTCTGTGTGAATCCGATGGGCAGGTTGTCCACTTTTATACAAACGTGTTTTCGTTCACTTTCACGTCGTGTGAATACCCTAGTATTGTGTTCATGTTTGTATTTGTTTTGTGAATGTTTTTGTTTTGCTTGTTTTTGGGAACATAGCCCCATGCTGTGTGATCCGTCGTGTTGAAAAAAGTGTTTTACTGTTGCAAGTGTTGCAAGTGTATGTCAATTCAGATCATTACACGAATGTTGTTGTTTGTCTGCTGTCCATTCCGTCCTGCAGGCGTTGGAGTTGGACGTGGAAGCGTACATCTCCGTGATCGACCAGCTTGGGCAGGAGTCCCAACGCCTAGTCTCGTCCGGTCACTTTGATGCACCGGCCATTGGTGCTTGTCAGGTGTGTACTCTGTGCCAGCAACATTGCGTAACTTCAGTGTAGTGAAAAACCCTGGTTTTAAACATGTCATCAGAGTAGAATTGCTGGGAGGTGGGGGAAGTGGCTAAGACAAGGGTAGGGGGCTAACGCAAGGGGGGAGGGGGGGGGGGGCTAAGGCAAGTGGGGCTAGGCAAGTGGAAGGGGATGAGGCAAGGGAGAAAGGTGGGGGCCGGGGGGGGGGGGGGGGGGGGCTGAGGCAACATGAAAGAGAAACTTTACACCCATGTGCTTTTCCAATCAATTGGCAGCAGCGGGAAGAGAGCACTTGAGCTATATGCAGCTCAAGTGCTGTCAAATGGCTCTTGATCCTTTCAGATCGTCGATGCCAAAGTCAGCGAATAGGATACAGGTAAAAAAACTGGCATTTAGCAGTATAGAACTTTATGGCTCTTGGAGGTACTCTGCATCCAATATTAAATGGTTGTCAAATCTAGGAGGTGCATCTTCTGTTGACCAGCATGCCAGCATATCTCCGATTCGAAAGACAGCGCAGAGAAATTGCCGAGTCTAGCTCCCCAGTATCCGCCACTAGGTTGTGCACAAAGCTCACCTTCTCCTTGGCTCTGCACACGGATGCGAAATGGTGCTGCGTGTGGCAGAAATTACACGACTTTCCCCAGGCAGTGCAGCTCCCTCGTTTCTCATGCCATTGTCCGCCGCAGCCAGTGCACTTGCGGCCAGCTTTGGCAAGTCTGTTGTTGTAAGAACGCGACTTCAGCGATGATGGCGCTGACCTAACACTGTGTTCGGCTGCAGCCCTTTGGGCAGATGTCAGCTCTGCAGCCCGCGTAGCCACAAGTTCCTCTGCCGTTGCCGTGGCTAAGAAATCTGCAAATTTCCTGTCGTTCGCCATAGCTAAAACAATTTCTTCGTGATGGCTTGGCGTCGTAGCCCTTGCACGAACTGGTCCTTTGGTTCGCGATCCAAATGTGAGTCAAATTCGCAAGTGGATGCCAGTCGCTTCAGCCGATTCGCGAATTCAGTTACAGTTTCAGTTCCTTGTCGGTGCTGTGAAAACGATAGCTTTCAGCCACTACGCCCAGCTTCGGTTGAAAATGTTTCTTCAAGAGATCGGCTATCTCATCAAATCTCTTAGACAATGACTTGTCAGGAAAGCACAAGTCCTTCAGCGTAGAGTACGTAGCTTTACCCGCCAACGCAACAATCAGGGCAGCCGTTTCGACTTTCCCTGCAGCAGCGGCGTCATCTGAATCTGTGGTAGCTGCTGCTCCAATTTTATTTCCGGCAAGATATCACTCAAGAAGACGGTTACGATGGCCAGCCGGACAACAAAGAAGTTGAGGCCAAAGAGAATGATTTCATTTCTTGCGCATGCTTATTATGCAGTGCGACGTAATACTCAGTGAGTCAGGCCGCTACAGTACTCCCCCGCCAGTGGTGAGGTCGGGAGGAGCGAAGCACGATAAACAAGAAAAAGAAGGAGAAAGGAAAGCGCGGCATGTACAAGGCGAAAAGGCAATACAAATACAAATATCATACATATATACAGGAGCGCATTGCGGGCGTGAAAATTGTTTACGACGTGGCGACAAAGGCCAAAACAAAAGTCAAACAACAGTAAGTGGAAGAGAGAGAGATGCATGATATCGGCCACGACAAACACCCACTGAAATCGTCGACGGAGACCAATGTCAATCGTCAGGGATCGCATCCCATATGTGACAATAGTACTGCCATTTGCTGCTCGCAGTGGTGGAGTGCCACGGCAACGGTGACGCTCCTGGGAGGTCGGCAGCACTACACTGACGGTGGCTCCGGTGTCCACCAAGAACTGCATCTTGGAGAGCCGATCACGGACGTGCAGACGGTGGCGACTTCCAGCTGGGCCAGACAAGGGTGCCACTACTTGCTGGCCTGCACGCTTTTCTGCCGCTTGAAAGAGCAGGGGCTCCGGCAATGGCGAGCACGATCGCCGAATCGGTGGTGGTAATAAAAGCACACGTCGCGTGTTGGTGTGCTGGACCGGGAGTGCGAAGGTGTGCTGCTCCGGGAACGACCACGGAAACGAGGCTCAGCAAGGGCTGACACTGCTGCAGTCAATTCAGCAATTTGCCGCTCCAGGCGTGCCACAGTGCTGTCCGGCATAATTGCAGCAGCAGGCCGAAGAGCTATAATCGCGTTCGCTTCGGGCGAAACTGCCAAAATTCGGTCAGCCACGGTGGCAAGATCCTCCAGGGGCAATGCCTCTGAGCTCGAGGCGAGGATCAGGCGGGCCTTCTCTGGCAGCCGCAGGATGTATAATTCGCGGAACAGTCCGTCGTCCATCATGTGATCATCCAGTAGTTGTTGCATTCGCCGCAACAGCTGTGTTGGCTTCCTGTCGCCTAACTCTTCTTCGAACAACACACAAACAAAATACTGGCAGCGAGAGTTCGGAATACCGGCACTTGGGCTACACAATGCGGTAGCCTGATACTGACCGGTTGCGCGGGGTCACCAAAATCACCAATGTAGGCACCCAAGATGACAGAGGTCGTATCTGTTCACGGGGAGACAGATGAATCCAGGGACATACCACCCTGGGGCCTAATAATTACAACTCCGAGGAGAGGGCAACTTTGTCCAACAGTTGTTGTTTATTTAGAACAAAGAGGAAGAAATGTTTCATGCGCATGCGTTTAACTAGTGAGAGAGCTGACGTCATGCAGCGAGGTCTCCACAGGCTCTCCAAGGAGCGAGAATCTTCGTCGCCAATTATTACAACATAATTGTACTGAAACAAGGGTGTCATTATAATATATTCCATAAGACAACAAAACAAGGAAGTCAGTTCAAGGACGGGAAAGACACAAGAACAACAGAAAGGGGAAGGTCGCGTGCGTGAACCTGCATGCATGCAGAGTCCCAGTGACGTCTTAGTGACGTCTTAGTGACGTCTTAGTGACGTCTTAGTGACGTCTTAGTGACGTCTTAGTGACGTCTTAGTGACGTCTTAGTGACGTCTTAGTGACGTCTTAGTGACGTCTTAGTGACGTCTTAGTGACGTCTTAGTGACGTCTTAGTGACGTCTTAGTGACGTCTTAGTGACGTCTTAGTGACGTCTTAGTGACGTCTTAGTGACGTCTTAGTGACGTCTTAGTGACGTCTTAGTGACGTCTTAGTGACGTCAAGAGTACTGTAAAACATGTTATTTTTGGTGTTATTTTAATTTCGGTGATTTCCGTTGAGAAAACAGGCACCTAAATTTAAATTACGCCTAAAAGGCACTAGAGCATGCACTGTATGTGATGGGAAAACTGGTCACCTAATTCTACATTACACCTGAAACCTGGCAGGTCCCTGGCACCGAAATTTTGATGCACCTAAAATTACATGTTTTACAGTATACCCCCCCCCCCCCCCCCCCCCAAGAGTGTGCAACTCCTGATACCTTTTTATGGGGTTTCGCCGACAGCGAAAACTCACATCACGTGGTGCAGTGTCGCAGTTGTACGTTTCCAGCTCGTTTTTAGCGAGCAGTGGAGTAATAAATAGCGCACTCAACAACTCACTGCGGGTATGCAAATCCCCAGCATGATCATGGCAGATATTCGGATTGCGCGCACGCTATCCTTCGTTTGTACGTAGTACGAACGTATCTGAGACACGTGATGTGAATTTTCGCCGTCGGAGACCCCATGTGCAGAGCTGCACACTCTTTGATGGTTATATACTCTTCATGTACATAAGAAGACGTGCATAGATAACACAATAGTGATTGTCCTCTTTCTTCAACAAGAAAACCAGGTTGTGTTATATGTGTGACTGGCCGCGTGGCCCAACGGATAAGGCGCCTGACTACGAATCAGGAGATTCCAGGTTCGAATCCTGGCGTGGTCGCTTTTTTTTAATGCTTCATGGCTGTTGGGGTGGGGAGCCTGGAGGTGCCGAATTTCTGGCATTGAATTTTCGGCTTCAGCTTGGTTTGAATAGGTTTTTTTTCTCTTTTTTCTGTGTGGGACGGGTTCTTGTTGGTGTGTCGGGATGGTTGCTGTGGTGGGTTGGATGGTGTTGGTTGTGGCTTGAAGCCGGTGGCCGAGTCTGTGAGGTGTTTCATTCTCCATTTCCCTCATTTCCCCGTTTGCTTATGATTTGACAGTCCTAATGTTAGTATTATTACCTCACTGTTTGCCTCTGTGCAGGCTCAACTTGAGGAGCAGCTGGAAGGTCTACAGACACTGGTCGCAGCACGGCGAGGCAGGCTGGAGGAGACGAAGAAGCTACATCAGTTCATGCGCGAGGCTAACGAAGTGGCCAGCTGGATTGCTGATCAGCTGGCGACCGCGTCAAGCACCGACTACGGCAAAGACTTTGAACACTTACAGGTCAGTGTGTAGATCTTTGTATAGGTGTGTTGCAACTCGCTGAATCTTACTACTCGTAATGTCGCGTATTAAAGCCGGGCTTATTCCTGTAGAAGCCGATGCCAGGGCTAGGCTTCTATTCACATCAGGCTTCTATTCAAACCAGGTATTTCTACGTATGTGTATCAGCACTAAAACCAGGCTTCTGTGCCGACAGTTTATCTTGAAAATCAGGCTTCTATTCAAAACAAGCTTTATTATATGGTCTGCCATCTGAAGTATAATTTGTTGGTGTTCGTGAGTGGGTGTGTTTGGCTGCGCTGACAAATTTCAAAATTTAGAGCCCAAATCAGTGCAATTGTTTATACACGGTGTACCTGGGGCAAAGTTGAGTGTTGTGATCAATAGCATAGCGACTGTAGCATGTTCAATGCCCTGCCTCACCATTTTTAACCCGGTCCACCTTGTGTGTGGCGTGTGTGTACTTTGGTGACTCTCGCAGGTTCTGCTGAAGAAGTTCAATGACTTCAAACAGTCCGTCCAGAGTCAGTCAGAGAGTTTCAAGGCCTGCAACGCTCTTGCCCGGCGTCTGGTTGCCGAGGGACATTCTGATACGGTTGCCATCAAGGAGCGACAGGACAGCTTGCGGTAAGCAACCGATGGTTATGCTGCTGCGGTTGCTGCTGCTGGTGGTGTTGTTGTTGCTGCTGCTGCTGCTGCTGATGTTGCTGCTGCTGCTGCTACTACTTGTGGCTGATTCAATTCTGAATGTGTTTGTAGATGATGGGTGTGAGATGAAGTTGGCAATACTGTTCTGTCTGCTGTTGTCACCTAAGAATGTGAAATACAGTTGTGACTGTGGACATGTGTGTGCGTGTGCGTGTCTACGTGCATGCGTGTGCGTGTGTGTGTGTGTGTACGTGTGCGTGTGTGTGTGTGTACATGTGCGTGTGTGTGTGTACGTACATGCGTGTTCATTTGTGTTTGATGTGCATGTGTTTGTTCATGCGTTCATTCCTTTCCATCGGCTGCTGCAGGGCCTCATGGCAAATGTTGCAGGAGGCAATCACTGCACGCAGCAAGAGGCTGGCTGGAGCACACGAGATCCACAAGTTCATTGCCAACACCACTGACTTGTTGAGTCGTATACATGTGAGCACTACACAGGCAATGGGGGATTTTCAACAGTCAGGTGACGCTTCACATTTCATCCGTATACGGATTTAGCCTCCAGCTTTACCACCACAGACTCCTGCCGAATATGGACGATCGAGCCAGTTTGTCTCCTATAATATAGAAGACAAACTGGCTATATTATATGGATGAAATGGGTGGTGTCACGTGACTATGGAACACCCCATATAGCATGCGTCTGGACATCCTACATACTGTGCATTGTGGGAAATGTTTGCACGGATGGAAGTTGGTTTGATTTCCTGCCCCAGGCGCAGTGTTTTAGAATATTTCCGTTGTAAATTTCCGTTGTAAATTTTCCACACGGCTGCAAGTGGTCGCTGTGTTCACTTCCATGTGCCTGTCTGTCCATGTGCCTATCTGTCCATCTGCCTGTCTGTTTGTATGCTCATTTGTTCTTATGCGCATGTGTTGATAATCTCTACGCTTGAAGTGAGGTGTGGCTGCCTGAGAGCGTGTTCAATACATCTTAATGCAAAGCCTTGCAAACACACAGAGAAAGGAAGAGAACATGTTGGTATTCTCCATGTGTATTCTGGCCATCCTCTCTCCGTGCTTCCAGGAAAAACACGCCATTGTTCCAGAAGATGATCTTGGCCGTGACGTGGCCACCGTGGAGGCATTGCAGCGCAAACACGAAGGATTCGAGAATGAAATCGCCGCTCTCGGCACGCAGGTATGGCTTTGGGAGCAGGGTCTGAGCTTTGCAGAGTTTCACATGTTGCACCTGTGCCGAGAAAGCGAAGTTGATGAGGTCAAAGCAAGAATAACAGAACAGAGCGTATTGACTTTGGATATATGATGTTAGTGTAAAGTTGCGAAGGGGGACGATGAGTCCCTCGCGACAATGACTGGTGTGCACATATGTATGTGTGTGTGTGTGTGTGTGTGTGTGTGTGTGTGTGTGTGTGTGTGTGTGTGCGTGCACGCGCGTGTGCTGTGTATGTGTGTGTGTGTGTTGTGTGTGTGTGTGTGCACGTGTGTGTGTGCACGCGTGCGTGCGTGCGTTGCGTGCGTGTGTGTATCTGTACATGAGTGCAGGTTCAGGGTATGATCCAGGAAGCTGGTCGGTTGGAAGCATCGTTCCCCGGCTCCAGTGCACAGCAGATCAGATCGCTACAAACCGATGTCAGCACTTCATGGGAGGCACTGCAAGCACTGTGTGCCGCACGTCGATTAAAACTACGCGATTCCCTGGAACTGCAGAGGCTGTTGGGTTCTGTGAGTTTTCATGTCAATGCGTATTACGTTTGTCCGTGTATTTTTCTGTTGCCTGTTTGTTTGTGTGTACATGCGTATCTGTGTGCCTTTTTCTGTGTGCGTCTGTTCATCTGTGTCGCCATCCGTATGTCAGTCCGTCAAGCCGTCATTCTGTCTCTCTTTCCCCCCCCCCCAAGTTATTTCTGAGAGATTATTGCACTCAGGGTCTGTTTGGAGAATGTAGTTTATATCCTGGGTTGTGTCCAACTCACTTTGTACACACCGGCATACTGATCTTCCACACTGATCCCCACACTGATCCCCACACTGATTCCCACACTGAATCTCTTCCCCATGTAGTTTCTACTTCGGGAAGATGGATGAATTGACTCTATCTTGGAGTCGAACTGAACGAGTGTGATGGTTTCCAACTCGACCGCACTGTGTAATGCAATAGCTCGATAGGCAGATTCATTCTAAAATCAAACTGGTGAATTGTTGACAGCTGGGAATGAATGCAGCAGCCTTGTTGTATCTGGCTCTCGATGTACAGTGTGCTGCCGCTGACATGTGAGGTGCAATGGAGAATAGCAGGCTCCCAGTCAGTCTTCGCATTATGCTGACTTCTGTGCGCACTTAGGGGCCGTCCGTAATTATCGATGTTTTCACGAAGAGAACAAGTTTCGTTTATGGGTTTCGGGTGGGTTGAGGAGAGTTTCGTTTTGAAAATTATTGATAGCTGAAACATCAATCCATTCTAGCTGTCAAGTCAATCTATTTTTTGTTGAAGCGGGTGGGTGGGTGGGGGAGGGTCATAACTAAGATAATGCCGGATGGCCCCTTACTTGCTTTCAGTCTGCTTGCAAAAACAAGGAAATGATGCGGCGCTGTGTGTTGTCTGTCTGCTGTAATCAATGATTGCATCTTTTTCTTCTTGTGGTGTTGGGAAAAACTAGGAAAAGAAAAACAAAAAATTGGGTCTGTCCGGGATTTGAACCCGGGACCTCTCGCACCCTAAGCGAGAATCATACCCCTAGACCAACAGACCAACCACACTTTCAGCTGGATTTGTTTGAGCTTAGTGATGACCGTGGAATTGTCTGTTGCCAATGGCCTTCCCTCCCTTTGGGACACTACATGTATTGTGTTTGCGTTTGTGTGTTGGGGTATGATCGAGCTCTTGTGCTTTGTGCAGTGTTACCAACTGCCCGTATTTGTCCGTATTTTTACGGAAAAACGATGTTTTGTCCGCAGTACGGATTTCAATCGAATTATCCCGGAAAAGCGAAAAAAAATACGGTGTCTTCGAAAGGAGGGAAAAATGGTGCAGAAGACGCCCATCCACGTGCATGCCATCGATCGATCTACCCCAAATCGGATCGCAGAGTGCATGCAGCCTGCATGCAGTGCGCTGTACACCTGTACATGTATACATGCCATGTGCATCATGCGCTGTATCATGCGCTGTACATGTCATGTGCATGTCGTGTGCATGTTCATGCGCATCGGATTGCAGAGTAGATGCAGGCAGTGCAGCGCTGCCTGCATCACTCGCCATCACTGATATGATGGGATCAGTGCATGCGGTCATGCGCTGTACATGTCATGTGCATGTTCATGCGCATCGCAGTACATGTGCGACTTCACATGCCTGATGATATCGTTGAAAGCGAAGTGAATTCCCTTCTTGCTATTCGTTATACCTGGCGGTAGCGACCACAACTCTTTGAAGCAAGGGGTAGCTTTTTTCGGCTTTTTCTTCAATCCAGCTTCTTGCCTTGGTTCCTTGTCAGAAATTTGCGCAGGTAATAAAAACTATACAAGTGAGAAATGATAGGAAATTCAACAAGTGCAGTGTGACAATGGACATGCATGTGCAAGTGTGTGTGTATTGGTTTTTTTCCAAATTACACTATAAATAATCAGTGAGAATGTTGACCTGAAAAAAACAAGTACGGAAAACGCTGAAAAATTCCGCAAAATGGCACTGAGCAATACGGATGGGGGTAGAGGGCACTTGGTAACACTGTTTGTGTGATGTTGTTTTTGTGTATGTGTGTGTATGTGTGTGTGTGTACGTGTGTGTTTGTGTGTGTATGTGTGTATTTGCACGTGTGCGTGTACACGTGTGTGTGTGTGTGTGTGTGTGCGTGTGTGCGTGTGTTGCTACTAGGTACGTGACATGCTGTCTTGGATCACTGACATGTCCTCCATCATCTCCAGCGACAGTCCAGCGGGTAACGTACAGGGCGCCGAGGAAGAGCTCTCTAAGCATAGCCAGGTGCGCGCCGAGATCGATGCCCGCGAGGAGACAATGAGCTCGCTAGTGCGTGCTGGCGATCGTCTCATTGCGCAACAGCACTACGCCGCTGACGAGGTAATGCTGATGATGTCATTATGATGTCATTGAGTGTGAATGGTGTTTAGGTATGATGTCATTGTGCATGTGAGTTGATGTTAACTATGATGTCATTATGCTTGTGAGTTGATGTTAGCCATGGTGCCATTATCGTGCGTGCGTGCATGCGAGTGTGCTTGCTTGACTGCATGCGTGTACAGTCAGTATCGCCTATAGCGTTGGTGTTTGATTTTGAGCATTTTATCACTATAAGCGATATATTACTATGACCGATACTGCATGCAATGTATGCGAGTGGGGTGTCAAACGACTCAGCGCGCCGTGCACATACGCACTACATACATTTACAATGTACCTGTAGCTGGCTGTAGCTCCTGACACACAAAATCAGCATTTCCTCATGATGGAGGCATGTTTTGGCAACTTGTACGAGCAAAACTCACCAAACAACACTCACTGGACAAGTTCTTCACGAAGAAGTAACACCCTGTTCTCCTCTGACATCGCTTGATTTTACATCAATCACTATAACCGATGCCAAAATAATGTAATAAAGGTCTTTTGAAATATGAATTTGATCACTATAGGCGATATATTACTATAGACGATTATTACTATACGCGATAACTGTGTATACTTAGTTATGGCAAATGAAAATGAATTTGAGAAATTGATCACTATATCCGGTATATTACTATAGCCGCCAACCTTATAGGCGATACGTACTGTATATATGTTGGTGGGTGCAAGGGTGCGTGCAATGGCAAAGCGATACTCTGTTCCTGTCTCCTGTGTGTTACCGCCGGACTTTCTCCGTGGTGCATATAGATTCGTGATCGTCTGTCTGACTTGGCATTAGCACGTGATGCTCTGCTGGTTGACTGGCAAGAGAAACAACGAGCACTACAGACACAGCTTGACGTGCAGACTTTCAACCGAGATGTGCAGCAAGCTGATGCCATGAACAGTGGTATTGAGGTAAGTTGTGGGTGTGCGACGCTGTGTACTCTGTGTGTGTGTGTGTGTGTGTGCGTGTGTGTGTGTGTGTGTGTTTGTGTGTACCCGCCCGCGCATGCTCGTATGTAGGTACCTGAGTGCGAGTGTTGCGTGCACACGTGGGTGTGCGTGACTACGTGTATTGTATGAGCACATGTGCGGTGCATGTGTGCGTGTGTGTGTGTGTGTGTTTGCGTGTGTGTGTGTGTGTGTGTGTGTCCGCACATTTGTGTATGCTTGCCAGTGCTTAGGTGAAAGTGATTGGAGACTAACACTATGAGTGTACATGCAGCAGCCCCCTGCAGGTTCCTCTGAGGCCAATACTGATACTGCATATGGCAGGGGCGTCGGAACTACAGTAGTGCGGCAAGTGCGCACCAATAATTTAATGTTGTCACTGTTGAGGCAGTAGAGTATCGGTTACGTGGACCCAATTTTCCAATTTTTCCCGGGGATATTCCCCGCTCCCCGCCTCTTCATGACCGCATGAATACACCTTTCGACACCCCTGTATTGTTGTTGCTGTTCCTCATTTCTACAGTTGTTCCTGACGAATGATGAACTTGGCAACACGGTGGACGAAGTGGAGACATTGATCAAGAAGCACGAGGCCTACGAGATGCTGGTGGCCGGCCAGGAAGAGAAGGTGGCCGCGGTGGAGCAGTTTGCAGCGCGCCTTGCCACCTACGACGGAGTCGACCAGGACTCCATCCAGGCGCCGCTGGAAGAGGTCCTGGAGAGGTCAGTAGTGCATGGTGATACAGTGCAGACCAAAGAAATCCAACCTCATGAATAAAATAGCATTGCCGGGCGCTACACAACCCTAGCACTACACATTCTGGTCTGTGCACTCGAACGCTACTTTATTCATGAGGTTGGATTTCTTTGGCCAACACTGTAGTTGTGTACTGTAAGGGTTGAATGTCTAACGGGGCACTAACTCAAGAAACATTACTAGTGCACTGCTCATTCTCTCCCCTGCACTAGAGACACATAGGATGGGTGTGGAATGGCAGGGCTGTTAAACTTTGTGCCCGCTAAGTGGGTGCAGCCGTCCCTCTTTAATCCGGCACTTTATAAACCAGCACCGTCTATAAACCAGCACAATTTTCATTAGCCAAAATGTCCTCTTCATGCACATTGCAACAGTAGATCAGATTTGTTAATCCAGCACCCTCCCTAGTCCAGCAGATTTTCTTCAGCACGAATGGTGCTGGATTTTAAAGGGACCAAGGTATTTGTTTAGTGCGACCGTGACTTGATCGGTCTTGGCCTTCACATGACCCATCTGGTCTCCGTGGCGCAATCGGTTAGCGCGTTCGGCTGTTAACCGAAAGGTTGGTGGTTCAAGCCCACCCGACGACCTTTGTTTTTTTGTATTATTTTTGGAAAATTGATCAAACAAAGAAGAAAAAAGTAAGCTGTTCCCACACCGGGAATTGAACCCGGGCCGTCTGGGTGAAAACCAGAAATCCTAACCACTAGACCATATGGGAGATGGCTGGGAGTATCACACTTGTCGATTGCATTGATGATTGCAATAGAGATGGGCAATTATTAATTTAATGGGCCTGCAAATTTTCCTTTTTTTGGTGGCAATAACTTGTTTAGCTCCTTTGTTGTTGTTCCATTTTTGCGATGCGATGCGATGCCTGATGTGACGGCCGTGAAACCGGGGAAATCCCCAAATTGCACCCATCGAGCAGCTCTTGCAGGTTGAGCTGGGCTCAACTTGCCTGAGATCAGCCAGTTCTGATGCGATGTGCGATTTGGGCCTTCTTTGCAGAAAAGCCTGCATGTAGGCTAGGTTCAAGAGTTCTTTGTACAAGTTGAGCCTAGCTGTGCAGAAAGCAAAGGTTGCCGTACATCCTGCATTGGGGTTTGGCCTTTGGGGCACATCAGAAAGGCGCTGTCGCATCACTGAATTCTTCTGTGGATGGTGTTTCGCGAGTTCACGCACACTTCCGCATCGCAGATTACGTCGCATCGCAAAAAAGAATGCTTCTATGAATCCCGCTTTAGTCCTGTGCCATGTTCGACCTGCCCTGTACACAGATTGACAGGACCGTGTGCATGATACGTTCAATGTGCTTGACCCGGGGGATTTCACCCCCCCCCCCCCTGATTCTAGCCCCCCCGGTTTGAAAGTTCTCATGTAAATACAGCCAGGGAGACAGGTTTTTTTTACAAACCATCATTAGCTGTGCATCAGGGAGTCGTCAAATACTGCAACACGACCAGACTGCAGTGTGCTCCTGGACAGAGTTTTAAGAATCACATGCATGCACGAATACGATAACACACGTCTGCATAGTCAGTAAAATGTTGATGCATTAGGCATGCATTTCAATCGTACACTATTGTATGCAACTTACCCGCTTGTTGTTAGCGATGAAGTCTAGTAGCCCATGCATTCCATCAGTGGTTACTTTGATGTCTTCTAACTCTTCATACACCTGCATGGAGGCAAACCCTTTTTGGATTCGCTGCACAAGAGGAGTGCCATTCGTCGAACCACTTCTTCATTGAGAACAGGTCTTCGATTAGCTTATCGCTCTTGGAACACAGCTTCTGCTTTGAGCAGAAAAGGTTGATGATGGACCTTGCGCGTTTCAGGTACTGCTGCGTACCCAGAGTACCATTTGCCTGCTCGACCTGTAGCTGCATTTCTACACGTTCACTAAACATATCGTACGCCAAGCACGACCTCATGAGTGATAGCGATGTTAAGATGACTTGTTCTTCACACGCAACCGGGGGTAAAGTGAAGCGGGAGAACCTTGTCTCGGTCATATGCGTCTCTGGTATGACGCGGCCACAGAGCGACATCCCGTCTGTGTTTCAGCAGCCGCTTTGATGTGTCCGACTAACCACTCTTCATGAGGTTGTTGCGTAGCTTCTTTACCAGGCGTGTGAGGTCTGAGAGAAATAACAGGGACCAATTGCCATATGCATTGAGAGTCCGGCCCGCATTCTCTTTGCTGGCATGTGTAGAGATGAATTTCCTGTTTGTTGCTGCTCCATCGCAGCAACCCAGTAGCACGGTCAACCCATAATAATGTAGTTTCTCACCGCCACACCAGCACATGTCGCCAATATCGTCTGCAGTGGCGGCTGACTTTGTGAAGATATAATAACACATGGGTAGGAGAACCCAGCAAACAGTGACTTGAAATGAAACTGTAGAACATGAGTGGCAAGGTCATTACCTTGCTCTCCGTTGCCGTGAGCAACAAAGCCGATTAGCTTATCCGTTCGTTTGTCGCATATGAGACCTTCCTTTATTTTGACCTCATCAAAGTATAGGCCACCGAAGAAACTGCGGTCTGCTTGACCCTTGCCATTTTTAATGAACTCATCGTATATCTGCCTCATCTCTTCAAGATTCTGATCCTGCCAACCAGTTTTCGGTGTTGTATAGTTGCGGTAATTTAGTAAGGTCCTGCTTGAAGTATGTCACGCAGTCCTTCGTGGGTTGTGGCTGATCGAGCATGCTGCTGTAGGCACCACCTTAGGACAGCAGGGTCGCATCGCATTTGTTCCTTGTGAGTAATTAGTGCCTTTGCCGTTGTCAAATGGCAATCACGCACCTCCTTCTGAATGCGATGCCGGTGTGTGGGGATCGATTCGCCGTCTCTTTGATGTACATTTCTTTTACTGAATACCACAGGACCATCAGATGCTGCACAGCTGGGGTGGTGGCATATTGGATGGAAGTGGGGGCAGGGCGGAAGTAACTCCTGCGACCAGGGGTCTCGGATTCATCGTTACTCGTGTGTGCTCTGTGTTGTGTGTGCGTATGTCGTGTGTGGTTTGTTCATGGTTAGGCGTGACCGTTGCAAGGCAGCACTAGCCTCTCGTCGTGAACGTCTGGAGGAGGCGCATCGTCTTGCCCAGTTCCAACGTGACCTGGCAGAGTGGAAGGCCTGGATTGGCGAGAAGATGCAGACTGCGACTGATGAGAGTTACCTGGAGTTGACCAACCTCCCTGCCAAGCTGAAGAAACACGAAGCGTTCGAAGCTGAGCTCTCGGCCAACGAAACATTGCTCGACAGTGTTGGCAAGGTGAGTGAGGGGTTGGTGGGGGTGGGTGTGGGGGTGGGGGTGTGGGTGTGGCGGTGTGGGTGTGGGTTTTGTGCCAGCCTCCCTGCCCATCCGACCCGCCACACACAACAACGAAACTGAACTGAGAGTTCTACATAATTTCTTGACAAGACGGAGACGGACACACAAGAAGACCGGACACGACGAGGTAAACTGATAACTGAAGAAAAAGACTAACATTTATGGCAGCATACGAGCATGCGCGCAACAAAACACAACGTATGACAATGACGTAACCGTTACTTGGATCATGTACAAACTATACATGCAACCAAAACAAGTCAAAGCAGAACGCAAAACAAACCAAAATAAACGAAAGGACCACAACAAAAAGAGCCATGAAAAGTCTTTCTACCGATACACAACAGTGGGTGTGGGGGTGGGGGGGGGGGGGGTGTGGGGTGGGGGTGGGGGGGGGGGAGGGTGGGGAGGGGGGGGGGGAGGGTGGACACAGTGAGTTAAAGGGGGGGGGGGAGGGGGTGTAAGGTGGGTAGTGCATATGCAAGATGAGTGAGGGGGGGGGTTGTGTTATGTTGGTGATGCGCATTGGGAATGCTCAACTTTCTCAATGACCCCATCCCGTCCCAGCTTATTCAGAGCTTCCTCGTAGGATTCACCGACTGAGAAGGCAACGGGTCAAGCTTTGCAGAAGATTGGCTTGTCATCCTTTTCCCTCAGGTGTACTTTCGAAGTGGTGAATTTTCCAACAAATGACTCATCAAATGACTCATCAAATAGGTTTGGAAATTTCTCACACAGGGTTAGCCAGTTTCACATTGAAAACTGTGTGCCGTCGCTCAATCTCATTGTTGATGTAACCGAGCCAATTGAAATCAAAGCATTCAATCAAATCTCTGCCGATGATCAGCGATGGACCATTTGGTACAATTCGTAGCAAGGCACGCTTAGCAGTCGCATTTATGGACATGGGTAATTCAACCTCCCCTGGGCATTCAATCGCTTTTCCCGAGAACCCTTGCATGAGTATGGTAAGTTTAGCTAGCTGATTCATTCTACCACCCAAATTCACAAAATCGGTCTCGCTCAAAATAGATACAACAGTGTCGATTTCCATTTGCACAGGGTGGGAATCAACCACAGCTTGACATATGTACGGGGAATACGTTTCACCCTTTCCAAAGACATTATCAGAGACATAGAAAAAGGCACAATTGGGTCGTCCTCACCGGGTTCATGGGTATCCGTTCCAATGCGGTTACATGAACGTTTCTTCAGCCGGCAGGCTCGCTCAAGATGTCCCACCTTCTTACAATGTCGGCACGTTGCGGATTTATGCTTGCACTTGTCAGCCAGGTGATCACCAGATTCACAGCGGAAACACTTCAAATTCGATGATGTGCATGGCTGTTGCGACTTGGGCTTCGAGCGCTGGTGTACCTTGTATACAGACTCTGATTGACCTGTTGACGGTTTACCCGAAGAGAGTTGTGAGGTCTCCTTCGCCGTCATCTCCCCCAGCGCAGCTAGTTCCTGCAGATCGGCAAATTTACTGTTGTCCTTTGCAGTCGTGAGAAGTTTCGGAGACAGTCTCACTGTCCGTCTGGTTACATGAACGAAACTTGAAGGCTGCTGCAGTCCTGCTCAGCTTCGGATGGAAATGCTCTGTGAGTGCCTTCACTATGTCCATATACGACACGTCAGAAATATTTGAAGGCAACACTCTCTCAGTCTTTCAATCTTTCAGGGTGCTGTAAATTTTCCTGCTCAGGAAAGATACTGGGAAAGCTCTCTTCTTCTTCTTCTTCTTCTTGCTAGCTTCCCTCTTCTGGGCACTGTTAGCTGACTCCGCAACCTGACCAATGTCATTTGCAATGAAGAAAAATTCCAGTTGTTCCACATACCATAGCAATGTTCCGGTGTATGCGGATTTGCCTGTTGTGAGAATCGCCTATAAGGTTCCCACTCTTGCTGCCTTTGCTTGTAGCAGTCTCCGTGGCGCAATCGGTTAGCGCGTTCGGCTGTTAACCGAAAGGTTGGTGGTTCAAGCCCACCCGGGGACGGCCTTTGCTTTTTGCATTCTTTTCCAAAAATTCCCTCAAAGAAGAAGAAAAAAGTAAGCAGTTCCCACACCGGGAATTGGCTGTTCTTGACTAATCTGCTGCATCCGCTGCTGTTGTAGTTTCAACGTTTTCATTTCGTGAATGACGCTTGACTCCATCTGTATCAGTCCTCTATACAGCACTTCCTCCTTTGTTTTGGTCGTTATTCAGTAATGTGTCTAAGTTTTTCAACAACCTTCGGGCAGTCTCTCTACTCACCATTCTGAGGTCTTTCGGGTCCTCCATGATTGTTCCAGAAGCCAGAAGTCTAGATGAAAACCAGAAATCCTAACCACTAGACCATATGGGAATTGGATATTGTGACAGTGCGCTGCTGTTTGGGTGTTGACAACAGCGACGAGAACAAGTGTCAGGTGTGCTACCTAGGGCTCCGGTTGTTATGCTATCTTTTGTTGAGTATGTGGGGACATCCGAGATCATGCAGCAGAAGAACATGTCTCCCATGCCTGGGACAAATAGTGCAGACTTTACCAATGTGGAGTGCTGTTCCATAGCGCGGACAGAAAGGCGACATGTATGACGATGCTGATGATGATGGTGACGATGGCAGAACAAGCTGTATTGTGGTTGTAAGACTTGCAACGATCTCTCCTCCTCTTTTCCTCCATGCGCTCACAGCCGACGCATGGCTACCCTCAGTAGCCATTAGACACACAGAGTAATAATTGGAAACATTGAAAGGGTTACGAGTACTTAAAGTATTGTCACTTATAATATTCATGTCGTAAAACTTACGAAGTAGTGGTTGCGACTGTTGTGGTTGTGGTTGCAAAGTGTCAAGTAAAGTCGGCGGAATAGCGCGAGCGCCAGTGTGGGGAGCAAACCCTGTCGTAAAACTTCTCCCTTTTTTATGTTTTGTATGTGTGTTTCGTTTCTGTAGTAGTTTTTTCGCACTTCTGTTATAACACTGTTGTTTTCGTGTTGTGATCTATGCGTATATTATGCCGATAGGCGGGTGAAGCTCTGATCTCTGCTGGTCATTACGCTACCGCTGAGGTGGAGACATCACTTGATGGGCTGTTTGCTGAGTGGGAGAAGCTGAAAACAGCCACCGCACAGCGTGGCAGACTTCTTGCTGAGGCACAGGATCTAGTCCAGTTCAAGCGTCAGGCGGACATCATCATGCTCTGGATGAAGGAGAAGGTAGGACGGTGTTCTTGTGTATGCAATGGGTGGTGGTGGTGGTGGTGGTGGTGGTGGTGGTGGTGGTGGTGGTGGTGGTGGTGGTGTGTGTGTGTGGGGGGGGGGGGGGGGCGTGCGTGCGTGCGTGTGTGTTTGTGCATACCTGTGCGCTGTGTGTGTCAATACACATCTACAAAACGTAACAGTGCATGTTTGTCCTGCATTTGTTTTGTGCGTTGCGTAGGAGCTTGTGGTGACATCTGACGAGACGGGAGATGACCTGGAGCATTGTGCTGATCTACAGAAAAGATTTGATGACTTTGAGAAGGTAAGTTGGTTGCATGTAATCAAGCCTAGCGTCGGAAAACACACCTTAAAGGGGAAGTTAAGGCAAAAATAAAAATTTCACCAGTTGTAGTCTTCGGGGTGCTGAGTCGAATGGTCGTGGTCCGAGGAAGCTGAGACGCTCCCTTCCTACTTGAATCCCAATCGAACTCGCGTACTTCCACCGAAACTGGGTGACTGCGCCCTACTAGATGGGGATTTGTATGCAAAATGTCACTAAAAGCGCCATTTCGTTCTTATAAAAGCACGGATGACCGCGATTGGCCCATATGTTGTAGTCTTTTGGACGCTGAGTCGACTGGTTTTGGTCCGAAAAGGCTGCGATGCGGCGTTCCTCCTTTATTCCCAATCGAACATGGTTGAAGAAGCGGTCACGTGCTCCTGCGTACACCAGTCACCTGGTCACCGTGCCTGCAAGGTACAACTTACTAGCCTGTTTGACCTTTTTTGGGTGCAGTCCTGTCACTCGAGTTGAACTCGAGTTGAACCTTGGTGTGAAAGTTGTCACCTGCTGGCGTGGTGACCAGGTGATTTGGGCACGCAGGACCACGTGACCGCTTCTTCAACCATGTTCGATTGGGAATAAAGGAGGAACGCTGCATCGCAGCCTTTTCGGACCAAAACCAGTCGACGCAGCGTCCAAAAGACTACAACATATGGGCCAATCGCGGTCATCCGTGCTTTTATAAGAACGAAATGGCGCTTTTAGTGACATTTTGCATACAAATCCCCATCTAGTAGGGCGCAGTCACCCAGTTTTGGTGGAAGTGCGCGAGTTCGATTGGGATTCAAGTAGGAAGGGAGCGTCTCAGCTTCCTCGGACCACGACCATTCGACTCAGCACTCCGAAGACTACAACTGGTGAAATTTTAATTTTTGCCTTAACTTCCCCTTTAATGTCATGTGCGACATGCCACACCTCCGACGACCTGTGGCCATGGTACACGATTCACAATCTGTTTTTTGGTTTCTGCGGCATCTGGCAGTGCATAGTGCATGCACGTCCACTACTCCTTTATTGAGCGCTGTGCGCACGCGTGTGCGCGTGCTTGTGTGTGTGTGTGTGTGTGTGTGTGTGTGTGTGTGTGTGTGTGTGTGTGTGTGTGTGTGTGTGTGTGTGTGTGTGTGTGTGTGTGTGTGTGTGTTTGTATATATTTTCCTTCCATCTGCGAGCCTACCCATCCTCCATCCGTCCGTCTTTCTGTCTTCGTGCCGTTCTATCTTCTGTGTGGTTGTTTTCGTGTACGTGTGCGTGTACGTGTGTGTGTGTGTGTGTGTGTGTGTGTGTGTTCGTGTGTGTGTGTGTGTGTGTGTGGGTGTGTGTATGCGGTGTGTGTGTGTGCGTGTTCGTGCTTGTATGCGTGCATGTGTGTAGGAACTGGTCGCCGACCGAGCCCGTGTGGACGATGTCAGCGCCCTTGCCGATACTCTCCTCGACCAGAACCACTCTAGCTCCGCTGATATTGAAGAGCTACGCCAGAAGGTCCTGGAAGGGTGAGTTAACTCATGTTACTCTTACGCACTCTTACCTCGTTTGTCCAGGCGGTCTGGGAATGCACACTGCCCGTACTACTCTGAGTCACATCCGTTTCAATGGGGAAAGTCCAGAGGTATGGCACATTATATCACAATTTCCACGGAATTTTGTTACTACTAAAAGCCATGTGGTGCACGCTATGGGAACATGCAGCAGCCCATGGTGGTGGGGGCCAGGCGCTCCGTCCACCAACTGGTCTCGACATCGTCACGCTCTGGAGTGTGAGAGAGCCGTACACGTGATGTTTTTCTTTACGTTACGGAAACGCGGCGCAACGAATCACGCAAACTCTCTTTGCGTTCCCGTAACGTAAAGAAATCCTGTTCTGCTCTACGTTACGGGAACGCGGCGCAAAGAATCACGCAAACTCTCTTTGCGTTCCCGTAACGTAAAGAAATCCTGTTCTGCTCGACGTTACAGGAACGCGGCGCAAAGAATCACGCAAACTCTCTTTGCGTTCCCGTAACGTAAAGAAATCCTGTTCTGCTCTACGTTTCACGTAGAAAAGTCACGTGGAATATGTACTGGGAATTTCCCCTTCCATATTTGGCAGATTTCTGCCTGATTTGAACGATGCCCAACAGAACCGTACGCATTTTCTTTTCGTGTGCTACAACGTAGAGAATCTCATCTACACGTCTACATCTACATCTAGAAACCTATACCTCAAACGTGTGAAGCCGTAGACTCTAACTCAGATACCTGTTCTCTACGTCAGAGAATCTTGTGTCACTTCTGTTGTCACTGAGAAGTACTATCTGTTTGGCATGATGGATATGTGCAGGCGTTGCTGGTGTAATGGTTAGCATAGTTGCCTTCCAAGCAGTTGATCCGGGTTCGATTCCCGGGCGACGCACGTATTTTTTTAGATTGGTTCTAGCTTTAAAATACTGTAAATCAACAAGATATTTGGCGCATACCGTATATTTTCGGCTATTTTCGGCTGTGTTTGGCCTGCGCCCTCATGGCCTTAAATCCGTTATGGCTGAAATATTTGTTTGTAATGTACGTGCAGTAGGTCGTACTGTATAATAGGTACAACGTTTCGTTTGGAATTAACTTTCGCTATATTCGTTAGGGGGCACGAAATAACTAAAGTTTGTTCCAAAGTAAAGTTTTTTTCTGAACGTTCGGGGTGACTGACCTCGACCAAAAACAAAATTTAATACACAACGAACCTGCTGGTGGAGTGATCCAACGAAAGATTTCGTGAATGAAAATTTGTACGTATACAGACAGCACCAGTGCAGACGGAAAGTTCAATGCAGCTGAAAAGTGTTTTAGCCCTCAGACCCAGACGTTTCTATGCTCTGAAAATCTGTAGGTGCACAGTGTACAAACGGCAAACGACACATGTTAGTCAGCTTCGTAAAACATGTGGTTTTAAAAACATGCTTGCGGTTGACTTGTGAACCAGCTAAAGTGCACGGTAGCCTAACTGGTCTCCATGGAGCGGGGACGACCTTTGCTTTTTGGATTCTTTTCGAAATGGTGTGCATAAAAAAGAAGAAAAAAAGGTAAGCTGTTCCCACACCGGGAATTGAACCCGGGCCGTCTGGGTGAAAACCAGAAATCCTAACCACTAGACCATATGGGATGGGAGCAATTCTATACGTCATATGACAGTATCTCTTTGTAGATGTGCAAGGTGAATATGCTTGCAGGTGTAGGGAGGAATAGACGTGCAGGTGGTTTAGCAAGGTGTCTGTGGTTGTTTGTGTGTGTGTGTTGGGGGGGGGGGGGGGGGGGGGTAGCACGAGGCATAGCAGGAGGCATAGCAGGGGGCATAGAAAGTGCGTAGCAGGAGGCATAACAGGAGGCACAGCAGAGGGGGGGGCATACGGCAGGCCATCCGACTTGCCAGCCTTTGATCAAGGCAAGGTTTCTCACGTTCTATCGAAGCAGAAACCAGTGGAGAAGAAAGTTGATCTCATTCAAAAAGTGCTTTTTGATCACACTCGTGGCATTTTGCTGGGATTCGGCGTTCCTTTTCACGGTACGCCTTTTAATTTCACGCTAAGACAAACTGTGCTCGTCTCCAGCACTCACCGTGACATTGCTCGTGTCATGGCCGTGCGTTGGCGGGTTTGTGACTTGGCTTAGATCAGTCTAGTGGCTCTCCAGGTAGACGACCAATATAGTCGCCATCCAAGTTAGCTAGCTCACACAGAACGACAGGTTTCTAATTCCACTTGAACAGTGTTTATTCAACCATTGCAATGCTAGATCGAAGATCAAGCGTGAAGAGTCAAAAGACCCAAAGCAGGAGAGAGTTGGAGGAGTAGTGAGCTCCCCGAGAGTCGAGAATCGAGAGAGTAGTGAGCTCCCCGGATCGAGAATCGAGAGAGTAGTGAGCTCCCCGGATCGAGGATGAATGTTAGCAAAACAGCTCCTTATAATTATATGCTACATTATGTGATCGAAAGTATACAGCGGCAAGAATGCGTATTATTATTACAAACAGTGGTGCAATATGTGCAATCAGCCAAACTAGAATATAGTACAAAGATCAATCAATACGGGGAGCTCGCTCACCCAAATGTGAATATCAGTGATCTCCAAATGCTGGCATGATCTTGGTCCGCGATCCGGTGGCTGGGATGCATTGCAGCAGTACAGGCGGGAAGCGTAGCTGCGTCCTTCGGTTCACCCAATATGGGCAAACATAGCAGCAGACGGCAATGCCGTGTTCCCTCCAACGGGCCTGGGGTCTAGAGTATGCGAAGTACTGTCGACCCTTTGCGTCTTACGACACGAGAAGAGGCGCCACTCTTGCTCAACTAACAAGGGTATCAGCTCCCTTGCAGGACTAAGCGTGGCCCCCTCAAGCTCAACAGGGTAGTGAGTACAATGCTGACGACTTGTACTGAAGGTGTTACCGACGTACGGCAACACTTTGCGACTCTAGGCCACGAGTTGTAAGCCATGGTTGCTCAACTAACGAAAGTGCCAAATCATTCGCAGGACTAATCATGGTTCTTACAGAACTCTAGAATATTTCGGAGCCCAGCTTTTGGCTGCTGAACTCAATGCATGGTCGCTTTCACGACGAGTCTGATCTGGGTCATGACACTCTTGTTATGCCTGTGCGAGCGAATGAGGCAAGATGACTGTGAACATGATGCTCAGATCTCATCATGTTACGCACATTGTGTTTGGTAGCGTGTGAGGTAGCGTGGCCGAGTGGTCTAAGGCGCTGGATTAAGGCTCCAGTCTCTCCGGAGGCGTGGGTTCGAATCCCACCGCTGCCAACCAACTTTTTAATTCTTTTTATCCCTAGTGCAGTGGGTGGGTTATCACGTTTGCCACACACGTGAAGTCCCGGTTCGATCTCGTGTGGAACCAGTTTCTCACTTTTTGGCAATGCTTTTCCTTTGCCGTAAAGTATCGCTTGTCCCCCCCCCCCCCCTCGCCTTGTTGTCTCTTCGCAGCCGATCAAGGCGGTCAAATGCAGTGTAGTGTACATAAGTGCAAGAGATCAGACTTGCGGTGCTGTTGAATTCCTGGTTTCGTGGCCGTTGCATCACGCATCTCATCGTAAAAATACTTCTATGGATCCCCCTTTAGTAGAGCTAGTGGGAGTGTTTCACATGTTTTCATTCTCATTTGTTGTTGTGGATAGAGTGTAGGGTAGCGTGGCCGAGTGGTCTAAGGCGCTGGATTTAGGCTCCAGTCTCTCCGGAGGCGTGGGTTCGAATCCCACCGCTGCCAACCAACTTTTTTTATTTTCTGACGAGACTTTGAGTATAAATGAAGCAAGTCAGTTTTCATCATGTAGAGGTTATCATATTCGCCTAGCAACAAGAGTCCCGTGTTTGATCCCAGGTGAAAATAGCTACCGTATTATCGCTCTTTACAAGCCCAGTCTCTTGTAGAAGCGCAGTCTCTATTATAAGCGCAATCCAAGAGGGCTTCCAAGATACACAAGCGCAGTCTCTAATATATGCGCAGGGCTTATATTGGAGAACTGTATGGATCATGTCCATGCATGTTTGACGTCACACAGTATCACATAAACACATGCTGTGGTAAAAGTCTGTGATCCCAGAGATCGAAAGTACAGATTCAGTGTACCAGGAAGCACAAAACTGCAGTCCCGGTACCTGCTGGGAAACGTTGTGCTGCTGATATAATGGAAAATAATTGGCAGTGTACATGTAGCAGGTGGTTGAAAATTATAAGCCCAGTCTCTAGTAGAAGCCCAGTCTCTAATATAAGCCCGGGGTCTGAACTGGTTGAAAATATATAAGCGCTGGGCTTTTAATGGAGATAATACGGTAGTGAACTTTTTGTTGTCAGTTATGGGGTGTTCCTGGCCATTCTTATGGCCGTACTGAAGTGATCGAATGTGAAATCTACCATTCCATTGTGGCACTTTATGCACCTCCGATCGAACAGTACATCACCTCTTTTCCTTTTCCACCTGGACTCCTCCTTGGTTTCCCTTTTCTCTCTAGCTCTTCTCTTGTACCTTCTTGCAGCTATTATTCACTGAACTCGGTGGGGCTTTGAATAAAACAAGTCGAAGTACCTGCTAGAGTGTGCAACGTTTTTCGCCATCTCTTTCCAGTCCCTTCAACCGCAGGGTTTTAGACAATCCACAGTGTTGACGTGCAATAGGATTATGGCACTTGTCATGTTAACGTTGAGGGAGTGGGTTGTTGCAGGTAGCTGGATTGGCCACAGAGGAAGGGATGTTCTGCCGCAAAGAAAACTATTACCTCTCACCGTTCGAGCTGGTGTTTAAAAAATGTATTAGAAATATACTAGATAATTTAATTGGCACTTGCATGACTGACGACCGCCATCCACAGCACATGACAAGCATGCTGAACCCCCTGCTCGATACACAGCCCACCGGGAACTCAGAAGCTTTGTATTTTCGTAAAAAAAAAAGCGATGTTATCAAACAGTTGAAAAAAGCTGTGCGTCGCCCGGGAATCGAACCCGGATCAAC